AACATTTACTAGGAAGTCTGTCCTCTTATGGTCTATATTACTAGTTCCCAGGTAACTGTGAATAGGGTTGTAGATTTAGCTGTTTATAATAATAGTGTGCAAAACCAGTGAATTGACTAAATATGTAACTGATTCTTCTTTGGTATATATTTTTTTAGCAATCTTGTTTTTCTTTCTTTCTGTAATAAATTTGCACTAGTTTACAGAAATTAAAGAGGAAAGGAAGGAATGTAGCTCAGTAGCAGAGCATCTCGCCTTTTGTATAAAGGCCCCAGGTTCAAGTTTCCAGGTAAGGCTGGGAGAGACTTCCTGTCTTGGATTCTGGAGTGCAGCTGCCAGTCAGTGTAGACAATTGTGAGCTAGATGGACCAATGGTCTGACTCAGTATAAGCAGCTTCCTATGTTCCTAGAAATAAAAATCATGTTAGATTGTAAACTTGCAGGCAGGGACTGTCTTGTTTTAATTAATTGCTCGTAAACCACTCTGGGAGTCTTTTTGGCTGAAGAGCAGGGTACAAATGCTCTAGATAAATAAATAAATGAAATGGCCTTGAACACTTGGGGGAGCACATCCCTGCCCAAAGGGTGCGCTTTATGTTCTATCCCACATAGATTAAGACCAGCTTTGTTACATCAGCGGTGAGCCTGGCGTATTTGTGATTTTACACATACTAACAGCAATTGGATGGGAACTTGAGTAATAGTTGTCGTGCACACCGATCTCTACATCTAAAATAAAATACAGAGATAGCCTCAGGGGGAAGGAGAGTAGGGATGAGAGAAGATGGGTGTGCTTATTTTTACTAGAGAGCTTCATTCCATCCTGGGGGAGTGGGATCAAAACAAACAAGGCTCTTATGCTGGGCATGGTAATTGAAAGTGCTCAGACTTGTCTTGAAAGGGTTCCCGATCTGAGTGTGTGCATGTATTGGTCACAGTCACCATGGTAACCAACTGGTTCTACATAAAGCTATGGTGCAAGCCAGCAGAACTGTAATGGAATACATTCCTTCGGATGAGACAATACTTTCGCTGAAACTGAAGCACTCCTGTAGAAACAAATTATTAGGTAGTGCTAATTTGGGTGGGAATTAAAAATGGCTAAATGTAAGGTTGATCCTCTATTTTTGTCTCATTTGAAAATTATGAAAGCTATTCATGCTGCCTTTATGACCCAATTTCCCCAAAATGTTTCAAAATGATAAGTTAGTTTATGCATAAGGACTAGTTACTGAGTTTCATCTCTATCAAATGCTCTAATGCAAACAAGAAACAGAAGCCAAAGTCAAGACTCTGGAGATAAAGGTGGGAAGACTATGTAGATAGAAATGGCTGGGTCTGTTTCTCAGTGACTTCCATACTGAATTCAGTGAGTTGCAATGGCCAAGACTGTTTATGGACAGAGCGCTTTGAAACCTGAATTCTGAGCTTGGCTCTTTTTGTTTCATTTTGATTATCTTCACAGAATTTTCAGTAACAGTGCTACAGCTCATCAGTCTAATCCCAGTCCATGCCAATTTTGTATGTGTTCATTCATAGTCCATTGTGTCCTGTTTACACATCAATATTTTGCATTTTGAAAAGAATCTATAGGAAGACATGTGTTTAAATAAAATTGTATATATTATTTTGTACCATTTCTAAACACAACGTATCCTAACACATTAGTAGTTTTTTTGAGCCAAAAGCTATAGCACCAAATTCAGAAAAGCATGAAGGATAAGTGATTACATTCCAATCCATGTATTAGTCCAAGAGGTTCAGATTTGGTCAGTTTGCTTAAAAATGTGGACCAAACAAAATATTCTTCCATACCTAGCTAGAGGAAAGAGAGGCATTTTGCACAACAACTGTACACTTTTGCAAAGCAAATTGGCTTTGTTTCCAACAGCTCAGCTCCGCAGTGCTACTTTTTTATCTAGTAAGCTCAGCACTTGGAACTAGACACCTTTTTGGAGACTGTCTAGAAAAAAAAGTTTGGCTAAATCCAAGCTGCTAAATGGATCATATTTAAAATCTTGAAAATAGGTCATGCGGGAAATGCCTAACCAAACAGAGCAGAATAAAGTCAGTTATCCTGTAAATACTACAGTTTAGCCCTAAACCATGGGATTAAGAATAACCATTTTTTTATTTCTTTATTTAAGGAAAAACACTGGTTTATATTTTTTACTTTCATTATATGTCACACAGAAGCAGGGGCGGCTTGTCACATTTTGCCACTTTAGGCAAAACAGGAAGTGCTGCCCTGCTGCCCCCCGCTGTGTCACCACTGCCAGTGGCGCCAACATCAGCACTGATTTCTGGTGAGATCTCATCACAATCTCATGTGAAATCTTGCAAGATCTCACCAGAAATCAGTGCAAACGCCACTTATCCACCAGCAGTGGTGGGGTACCTGCAAGGGAGCTCCTGCAGCGGCTTCCTCCACTCAAGGCAGCTGCTTCACCCCACCTCATGGGAAGGCTGAGTCTGCACAGAAGACAGAGGGTCCAGAAGATGAGGACTACAATGGATAGGGAAGACCTGCTCAGTTTTCTTTTCTGTACAGGGGAATCCCCACTTACACCGGGGTTCCGTTCTCGGCCACTGTGCACATCAGTGGGATGCACACAACTCTGTTCCGCCCTGCCCCCTTTTGGCACCGAAAATGGTGCGCGTGTCAGCAGTTGCATGCCTGCTGGTCACATGCGAGTGGGAAGGTGCCTGTATTTTTCAAAGCTACAAAGTGTGTATGTGTGTGAGAGAGCAATCTACAAGCAGAACTAGGCTTCTTGGTATTTATAGCTGGAATTTTGCAGTGCCTTCTACAAATTAGTCATCAGATAGGTTCTCGGTTTCCTTGTATTACTGTATGCTATTTAAACTAGAATTTTGTGCTAAATTGTTGCTGTGTGAAATATTAAATGTTACTTTACCTCACATTTTCCTTTATAAAACGAAGCTAAAACTCTTCAAAAATAAAACCAGATGGCAAGCTACACTTTCTCCTTTGCCAGTCAAAGGCAAGGAAGACTTAATTAATGTTAAATGAGAGCTTTAATAGTCAGACATAAATTACACAGCAACTGTACTATTTCTGCCTGAGCTTTTAAGGCCCTGGCAGGTCTGTCTCACTATTAAAAACACTTAGATTTCCAAATATAACTCTCCAAACGTTGGCTAGTCTCGTACTAATTTTATTTCCATTACTAATGGGATGGATACATATTTAATTTATTTTTACAAGTGCTTTGAAGAGAATTTCTCGTGGACCCTGTGACTTTGTTGACATTTGAGGGTGCAATAATCAATTAGTCAGCTAATTAACTTTTTTTAAAAAAAAACAACAATGTGACTCAATCACTTCTGTACCAAGACAACTCAGCAGGGGAACATTATGTTGGGGCATGATATGGCATCATTCTCATTCCTGCAAAAGAGCAGCTTAAGGGAACTTTTACTGAAGTTCCAGTTGCTTGGGGGCCATAGGATTTGGCAGAAGTCAGTGGAACAGCTGGAATGAAATAGGGTTGTTGGTGGCACAGGAGAGGAACACAAACCATGTCCCATACCTCTTCAGTACTTGGCCACACCCCCATCAACTGCATTACTTAATACCAACCCAGATCTAACACAGGAAGCACCATTTACATCAGCAGGGAACCAAACCACCAGAATAGCTGCTCACATGTTGACAACCACCCCACCCTTGTTGTCACAACAAACCACATAATATGGTGCAACCGCCTGTCCCTGAACTGACCCAGGCCCTGCAGTCATCTGAGGCCCTACTTCATGTGCCCACTCTGTAAGAGGCTCAGATTGTGGTAACATGAGACTGGCCCTTTTTTGTGGTGGCTCCCCATTTGTGGAATGCTCTCCCCAGGGAAGCTCACCTGGTTCCTTCATTACATATCTTTAGGTGCCAGGCAGAAACATTCCTCTTTGACCAGGCCTTTGGCTGTTAAACAATCTATATAGCCTTTTAAATGTATGTGGGGGGTATAGTAGTAGTATTAATAGTAGTACGTTATGTATTTTTGTTTTTACATTGTAAACTTCCCTGTGATCTTCAGATGAAGAGTGGCATATGAATTTAGTAAACAAACAAACAAACAAACAAACAAACAAACTGTGCACCTAATCCCAGCACACCACCACCAGTATATAAACCTGACTCAAAGTGACCATAACTAAAATGACAGAGTGCATCGCATAGGGCTATATCTCTCTGGCCTCATGTTGTGGGTGTTTAGGGCTTACATGGGGGAACTTGGGTGATGGGAAACAGGGAGAAAGTTTGCACAAAAAAGGACCACATGAAGCCATTGCTAACACTTCTCTGCCTAGGACCCTAACAAGTGCCAGTGTGGTGTAGTGGTTAAGAACGGTAGTCTTGTAACCTGGGGAACCGGGTTCGCGTCTCCGCTCCTCCACATGCAGCTGCTGGGTGACCTTGGGCCAGTCACACTTCTTTGAAGTCTCTCAGCCCCACTCACCTCACAGAGTGTTTGTTGTGGGGGAGGAAGGGAAAGGAGAATGTTAGCCGCTTTGAGACTCCTGAAGGGAAGTGAAAGGCGGGATTATGAAATCCAAACTCTTCTTCTCTTCTTCTTCATCTGAGAATTCCAGATACAAACACCCAGCACCAAACTTCACTCCAACAACTGGGTTTGTTTCCCTTGAGTTTAAAGGAAGAGCAGCGCTTAGCCACCTCCTAAAGTTATTAAGGGAAACGTCAAGAGTCAACCCCTACAACCCTTAATTGTATCAAGTACTCAATCTGAATTTCTCCCAATTGTGAGGAGCATTTTTACCTCTCCCCCTACATATGATTGGAAGAGGAAACTCAGGCAAAAATATTGGTTCAGCTTGCCACTGAATAACTATCAGTGGGAGGCAAATGCACAGAGGACTTCCAGAGGCATCTAACTGGCCACTGTGATAAGTGGAATGCTGGACTTGAATGGTCTTTATTGTGACCCAGCAGTGCTCTTCTTCAGTTCCTGTTCAGTTCCCAAGGAACCTGACTGACTAGAAGCTCCAGTCTGTCCTTAGCAGCCAGTGGCTTTTCGTAGGCTTCTTTCCCAGGACTGGCTGAAGATGAAGCCCAAAGGCACAGCGATGTTTTCTTGCTTAGTAAGACAGTTTTACCATCTGTTTGCTCACTAAGCCAGTTCTCAAATAACTTTCAGCTTTATGCAGCAGTTGGCTTGTCAGTGAATGAAAATTAGCTGGTAAAAATTCTGAATCAGAAATATTTATTGGGGGGGGGGGAGAGGAATCGCCTGCAGGCTCCTACTTCTGGCTTGAATTGATTATGCAGATAGGCTTCCAGAGGAAGACGGTCAGCTTTCAGCAGTGTATTGGACTGTTGTTAAACAATTTCTGTGGTTTTCAGTTACAATAGTTTGGCTTCCATATATGAGAAAATACATGTGTGATGAAAGTGTCTTACATGATGCTGAAGAAAGCATGAAATGTGTTGAGAACTAAGTGGCCTTTTCCGACATGTAGATCCTGTCTCAAAGTTCTGGCTCACTGTGCTTTATGCACACAAATCTACACTTGGACCAAATAGGATGTTAAAGGAATTACTTGTAAGAGGACTTGATGCAAGATAAACATATTTAAGGATAGTGGAGATGTGTCAGATGTTTGGATTTGAGAATGAACAACTCAGACTGGCTGAAAACCAAGTCTATATTGTTATACTGTAGACCAGGAGTAGCCAACCTCTCCACTGGCTGTTGGACTACATTTCCCATCAAACCCAACTGGCCTGGCCAATGGTAAGGTCTGGTGGAAGTTGGAGTATGCCACAGTAGATACCTCTGACAGAGACCATCTCCCTTTAAAAAGGCAGCCAACTTCCCAGTTGCTTCCTTGAAAGAATCCTCGTAATTGTAATTTGTTTAAGATGCTTGCAATTCTCTTTGTCTGTGAACTTTTGTCCCAATCGCAGAGCTACACTTCCTAAGGTTACCTGAGACTAGGCAATACCTTTAAGCCAGTGGATATGCTCATACAACTGCATCAAAGGTGCAATTCTTTTAGAGTTGTTCCCCATTAGAAAATCCTCTGTTTTATACAGCCCTCAAAAAGCAGAAAAAGCCCTCAGAGTCTGGACCAGGCAACCCAGTGTAGCATAATGTTTATTAGCAACCCTGGTATGAAAATCTGCTGAAATAACACAGTCATGCTCTCAGCAGTGAATAATCACTTCCGTGGTCTACTGCAGGGTTTCCCCATCTGTATGTATTTGAGGCTGTTGGCCAAGTTGCAAAAGGGGCAGGGCTTGGATACAAACTGGTCCTTCTTCTTCTTTTATTAACCAAATGAGTAATTTATTCCCAATTTAATGTCTGGGAAAAATGGTGGACCAGAAGGTAATTGGCTGGTTAATATATTCCAGACCTTTGCAGGAGGAAATTATGCTCTTGATTTTCTCAGTTGTATATCCAACTGGAAGCTGTCTGGCTATGTGCATATTTATAAATATTCTTTCAACTGTGGTAGAAGCCAAATAGTAAGAACAGGGGTATTATCCAGATAATCCTTGAAAGTCTTGGCACCTAGGAGCAAATTAGTAGGAGTCATGATATAAATCAAGGCAGAAATGGAAAAAAACATTACTAAATCTAAGGATATGAAAACAACTGTTGACCTTGACAGCTAACTAATTCTGTGATCATAATAAAACTTATACCCACTATTCTCATATTACTCAAAATTTGTCCTAGGTTTGTCACATCTGTTATAATTCCTAAAACACTATGTTGTCCCCCCTTCCATTCTTCATGTTGTACATGATAATACAATCTTGTACATGATGATACTATGCTTCTCTTGTTTTGGAATTATTGTGTATTTAAAAATCTTAAACTGAGTATCTTTCTAGTCATATATCAAAAGCACTCTAGGCAAAACTGTAGTACTTCGGGTTACATATGCTTCAGGTTACAGACACTTCAGGTTACAGACTCCACTAACCCAGAAATAGTACCTCAGGTTAAGAACTTTGCTTCAGGATGAGAACAGAAATCGTGCTCCAGTGGTGCAGTGGCAGCAGGAGGCCCCATTAGCTAAAGTGGTGCTTCAGGTTAAGAACAGTTTCAGTTTAAGAACGGACCTCCGGAACGAATTAAGTTCTTAACCTGAGGTACCACTGTACCTCAGTTATTTATAGTGCCTTAAAACAACTTTGCTAAGTTTTCGAGCTGTGACCAGTGCTTCTTTTCTTTAAAAATGTTTAGGGGTCCTCTCATTTGACTCAGTAAAATCACCATTTTAAATACAGTAAATGAACAAAAGTACAAAAATTCACAAAATGTTTAGAGGTATGCATACCTACGTACCCCCCAGAAAAAAAGCACTGGCTATGACCATTCCTGGACAGGGATGTCTTGCCACAGTGCTATGGTAACCTCTCACTTAGAGTGCTGTAATATGTTGCCTATGGGGCTGCCCTTGAAGATGACTCGAAAGCTTCAGCTGGCGCAGAATGTAGCTGCCAGCATTTTAACCAGTAGTCAGGTGGAACCATACTTCATCAATTCTGAAAGAATTATACTGGCTGCTTGATTGTTTCTGAGGCCAGTTTAAGGAACTGGTCCTTACCTCTAAAGCCTTAAATGGCTTGGAACACAGATACCTCTTCATCATCAAACTACAGGGTTGGAAAGGGACCCCAATAGTAATCTAGTCCAATCCTCTGCAATGCAGGAATCACAACTAAATAGTCCCTGACAGATGGTCATCCAATCTCAGTTTAAAAGCCTTCTATGAAGGAGAGTCCATCACCTTCCACTGTACCTGAAAGGGCACTTCTCTCTCTCTCTGCCAATCTGCCTATGTCTTAAGATCTTCAGAACAGGCTCTTTTTCATGCCACTGCCAGGGAATATTTAACCCTTGTTTTTGTATTGGTACTGAAGTTGAGCTTACTGTTGCCTACTATGCCTTCTTTACATATAGTGACTATAATGAAACAGAACATATTTTACATGAATCCTTACATATTTGAAATATACACCCAATCCAACATAGATTGATTTGAACTTCTAGCATTAACTTAATTGGCCAGGCTTATGGAGCGATCACTGGGATGTATAGTAACACTTTAAGCAGATGACTCTGGCCACAAAACACCAGGAATGGTTCATGTGCAATCCTCATTATACTTAATGAGAAGTTTCCAGTGAATTCTGCCTCTGGTCATCTGTTTCAACCATTTGGAAATGCTTTTAAGTCTTCTCTCTTTCTCTTTCCATATTCATTTTCCTCCCTTCCCACCCCAGCCCCCAATCAAGGGAGTTTACCGCAGATGTGAAGAGTCAGCCTGGAACATAAAAGCTTCCCACTCAGCTATCTCTTTCCTTTTGATTTCCTGCAAGGAAACCAACATTGAAATAGTTTGCAATTACTATCCATTTGTCACAAACTACCTTTAAGAGTCAGTGAGGGCAGATGGAATATAGTGTGGAAAATATTTTCCAGCAAAATTGGGTTATTCCCCTCAAGGATATCTAGACTGGTTTAACTGAAACTGAAAAAGGAATGTATTCTGCAACTAATAATGCAAAATCCATAGTTGCAAGATGTAATTTATTTATGATTTAAGGTCTGGCACACGCCACTCTTTCCATCCCCTCAACATTTAATAAGCTCCTTTCTTCTAGTTATGCACAAATATCATGGAAACACACTCACCCAAACATACAATCTGTTTGTCTGTCCTTGTTACATATGCAATAGTTGAAAAAATAATTGGTACTATGAACTTCCTTCCTCGCATATCTCTCCAATATGTTCCAAATGCCTTTGCTATAAAGTTACTTTCCACTTCTGTTGCTGTGAGTGTGTAACCCCTCCCCAGTCCTCACATAGATTTTAATTTTGTAGTCCTCACTTTTAAACAGTGGTGGGGCAATATTTTCCCTCTTAGGGGCCACATTCCCTGTGGGAACATTCCAGATGCCTTATCCAAGAGGTACAACCAGGCAGTGGATGTGGTTCCTTGTACAATAGGCTACTTTCTAATCCCACAGAGTGTTGCTCACACCCATACAAACCCTTCATATAGGAAGCAAGACCTGGGACCAGGGGTGGACTTTGGTAATATGGCACCCTGAGCGAGAACAACACCCCCCATGTATTTCTTATTTTCACAATAACTGATTAGGTATCTGTATAAAGATAGTTGTTTTGCTGTGTTGTTGTTGTTTGTTGTTATGTACCCCCTCAGCTCAGCACCTTGGGCAGGAGAACTGCCTACACTGCCCTAAATCCAGCACTGCTGGGACTATAATAAGCAGTTATAATTGTTGATTTAAGCAGAGTCTTGGTGCCCAGCGGAAGGATGAGGAATACGTGCTGCATACTCTATATTGCTTTATTTACAGTTCAAAGCTGGTATATTACAGAAAGACATCTTGCCTCTGCAGGAGCAGAAAATGCATCCTCTCTCCTCGACAGCTCGGAGAGAAACACACAGTGAAAAACAGGAAACCAGTGTACGTCACATCCAGTCTCCCTTTCCCGTGAGAAACTCCAACAGTACAGACTGTGGAATGTAAACACCTGTCTCGTGACAAGCAGAGCTGCACAGTGAAGGAAAGCAGAAACCAACATCCTCCCCATTCTGTGAACATCACTGGGCATCGTGTATGTACAATATCAGTACAAACCCAACTTCTGCACATAGGTACAGTGTTGATCCCTCGATACAATCTTGGACAATACATCAGCAGGAATTTCATTACCTGGCATATAGGACACCGTTACGAGTCCCTTCTGAATACATTCCCTAGCATGCTGCAACTTTAATTGCAAGTGCTTTGTGCTTTGCTTACAACCTTCAGACTTCAGCAAAGCCAAACATGCTTTGTTGTCCTGGTAAACCTGGATTGGACATTTGACAGGAATTTTCATATCTTTGCACAATTGTACTAACCATTCACAATCCTTAAGTGAATAAGACAGTGCATTCAGTTCGGCTTCACAAGTACTTAAGCTAACTGTTGTTTGCTTCTTGCATGACCAATCAAACAGACTCTGATTGTACATGTAGCAAACTCCAGACGTACTTTTCCTGTCTGTAGCGTCACTTCCAAAACTTGCATCTGCAAATATCTCAAGACCACCAGACTTTTGATTGTTAAATCTCAGTCTGTAATGCATAGTGCCTTTCAAATACCGCGCTATGCGTTTCAGAGCTTTCAATCCTTGACACTAGGATTGTTGACTTGTCTGCTTAGCAAATTACAGCTAACAGCAATGTCTGGTCTTGAACATCTGGCAATGAAGTTTAGCTTGCCTAGCACACTCCTGTACAGTGTAGTGTCAGAAAATGCTTCTTCAGTGTCATCTACCTGATAACCTGTTGTCATCGGTGTGTCTACAGGGTTAGCATCCATCAGATTTAGTTTGCTTAACACATCAGCAATTTTCCGTGACTGGTGTACTAGAATGTTACCATCTTGATCTCTCTCTATTTCCAGAGATAGGTAGTTGTTTACCTCACCAAGATCTTTCATGTCAAAGTGCTTTTTCAGTTGAGCTAGGGCGCTATTGTACATTGCAACATCTTTCCAAAAGAATAATAAATCATCAACATAAAACAAACAGTACAGTTTCTTTTGCCCCTCCTCTTTGACAAATACACATGGATCAGCTTTCGCTTGCTGAAAACCTAGAGAAAACAACACTTCAGTGAGTTTTGTGTGCCAACACCGTGCACTTTGTTTGAGACCATAAAGGGATTTCTTCAGAGCACAAACAAATCCCTGTTTTACCTGTACGCCATCAGGTGGAAGCATATAAAGTGATTCATCTAGAGATCCGTACAGAAAAGCTGTATTGATATCATGGTGACTAATGTGTAGATTTTCCTCTGCAGCTAGCTTGAGCATAAGCCTAATGCTTTCATATCTCACTGTGGGTGAATAGGTCTCGTGATAGTCTTCACCTGGTACCTGCGCAAAACCTCTGGCTACCAATCTGGCTTTGTGTCTGACTATCTTGCCATTTTGATTTGTCTTCGCTTTGAAGACCCATTTGCTTCAAGCAGTTTCATTCCTGGAACTACTGGAACTAGCTCCCATGTTTTGTTCCTTTCTAAGGAATCAAGCTCAGCCTTCATGGCATTTAACCATGGCTCAGCTTCCTTTGAATCCAAACCCTGGATTTCTTGGAAACTTGAAGGTTCAAATACCTTCTTGGAGCTTTTAACAGCTGTTACTGCTATCTTTGCAAACTCATCAGCAAATCTCTTTGGAGGTTTGCCTTTGTGGCTCTCTGTGACCTACGAATTAGCCTTAAGTCTTCAACACTCTCCTCTTCCTTCTTAGGAGAAAACGACCTATTGTGAACAATGGTTCCTCCAATTCTTGATCAGAGCTTTCAGAGGGTCGCATAGAGGCTTTCGCACTCTCGAAATCCTCTGAATCACCCGATTCAGTTTCAGATTCAGACTCAGAACCTTCATCAGTGGGTGTGGGCTGTTGTGGTTGCTTTTGACTATCCTCAGTCTCATCACCGTCATCAGGATAACATTGGAAAATTCCCACATTCTCCCCCCACTTTGCATTGTACTCAACACTTCTTGTGAGCTTAATTGTCTTAGAGTCAGTCATCATTATTCTGTAAGACCCTTTCTGATAACCTAGAAAGATACCATGCAATCCACGCTTGTCTAACTTGGAGTTTTGTGGTGAGCGAACCCACATGTCAGAACCAAAATCTTCATGTGTTTGATGTATGGCTTCTTGCCAAACATCTTCTCATAGGGGTACAACCAATCGCTGAAGATAACCTGCGATTGTAACTGTAAACAAAACACGAGAGAGATTCGGCCCAATAACTCTCTGGAAGATTGGCATCATGCAGCAAGGTTTTTAAGCCTTGAAGCAATGTCTGATTTGCCCGTTCCGCAAGTCCATTCTGCCATGGCGAGCGAGGACTAGACAAATCGTGTTGAATTCCTTTCTCAGTCAGAAAAGCTTCAAACTGCTGAGAAGTGAATTCCCCCCCGCGATCACTGAAAAGAGTCTTTATCTTCTTACCATGCACATTTTCCAACCAAGCACAGAATTCCTTGAACCTAGGAAAAGCCTCCGATTTCTGCTTGAGATTGTACACAAAAATATATCTAGAAAATGCATCAATGAGAACCATGAAGTATCTATTTCCACCCAAAGAGGGCGCTAGTGGTCCAACCAAATCAGCATGAACAACCTGGTATGGTTCTGTAGCTTTCCTACTAGACACCTTACCTTTCGCAGCCATTTTTACCTTGTTTGCTGCGCATGCTTTGCACTTCATGTGGTACCTGCAGGGTTTAATAGTCATACCTTCAACCAAGGCAGGCATTTTAGATACTGCCTCAAAATGCAAATGACCAAATTTTCGATGAAAATCGTGAATACATTCTGCATGCAAACTTTTGTTAGAACCTGCAATGCAACAAGTGTCATCCTGCACCACATCATCATAATACAAAACAAACAAATGATCAACATATTCTGCATGCAATACATAATCATTTTTCTTTGTGATGATGCACTTCTTGTTCTTGAAGGAAACGTCAATGTTCCGCTCATTCAGCTGTCCAACGCTGAGCAGATTATGTTTGGCGTCTGGCACGTAAAGCACATTCTGTATCGATAAGTCCAAACTGTGAAGAACAACAGTTCCGTAGCCTTTACTGGGAATAGTGTGGTCATCCGCCTGGTGAATCGCACCTTCCTGCGGTGTAAAAGACACAAACAGTCTCTTATCGTTGCACATGTGGTGGGTGGCCGCTGAATCAATTACGAAGAAAGATCTAGACGTCTTCTGGACCTCTGCAACCTTTGGAGTGAAGCGTGAAACCATAGCCTTGTGCTGCGTTGTCCTAGACACCGGACCTTTGCCTTTGCCTCGGCCTTTTCTGCGCGATGAGCTTCGCTGCGCTGCTCTGTCTTGGCCCTGGGATGTCTGCATTCCCTCTTCATATGGCCTAGACGTCCACACGAGTAGCATTTCACTGCCTTCAAAGCTTTGGCGCCATCTGGTGGTTCCACTGCACTATGGGATGACGTCTGTGAAGACTCCCCTTGCCCATGCAGCTAGCACCCCGGCGATCTGCTTCATTTAAAATCACGGCAGTAACAAAGTCCACTGTCAGCTGAGCAGTTGGTTGCACAGCAATCTGGGTTGCAACAGACTCCCAACCTGAACCCAAAGATTGTAGTATCATGAAAGAATACACAGCCTCTGGAAAGTTGAGTCCTCTCTGTTGCAGCTCATGTCTCAGATTTTGCATTTCCATCAGATGTAAACGCACATCTCCACCTTCAGCAAGAGCCATATTATGCAGCTTGTTAAAGTAAAACATAGTGGATCCAGCTTCTGTCCTTAAGTGAGCCTCTCTCAGAGCGTCCCAAATTTCTCTGGCTGAGGTCTTATCACGCAATAGACAGAGCTCTTCTGGGGATACTATCAATGTAAGAGTTCCCTTGCTTTGGAATCCTTAGCTTCCCATGCATCTGTAACTGGAACTGGGGGGGTTCCTGTAATCACCTCAAACAAACCCTCTTTCCGCAGAATTGCCTCTGCATACTGAACCCAGTCGGCATAATTTTTCTTGTTGAGCTTAGGAATCCCACAAGCATCCTGAAGGGCCATCATGACTCTGGCATTAGCCTTCAGCGTCATATATATGCTGCTTTAAATCTTGCTGCGTCACTGCTGCAGCTGCCTTATTACAAAGGCGCACTTAAAAGTTACTTCGATTTCCCAGCATAGTGACTTGTGCCTGGGAGCCTTTTGCCTATTCCCGGCAAAACCGGCTTTAAAAGTTCAAAGTCCAGCCATAAAGCCATTAACTTGAAGCTGGCAGGCTGCCCGGAGCAGTAGCACATACCTCATCAATCACTTCTACGCGCAGAGCAGATTCCGTTCCGATCTGTCCCGCTGCATTCCGATCCTTTGCCGGCACTCCGATTCGACCTCTGGAGCCCATAACCACGTGTTGATTTAAGCAGAGTCTTGGTGCCCAGCGGAAGGATGAGGAATACGTGCTGCATACTCTATATTGCTTTATTTACAGTTCAAAGCTGGTATATTACAGAAAGACATCTTGCCTCTGCAGGAGCAGAAAATGCATCCTCTCTCCTCGACAGCTCGGAGAGAAACACACAGTGAAAAACAGGAAACCAGTGTACGTCACATCCAGTCTCCCTTTCCCGTGAGAAACTCCAACAGTACAGACTGTGGAATGTAAACACCTGTCTCGTGACAGGCAGAGCTGCACAGTGAAGGAAAGCAGAAACCAACAATAATAAGCAGTTAGAATTGGTTGCTCTGATATACTGAGCTGAAGGCTTGGCTGGTAGAATGCAGTGAAGAACCAATTGAAAAGGGAAGTAGCTACCGGTAACTGAGGAGAAAATGAAGTCAAGTGGTGATATCCCACAGTTTAAAAAACATAAACACCTCCTAGAGAATCTCAGAAAATTATAGATAGACATATTGTTCAGACACAGACTGATTGTCAGCAACTTGTGTGGAAGTACAGAAATACACAGGGTTGCAGTCATCTTTTGCATGCCACCACCAATATTACCAAAAGATCTTTGCAACTGTGTGCCTAAAAACCTTAATTCTCCACATGGTGGCAGTTGTACACAGTTGTTTAGCAACACAGACAGCACAGGAATCTGACACAGGGTGGATTATCAAGTACCTACCATACCATCTAATTGTTCATGTGAATTGGCATTAACATTACACTTTTTTGCAGTTTAACACAATTCATTCTGTTAACTAATAACCTGATACTATAATTCACACAGTTAGGCATGCTTCAGCCCACTGAAGTACATTGAAAGCTGGTGTGATGCAGTGGTTAGAGAACTGAACGAGGTCTGGAGAGACCCAGATTCAAATCTCCACTCAGCCACAATGCTCACAGGTTTACCTCTGGGCCCATCACTGACCTGGCTCTCACCTCACGGTAAGCCAAACTATGGCTTACTAGGCGTGCATGAATGTGTGGGTTCTTGGAGAAGAATTTGCTGCCTTTTGCGCCGCCCTTAATTCATTTATTGTAATGTAGGAAGTTTATTGTTAGAAGTTGTTAAAAGTCTCTCCCCTTCACCCCCACATTGGTATAATTATCTTGAAACTTAACTCCTTTGATTGTGACAGGCCTGTTCTAAGTCATTGTCTGTCATGCATTTTTAATGGAATTCTGAACATTTTGTTAAATGAGTGCCACTTCATAGGTATAAAAAAATGTCCTACATATGCACAGTAAATATTTGTAAACATACTGTTGTGTATCAGGGACCACAATGGTGAGATGAGTAGAGGCAAGCAATTGTATAATTCAATTTATTACCACTAATGACTCATTGCCCAGGAGAGGCTGCATCTGGAGCAATTTATTATGGTCAGCTCCTCCTATTTACAAATAAAACAAGTTTGTTAGATGTTTGCAAGATTGATGCTTTCTTATTCGGTTATATAAGCTTGATTTTGTGCCCCCATTTTCTTAAGCTTTTGCAAACCCTTTAATGAATAATTCTGAAGTGTAGGCATTTGAATTTAACTTAAAGTTACATACTCGTCTTTCCCTTTTTTCAGTTTTCTCCTGTGCTGCTTTCTGTCATGTCTGAACAATCAATTTTTCTCTATATACTCATGTCAATTTCTAAAGAAGCAAAAGTTCTGGCATCAAGCTCCTACCAGACAAATAGCTGGGACTGCTTTAGGAATTCTGTTTTGCAGTGAAATTGAAAGGGACCAGAACCCCAGATCCCTTTGTCCATTTTTGACAGTGTAATAGGGAGCGGGGGGGGGGGGGAGGTCAAGATGCTGAATGAATAGACAATAGGTGTTTATGACAGTTAGAGATGCCACACCCCAGCCTTTGGGGTTTTCCAGTACTCCAGGCAGCTGGACAGTTTGGCACATTGCTGACTGATTAGTCCCTGCTTCTACACTTTCCTCCTCCCTTGGCCCACCCTGTCTTCACCCTGCACCAGTTTTAATATTTGCACAATATTGACATAAGAAACGTTTTAATATTTACCCTATACTGACATAGGGAAAAGGTTGGGGGCTTCTAAAACGCATCGTGTTCATGTGCAGTATGCATGCTCAGTGTCTGGAATACACCGTCAACCGTCTGGAATGCCAAGTCAACAAGGCGGTGTAGCGTCTGATCACTTGCACTGCTGTATCCATGCAGACCTTTGCCCTATGTCTAGCTCATTTTAGCCAGCTGAGCCACCCTTCACACAGCTTGGGTGAATGAAGCCTACAAATGAGGGAAAACTTGTTTAGTTCTATCCATTTTGATTGATTCATTGTGAAAGTGAGGGAATTCTTTCGGCCAGCAAGCAACACATGATGCCTTGTAAACAAAGTTGTGACTTGCTGGATTTTAAAAAGTGCTGTATCTCAAGCCTCGTCCAGCTTAGTTTTTGTATAACTATGCACCAGTTCCACTTTTGAGATGTATGTTGTAGTAGCACATTGAACATTCATTTTCTGGTCTGCAGACATTAGGGAATTTAAATCTGCTGAGATGCAGCACTAACAGGGAGAGTTTGGTCACTGTTATTCCAGTGGTTAAAGGGTTAGACTAGAACCTGGAGACCAGGGTTCAAATCCCCACACAGCCATAAAGTGCAGTGGGTGACCTTGGGCCAGTCATTCACTCTCAGCCTAGCCAACCTCACAGGGTTGTTGTGGGGGTTAAATTAGACAGGGGAGGAACCATGTAAGCCTCCTTGAGCTTCATGGAGAAAAAGATGGTACATAAATGCAGCAAACAAGGGTTGGAAAATTAATCCCGAAAACATCACTTCTTGATAAGGATAAAACTTGCACCTGCTTGGAGGCACTGAATGTCTGGGAAAGACAAATAAAAGTGGTTTTATTATTTAACTGTACCTTCAAAAAAGGAGGAAGGAAGAATACAAACTTTAAATGCTTGTTACAACTAAACAACCACACCCTTTGCCCTGAAAGAAGTTTGTTCTTGGGCGGTCTCATTAATAATGTTGTAATACTAATTTTTTCAAGTAACCAAGCAACCTATAGCACATGAATTACTGCTGTTGTTATTATTAGCTGTGCTTTAATAACCACTTGAAGAGGGCATCTGAACAATGAAAGGAAAACTATATTCCTTAAGTCATAGTGCCACCATATGGTGTGCCTGATACATCATTTCGTTTGTGTGGAGAGGAAATTTTGTTTTCACTTAAAAGGGTGGTGGAGGGGAGAAAGGACTGTATTGTGTCCACCATATAACCAGGGCTTGCAGCACCTCTCAGGTGGGTGCCATTGCCATTCTAAGAGAATAAGGGAGGTATTCGTGGTGAGTTCTGGCACCTCTTTTTCTAGAAAAATAGCACTGCATATAACAAAGATGTAATCTGGCTAATTTGGTAATGCATACACACTACAATTCTGTATGCCACCATGTCCACAATTTGGTCTGCTGAAGAGTGATCCATTACAATCAGTGATTCACAGTAATCTGTTTTCCAGACAATTTGTTTACTACAGTTTGGAAAACAAGCAAAAGGCCACACAGTGTGATCATATGATTTGGCTTTCCATCAGAACAGAAAAGAATCAAAAGCATTTTAATTATTTTTTTTTCTAACCTGATGTAACTACTTCTGTGGACACAGCCAAAGTCTTAAGTAGTAAGCAGTATGATTTTTTAAAGCAATTAAGTAACTTCAACGAATGGGAAATGTGATTTTTAAAAAGAGGAATATATTTTCTGTTATGATGTTTCAGTCAGAATTAGGAGTACTGAGTTCATCCAAAACATGATGGTGTTCCCACCCAGGATTATTGAAAACAATGACCATTTTACCTCATATAGTCCTTTGGGTGCAGTAATACTAAACTAACACATGGCAGTGCATTCTTGCTCAACAATTAAACGTTGCACCAAACAGTTACTTTCAGCTGGGAGTATCATGATGATTGTTTGAAAAATATTCTGCTGCCTTTCCAAATCTCCCCCTTTGGTCATTTATCATATTGACATTCCTGCCCTATTAGCACTAGCATATACTTGTGCAGCACTTTAACATTACGTTACTAATGACTGAATTCCAACATGTATATAGTTACCTTTTCCTGGCAGTTTCAGTTATGTAAAGTGCCAAGTTACGGAGTAACCACTATTAGAACATGAATCCCACACGTTTATTGTAACACTAATCTTAATGTCGTGTCAGTTCTTTTCAATGCCACAGTTAAGCTATTGTTTAAAAATAAGATTTTCTGTGACTTCAGCAAACATATATATTTTTTTTAAAATTGCACTCCTACTAGTTTTCAGTTGTAATGTATGTTGTTTTATTTATAGAAGTAATTTCTGTTAACTACTTTATTTACATTAAAACTCAGTTATCTTTGAATTTTCAAAATATAAGCAGTTTCCTGTGCAGAAAATATTGTCACATGCCACCCGCAATTGCCATAAGCAGTGTGAGATTCCAGGATTTGCAGGCACACTTTACCCAGGGGCTGTTTCCTTTTGGACAATGAGGCACAGTGGAGACTGTGGTGTCTTTATTATATATGATTTATTTACACATATCAACAGCCTGACCCTTGATGGAATCTGGATGGCTGTAGCATCAGATTCCAAAAGACCCCAAACATTGTGTCTGACCCTCTCTGCAGCATAAAACAGACAGCCCACCTTGTGCTCTGCACTCCCCAAAGCTTGCAAAACGGACACAACCCTAAACCAAAACTACTATTCTTTTGTCTTACTGTCTCTCATTTGTAGCTGACACAGCCTTTGCTTTGCTGATGGCCAATCTTGGGAGAGGAGCAAAGCACACTTCCCTCTCAGAAATTGAGTACTTGCTGACCAAGAGCTAACTTTCTCTTGTACTGAAGCATACTGCTTGCTGGCTCGTCACTGGACGCCACACTTCAAGAGAACACCAACTGCTTGCTGAGCACTCTGCAGCTGGCACACCTGCACAGGTTGGGAGTTGGTTTTCTCTTGGATGGGTTGCAGGTTTTCTAGGCTCACATTAGGCTGGGCGAGGCAGCTGATTTTTGGTGTCATAAAAGGGCAGTGAACTGTTAGTGACTTAATGTACAGTACTCTTACTGCCAATGTGGAGCAAAGTACTTAGAATGTTTTTTTCTCAGGTGCCAAAATAATTTGATCAGCCTTGGAAATTTGGGTGATGAGGGGTTCCACTAGCTGTGTCTTGAAGTTCATGCATATACATTATGCATCCCCTAGAAGGGGGATGGGAAGGAGGGGGACCAATAATAGAATGAACAGGCAGCAACTGTTACAAAAGAACTGTAGGCAAGAAAGGGGGAGCCTTGGAAGGCAGTAGTTGATCTAACTCCCACCCACCCCTTTATGTGGAAAATGCCGGTTTGAACATTTGGCACAGCCCTACTCATAACACTACTGCTCTCAAAATAAGGGTCACTGCTAAAGATGCACACACCCTGCAGCACATTGCTTAAGTAGTGGAGAAGGAGGAGGAGAGCCATCAACCAATCATCCTTCAACCAATCATCCCCTTTTTGTTTTCATAATGTCAAGACTGTTTACTGCAGAGGTGAGGATTTGCATCTGGCCAGCAGGCCAAGTTCAGAAGTGGCCAACCCTTCAAGGGCCATTCTGACTCCTGTCTCAATGGTCTAGGCCAGGGTTACATTCAACGACCTTTTACTCAAAGAGTAGACCCACTCAAATTAATGGGCGTGGCTAATTTGGGTCCATTAATTTCAGTGGGTCTACTCTTAATAAACTTTTGCGACAGCTTCTTAACAGCATTTATTTTAATAACTTAATCCGATGGGGATAATTCCAAGGTTAGTGTTTAGGATCGTGGCCTCCCTAACCAAAGCGCTGGCCCTGATCAGGGACGCTCTCCCTGTGCAGTGCACAAGTCCCTTTTAATATTGTTCATTATTAGAGCAGTCCCTTTAAACAACGCTTCTGGCCGTTCGAGTTAAAACCAAACCCAAGAAAACGTAATAATTATATAATCTGGTTTCCCCTCAGGAAAGAGGGAACCTCCGGGAACTGCGTCTGTCGGCCTTTTATCGCGGCGGCAACAGCCGCTAGAGGGAGAGCGAGAGCGGCCTCCTCAGCTGACACTCCGGGCAAGCTGCTAGTCGGCCAGGGCGCGGCGGAGGAAGGCGGGGCATGAAGGCAGACGCCTGAAGGAGACTTGCCGGCCTTCGTTGTAGCGGCCGCAGCGCCCCAGAGGGCTTGAACCCGGGACGCGGGTGCCGGGTTTCAGCGGCGACCACTCAGCACCCCATGCGCAAGATGCTGGCCGCGCTGTCTCGCCTGCTGCAAGGCCCGGCTGCTCACAGACCGGTGAGTGAGGCACTGGGGACGGAAGGTCGTGAGAGAAGGGCGGCGGCTTCTTCTCTAGTATTTGGAAGCTTGCCCCCCCCCCTCCCCGCATTGTCTCGAGGCGGAGGTGGGGGCTGTCCTCGAGCGCCTGCTGCGAAATGACCGTTATTTCTCTCCCTCCTCCTCTCTCGGCGGGGAGGCCTCGCGAGAGGAATAGAGCGCGAGCCCCTTGGGACCTAGGCAGGCCTCGTGGGGAATTCACGCGCGCGCGCGGGTCAGGTGCAGATGGTACAAGACCCTCGTATTTCGCAGCGATTGCATTTCAACGTGTGCACCTCCGGAAGCTCCTTGGGTGCCTTATTCTTCTCTTTTTCTTAACCCCCCCCACTGTGTCCTCCATTGCGGTGCGTGTTGTCCGTCGGGTTATCGTGGGCCCCGCAGTAGAATTCTGCAGCGTCTCTCCAGTTTCTATAGGAGTAGGAGGGCTGGGGGGGGAAAACACCCACACATCTCGCAACCAGTGCGTCTCTTTGGTTTCAGGTGAATCTAAAAAGCCCGGGACACAAATTTTCACTGCCCACTAGTGGCAATGGTGGCTCATTTACCAAAAGTAATGTATTCAGCCTTAAATTTGGAAGTGTATATTGTATGTACTCGATTCTAACCAAACGAAGCTTCTTCTATTTGTGTCCTTGGCTTTTTAGACTCCTCTACCCATGTACTATCTGAAACCAAAGAGGCGCATTGGGAGCCAGATGTGAAATATATCAGCATTAATTTCAACTCCCCAACCCCACTAATGTTACCTAAGCATAGAAGACAGGTGTCTTTGCTCTTCTATTGCCACTTAATTCACGTGCAAAAAGAATGAACGGGAGGAAGAACTGCCATAAATCATTCTCTCTCAACCGAAACCACGTCCTCTCCTGCTGCAGCAAGTATATAATACTGTACTAGACTGCACTGCAGGGCTGTTGTAATCTCTCTCTCTCTCTCTCTCTCTCTCTCTCTCTCTCTCTCTGCTTCAGCCCCACATGCAATAGAGGTCTACATTTGGACAACACTACATGGGTGTCTAAGACTGCTTAAAGCTGGGTCCTTGAGAGCATGGCTTTCAAAAGCCACACTCAACCATAGCCCTTTTCTATCTGCAGTATGGGGCAAGGAACTGTATTTATTGTTGCACACCACCCCAATCTCTGAGCGGTGTGAGGTTCCAGGCTCTTACCCATGAGGGATAGCAGACTGAGGTGTATTTATGATAGATGGTTTATTTACACATATATACATCCTAAGCCTATGATGGAGGGGTTGACAGCATTAACACCCATAGCCCATAGCCACAGCCTTGAAATCAAGCATGTGTCTTTCTCTCAAAGGTTTCAGTCTGCTTCTTCCCCCTGCTTCTAGCTTGCACACACAACTCAGCTCTGGCTTTTGTCTTTTTCTAGGGCACTATCAGTGAATTGAGAGAAATTGATACACTGGTGCTTAATTCCAGCTACGTTAAAATCTTGGATTTCTCCATTAATTTATATGAGGACATAATAGGACTTATTTACTGCTCCTTTGCTGCATGTCTCTCTAATACAGTACTCTTGCTGTCATCCAGCCTCACAGCTCACTAGAATGCCAGGCAATATTGTGGGCTCCATACTACTGGAGAGGGCACTCAGGCGTGCTCTTATCCCAGCCCTTCTCTTGTCATTCCACACTGAGGTGAGAGCCTCAACAGGATCACCTACTCTATCCATTAGGAAGTCCCCTAAAGCATTCAGGAATCTTATCAGTATCCATAAGCCTCCATAAGCCTCTGTGATTCCCCCACCACTGCAATGGGAAATAGCTGCTCTGACACACACACAACCCACACACATTTTCAGACCACCCCTCACCCACTTAGGACAAAAATCAAGTCAAGGGTATATCCTGCTGTGCGTGTCAAGCTGGTAACAAGCTGATACAGTCCCTGGAAGTTATGAAATCTGAGCTGGTCCCAGACTAGCCTCAGCATGGATGTTGAAGTCAATCAGGATCATGGTTTGCTCAAGAGTACCTTTGTCAGGGAGGCTTTCCTTTTCTATCTCAGTTCCTTTACAATTCACTGTAAACCTCTACCTACTTAGCTAGGAGCAAGTGCCATTGAAGTTTCCGACTAAGCACGTAATATTTATAATTCACTTTCCCCACCCATAATACAGAAGACAAGATAATCTAATTATTTTACTGTACTTGTGAGCTTTGGCATACCATAACGTAACAATCAGGCCAATCATTGCACTTACTTACAGATGTGCAATTTGCACATGTAACACGATGAGAATAGGTACTCAAATAGTGCTCAACATTTTTATACATGTGCAATCTGGTTGGGTTTTCTTTCCTGCCAGAAGTTTACAATGGGGTTTTGCTTTGAATCATGCACATTCTAGATGTCAGTTTTATACTTGGCAACAAGTTTTAAACTACGTAAAGGTTACAAAGGAATTTTTCCTTAGATTCCTTTATCTTCTAGCAGCCCAACATGTGGAAGCTTTGGCTAAAGGATACGTCACACATCATGACTTACTTGCACAAGATGCATTTCTGTGTTGTAGTTTGCTTGTAATGTAGATGATCACAAAGACAGACAGTATTGCAGAGGTGTTGTATGCACTTATATATAAGCGACACCTCTTATTGCTTTAAAAGTATTGGCCTTTATTCTGTTGAACTGGCATACTACAAAATTAGATTAACATTTTCAAGTCTGTTTTTCAATCTGTTTCACATAGAGAAGAAGCTGAATAAAAGTAAATAGGCCTAATTAAAAATAAGAATTAAAATTTGATGCTCCTAATTGGTTCATGGGGAATATTTTCCCCAAGATTTGTGATAGTATCTGACATAATTTTCTGTTTTGTTTCCCCACCCACCCCAATTCTGCTGCTCTAGGGAGCTGTTAGTGAGGTAAGACCCACACGATTATATTAATTGTATGTTCTTTCTGCATTTTAACTGACAACATGTACATAATTTGATAAAGAAAAAAAAGTTCTGCCTGTCATTCTGACTGGTTTTCTTTTTGTGTTCAGATGCAACACTAATCCAAGAAGCATTGTTTATCTATAAGCAGCTTATACACTTACAAATATATTTACATATTTGTATATGGTGCTGTTGGACTTCCTCCTGCAGTCAGTCCAGCTAGTGTGACCCGTGGTTGGGAATGGTGGGAGCTGTTGTCAAAACAACCTCTGGAGGGCCACAGATTCTTATCCCTGTAATAAAGTTTTTTACTGCATCTCCATATTATTAATTCTTTAGAGGGGACAGTGGTGGAGTGGGGAATAAGATAAACAAACAATAAACAAACCACCTACATTTAGTGTAGGAAGTGTTAACTTGATATGGCATTTCTGTTATCCACTGCTGAATTGTTCAGTGATGATTTTTTCTTAATTATTCTTTAACTGTTTTTGTTTCAACATTAGGCTATTGTGAAGTGTGTTATAGCTTTATACCATCCTGGAATGAATGGTGGTTAAGAACCGTAATAATACTAGTTATATTCTAGTGCATGCAGCTTGAGCATTTCCTCTTCTTGAGTGGGGACAAATCATAAAGCATAGTTTCTTTTTTTTCTTTCTTTTTTTAAAAAATGATATTTATTGAGAATTTAAAATTACAAAGAAAGAAAGCAAAAAACAAGAGAAAAAGAAAAAGAAAGAAAAAGATAGACAAAAATAACAATTGAACAATACAAGTCAATAAAAACCAAAGTCAAAGGAAAAAAACAAAACAAAACACACAATACATCAAAATCAAAAAACAAAAATAAACAAAAAATTTAAAAACAAATCCAATATTCCCAAATCCTTGTTTTCCATTAACTTATTTCATCGACCTCCTCACACCTCCCTTTTTTGTATTCTAGTTATTAATTATCTCAGCAAATCCTTTCCATTTTTCACAATATTCTGTCATTAAATTACCTTAATCTATTTTAACCTTATCTTACCATAAAAAACCCTAAAGCTTAAAACTTAAGTCTTCTTTATACCTAATTCTTTTAAGCATAACATATTCTTACATAATTCTTTTTAACATTTCTACTAAAGCCAAATAATTTCATTCCAACATTTTCTAGTAATCATTAATTTTACGATAATTTTCTAAATAAATTTTTAAAACTTTCTTCCAATCTTCATCCATCGTCTCTTCTTCCTGGTCTCGGGTTTTGTCAGTCCTTTCTATCCCATCCATCTAGTCCATCAACCTGGTGACCTTCTATCCGAGGCTCTTAAGTCTTTTCCATGTCCCTTCCACAGATCTTCTTCATGTTTGTACCTGTACTTTACTTTGTCTTCTGCTGATCTTATTCTTAATTTCCTTCCTTTCTCTCGGGGAGACTCCAACTTGACAATATCTTTGTCGCTTCTCGACAAGTCAGCCCATTCTCCATAGTCGACACTGAAATCCATATGATATTTAGAGGCATGTTTCAAAGTCCCTCCAAAGTTAAGGGCCCCCACAACTCCCAACTCCCCCTGGCCCAAAGCCAAACCCGAAAGGTCATAACATCCCTGCATAGGGGAATCTATCCAACCTCCCATCTCCAAGCCAAACAGAACTCCATCTCTCCAAATCTGGCTTTCTCCAGATTCATTCGTCAGATCCAACAACTTATGTTCCTGCAGGGCCACAGCTCTCTCCATTTCTGCCACTTGAGGTTCAGGAACAACCTCCTCCTTTATCTTCTTCACCACTTGATCTGTCAAAGCACATTCCTGAATTAATTCCTGAGTGGGTTCTATATAGGTATTCACTGTTTGTCCAAAATTTCCGACTGCAACAGTCATCAAATCCATCTTCTCATGTAGCTGTTCCAGTAAAGCACTTGTCTTGCAAAGAGCAAGCACTAACGCTTGTTCTAGGCACATTCTTGTTCAAGGTCAAAGTCTGGTCCCACGATCTTTAATCTCTACAGCTGCAAAGCTCCCCAGATCGACTCTAATAACAGTTTCACAAGCTCCCTCTAGGGGAAACAATTTCTATTTGTATCCGTCTTTTTAAAAGCAGATCTAGCAACAAAGTTCCTTTCCTTTTTCAGATATTTTGTTTCTTTTAAATGCAAGAGGGAACATTGGAATCAATATGTTTCTCTTTTTTTACTATCTTTCAAAAAGTTTTGTCCTCAATCAATGAACTTCACCCAAGCGTCTGTCGTGAAACCCCACTCCAAGGTTCAAGACGGTGGAAATTTATCTTTCTTTACTCTCTCTTCTGCAGGTTTAAACAGTCTAAAAGATTCCCCCTCTTCTCCTGCTTCCAAGGGGTTTAGTAATTTTAAATGATGGAAATTTAATCCTTTACAGACGACTTTCCAGACTCTAGCTTGCAATGTCTTTGCTTCAATCTATTTACAAAAGCGGAAGGCGGACTTCCTGTTTAGACCTTCCCGCTTCGGTACCAAATTAAGAAATTTCATAGTCCAATTTTCCGTTCTACTCACAAGCAGTTGTTTAAAATCCAATTGTCCACAGGAAAAAGTCAGCGCTCTCCAGCAACAGCAGTGCGGCTTTACTCTGTGAAAAAAGCAGTCGATTTGAAGCACCGCGCCATTCACCCCACGTCGCTCCGGATCCCCGAAACCGGGTTTCCCCATGAGTAGGGGAGGCGCGAAAGGTGCCAGCCGAATCCCACATCCACAGGCTTCTCCTGCCTGTGGTTTTTAATGGGTCTCCGTCTCGCCGCGGCGGTCCAGACCCTAATTCTCATGAAGCGGATTCCTCCCGATCAGAGGAAATCCGCCATTGCCAGAGGCGCTAACCCGGAAGTCCATAAAGCATAGTTTCAAACCAGCACTTATTACTCTCTGCAAGTCAGAATCAAAAAGCAAGATTTCTTTTTGGCTTAGGAGAAATAAATCATGAATGCTAGTTTAGACATAATGCTGTGCCAGCTGGACACTGCCTCACATTGCATAAATGTCACTTTATATTTTAAAAAAGAAAGTTCTTTCCCTACCACAGAGGAAAACCTTAAGAATGGCTACCATAGAAACTAATCGGGGATTGTTAAAATATACAAGCAGTATATAAGCAATCCTGTAGCTATTAAATATTTCTGGTTAGCCTAGTGAAAAAGGTCCTAGACTTCATGAAATCATAAAGCAATATTTTTTTTCTCACTCTACACAAGGTGTTGCGACCTCCCTTAAATTCCTCATAATGGTTCCTGTAGTCATATGTTCTGCTGTCATTTAGTTATGGCTCTGTAAAAGGGGTGGCTAAACTGCGGCTGTCCATATGTTATTGAGACTCAGTTCCCATGAGCCAGCATGGGCAATCAGTGAGGTTAGGAATAATAGTCCAGTGGTATCTAGAGGGCTGCATGGTAGTGACCCCTGCTGTACAACTGATTGTAAAAAACTCTACTCTCTGCCTATCCTGTGTGGACATTACATGGCATGAGGATCACTGCCAATTATTGTTTGCATTTATATGTTGTAACACAGCTATGATTGGTGGGAGCACTGGTGATAATATATATTTCATAGTTCCCTAAATTCTGTACAATATTTAAAGAAGGGAAGAATATTTCCTATTCTAGCGTGTCCAGCTTTGTTCCTTAATTCTTCTTTCCTCCCATACCAATTATGCAAATAGAACAGTGACACTACTGCTATAATATACCTAGTAAACAGTGCTTGTTTGCTACTATGATATGCCTCTCCTATTTCAAATTCCCCCAGGCCCCTGCATTTTCCTAGTCCAATTTTTCCTCTGTGTCTATCCTCATGCTTTTTCTATTCATCTTTGATTCCTTGTGATTAGTTCCTTCCTTTAATTTTGAATTATGGTTAGTTTAGTATTGTATTTAGACAGTTATGTGAACATCTTTCAACAGAAATCTGTGTGAAATGTGGTATACTGTATAAATGAACTGACTACGACAATGTCCTAATATACAAAAAATACTTACCGCAACCTAAATACTGTAGTGCAGTTGCCTGCAGATTGAATTTCCTAAACATGCACTTAAAGCACAAAAGCCAACACATTTAATTATTTACCCTTACAGTGGTACCTCAGGTTACATACGCTTCAGGTTACATACGCTTCAGGTTACAGACTCCACTAACCCAGAAATAGTACCTTGGGTTAAGAACTTTGCTTCAGGATGAGAACAGAAATTGTGCTCTGGTGGTGCGGTGGCAGCAGGAGGCCCCATTAGCTAAAGTGGTGCTTCAGGTTAAGAACAGTTTCAGGTTAAGAACAGACCTCTGGAACGAATTAAGTACTTAACCCGAGGTACCACTGTATTTTATTTGTGACACGTTTAGTTCTCCCTTTATGGAGGTCTAGTTAGCTTATGTTTTTTTTCCCCGCCCTCCCATGTGAATCTCACCAAAAGATTAAACTGACTGATGGAGACTAGTCCAAGATTACCCAGGGCACTTTATGGCTGAGTGGAAATTTAAATCCAGGTTTCCCCAGTTTTAGTCCAACACTCACCACTACACCACCAGTACTCTCACACAACATCAGCTGGGGTTTATTAATAAATTACCTATGTTGAGTACGCATCTTGTCATATGATGACCAGTGTAATTGGTTTAGTGACCAGTTCTTTCTACCCTGCTCCAGCACCATATACAGCAGGGGTGACTAACCCCTGGAGGGTTCTTTTGTGGACTCGGTTTGTCTTTGAAAAAAGAAATTAAAAACCTCTCTGCTTCTATGAGTGTGCTCTGTGGTGCCAAAGGGTATTTTTGTGGCTGTCCAAGGCCCCCAATTGGTTCATTTTAAAAGAAAGATTATTTAAATATAAATTAAGGGTGGGTTGTTTTTTTTTACATTTTTTAAATTAACAGTACCTACAAGTACCACTATGTGCCAAAAGGATCCACTAAAATCCATATTTTCTTCTTTGTCTTTTAAAATTAAATTTACCGTGCCCACTTTGACATGTAGGCTCTGAAGGGCTGACTACGAGTCAGTGCTGCCCTTGTCCTGAAAAAGATTTGCTGTCCTTGTTATTCCACTTTTCTCCCTTAACCATAAGTCCTCTCTCTTTCCTGCCCACTTCTTTAAAAAGCTCAAGCGAGGCGTGTGACTTATTCCTCTGGCAGTGTGTTGCACAGGATGTTATTCTCTCTTCTGCATTAAGGGTTGCCAGATTTTTATTTGAATCTGAGCACTGAAACACTGGCGTTTGAACTAAGTAACATCGTTTTTTAAATGTGATAATGATCTAGCATAATGGAACAAACAGATGGGAAATTTTGGGCAGAGCATGGATTAGGCAGAGAATGTTTTCTTTGTCGGGAAAGGATCAAAGGGGTTGGGCTTTCACCCTGCTTGCTCAGACTTTTGCATCATGGCCAGCAGATCATACGGTGTTTGTGCACCTGTGCCCATGTGTGGAGTGAGGTCACAGAGCAGCTTGTTTGAACCTTAGCTGTTCAGTGGTTGTAAGCATACATGTTTAAACTATTATACAGTTTTAGAAGTGGGACAAGATCATACAGGATGATACTTTGTGTGTAATTACTTTGCGTGTAGAAACATTGTTTCTGGAGGATACATTGCAGTCTGCAATCATGTCAAATGTGTTGTATGTTGAAGTTGGAATCTTCTCTATCTTGTGAAGGCATGAACATCTTTAAAAAACAAAAGTGCCTTAAACTAACAGCCATCTTTTTATTATATCTAAAAGGTTGCCCGTGTAGTTGTTGCATCTCGTAATTATGCAGATTTTGCAAGTGAGGCTACATTTGAAATTAAGGTAAGCAGCTTGATTACTTTAAAAAATGCTAATGTATATCGTGTTTCTTACATAATTTATAATTTATAAGTCAGTTTATAAGACTGGGGGATGTGGACAAGGTGCTCGTTCAGGGTGACCACTTATGCTCTGGACCCTAGCCCCTCGTGGCTGATAAAAACTAGCAGGGAAAGGACATCTGGCTGGGCTAAGGAGGCAAGACTTCCCCAGTCCCTAATTTTCTTATACTGTAAATATATAAATTGTAGATCGCCAGTCTTTTTCGACCCATGGACGCATTTTGATTTTAGAGTGAGTGCTAGAGACACCCCTCTGCTTTCCCCAGCAGTCACTACTTTCCATCAAATACACACACAAACACATACATGTACAAAGAAAGAATGAATAGCACACATTTACAGTTCGTCTTTCCAGGGGATCTGTGTAAAAGTTAGATCCAAGATAATTAATCTGAGGTCTGAAAAGCGCATAAAGCTGAAAGAGGAAATGGAAAAGTACATCACTCTTCCACTTCCTGCTTCAGCTCTGTATACTTTTCAAAGGAGCAAAAGTTAACCACTCTCATTGGATGCCAAGGAAATACCTCAAAGGCTTCATGGTGCCCGCAGGATCAATACCCATTTTTTATTGCACAGATTTTAATTACATCTAAAACAAGTAGTTATTGCCATACTTTGCTAATACCAAAAATTAATTACATATTTTGTAAGGAAATAGTTTCTGTGGTCTGGCCTGTTTTATCAGTTTCTTGGATGATACTCAGTTCTGTCCCGTGTCAGCAAGATTTCCCTTGGTTTATCCACCTGTTCCACCTCCTGCATAGGTTTATAAATCTTTGTCGTGTCCCCCATTAAGTCTCCTGCTCCCCTGAGCAGAAGAGACCTAAATATTTTGCCCTTTCCTTGAAGGTACTCTGATCCTAAAAACAGATTAGGATTGCCCTGCTTATCAAGCATCCTAAGAGAATTGGAGGTCCCAGTCAATGAAGTTACTAGCTTTTACCATGGTGGTTCCAGAGCACCTACCAACTATGTCTTTGTGATACTTTCATACTAGAGCCTTGGCCACATGGGCACAGTAGGCAAAGGCAGGGAAAATATGGAGTAGTATTAGCTAAGAAAGTGTTACTCTGATTTTCTTCAGGACTAGTCTGCAACCAGTAAGATTAAATAATCATTTTGATATGGGGGGAAAACCCCTGACTTTTTTATCTTATTTCCCCCAGAAACATGATCTCCATCGCTTGGAGGAAGGACCGCCCACCACCGCTGTTATGACTCGAGAGCAGGGTCTGCAATATTACAAAACTATGCAGACTATTCGACGCATGGAATTGAAAGCAGACCAGTTGTATAAACAGAAAATTATTCGAGGCTTTTGTCATTTATATGATGGCCAGGTATGTGCCTAAGAGACTTTATGCTCAAGACCTCTAGGTTTTTTGTCGTCTTCTTCATTTTAATGAAGGCTTTTATAGGGCAGGGTGTGCATGAAGAAATTGCATGTCTCCACTCTCCCATACAGAGAATTAAAAGTACTTGCAAAAACTGAGAATGAAGAGGTCTAGCCCTTCCATCATGGCAGCTGCATTTCTAGTTCCTCCCATGCTAGTACTTTGTGGATCCTCACAGAATATTGATGAAGTTTCCTTCAAAAGAATTCCAGCAATTGTAGCCCTGTCAAGTTACACCTACGTCTAAAAGAATTAGACCAGATCACATTGTGACCCAGCTGTAGGTGTGCCTGTGGTCCTCCAGATGTGACTACCATGTTTGACCATTGTTCTTTCTGGCCTGGACTAATGGGAGTTGGACTAAAACAAAACCTGAAGAGCCATGGGTTTTCCACAGAGCTATAGTTTTTCTTTCTGGTGTTTTCTTGCTCTCCTTTTGTACCTCTACAGGGGACCAGATATTAGCACTAAAAAGATTAAATAACTGGCTGAACTGGGTCAGTTGTTAGGTTTTAATTAAGTAAGTAAGCATATGTATACGTCTGTTCTCCTGATTTGTATTGCTTTTGACCATAGACATAGCAGATGTAATTAGGAATAGTACAAAACTATATTTCATATCGTATCAGCTTGCTGTTTAAGAGTAGTGTATACCAAACTCTTCTCCATCTGTTGGAACTAAAGTTAGAACCAAAGTGAATGATTAATCTGTGTATTAAGCTATATTCGGTAGTTTGTTCACAGCAATAGTAATGAGCAAAGGAACACCTGCTGTTCTTTGAAAGCTCTACACCTGCCATGTTATATGAAGAGCCTCTCTGCACACACACACACCCATCTCCCCAAGAAGGGCCAGGTAGGATAGGAACTGGCTGAGCCTTGCCAGTGATGCTTCCCTAGTCTTTCTCAAGGGAAGGCCTCCAGGCAGTGGTATCCAACCCCCAACCATCTTTCCTGCTCTGGTGGAAATATTTCCTGGACAGTGTTTCATAATATCATGCACAGACACTTAAATATCACTCTATTTTCATATTCTCCACTAAAACCTGAAGATCCTTCATTGCCAGCATTTGACTATGGCATCATGTAATATATTATGCATATGTTGTTGTGACAGTAATCTTCCCTAGATAGTCTGTTTCTGTTTCTTCGGTTCCTGAACTGTGGTGGAGATGCAGGTACAAAGTTGGTATACCGTTCTTCATTTTATTTCTTACCTGTGGACAATGGCACATTGTACACTGTTTTCAGGCATGTTTTCTTTACCATAGGAAGCTTGCTGTGTTGGAATTGAGGCTGGCATAAATCTAACAGATCACCTGATTACTGCCTACCGGGCTCATGGCTTTACATACACTCGTGGTGCTTCAGTTCGAGAAATCCTTGCTGAACTCACAGGTTTGTGTTCAGTGAAATGATATGTAAACAGGAAAAGGAATGGGATTATGTAGCATGTATAGTGCATAGATGGAGGGGGGTTTAGGTTCAATTATCATCTCAACAATGAAACCTAGTAGGACTTTGCAGAATTGCAACACACCTATTCTACTCTTCCTCCAAGGAGCAATACGCTGGTTCATACCTGCATGTACAGCTTTTGTTTCTCTACACTTGATTCAAATTTACCAGTGCACTAAATTCTTGTGCTGGGATGCCTACCATATATCAGCATGTGCTGTAAATGTGTCCCCTCCTAAGAACATGAGTTTTGATGAAACTCTAACCTTTATTATTCTGAAATCATCTTAAAATCCATCCAATTAGTGAGTTTGAGGTCCGGGGGGGGGGGGCACTTCATCTTAATCTTATTGACTTAGTAGAACCAGATCACATGGTAAAGATCCATTTTTAATCATTTCAGGTCGGGTAGGTGGGTGCGCTAAAGGCAAAGGAGGCTCAATGCATATGTATGCCAAAAACTTCTATGGTGGTAACGGTATTGTTGGAGCCCAGGTAAGGCTCACCGATAAAAACAATATTTTTCTTTGGGAAGAGACTATATGTTGCTTTTAATCTGGGCCATAACCTAATTCATATATAGTTAGGTGTGTTAGCCCAGTGATTTTAGTGGACTTAAATATGTCCAGTCTATGCTGGATGCCCACTTCTGGCTCTAGTATTTCTTCCATGTAAATCTAACACACCCCAAATTTCATCCATTCCTGGATAGAACTAATTAGCTAGGCCCATTGCAGCTTGGCATCTAGCCTGAGATAAAAACTGAAAAAGGCTTGGTAGTCTTGATGAATGATTTTCAGCAGGAGAAAGTCAGGTGAATGGGTGGGTATTTTTATACCGTTGAGCACAGTATGCTTCCATATTAAGTGCCAGGAATGAGAACTGGAATCGTAGTGTTTCTGTTCTCAAGTGCTATCTTATCATAGTTCATTATTGTTGGCTGCTGGTCATTATCTTTGTTTGTTTTGACTACCTTTGCATGTTGCAATTCATTGTAGGTTCCTTTAGGAGCTGGCATTGCTTTAGCATGCAAGTACTTTGGCAAAGATGAGATTTGCCTGACGTTGTATGGTGATGGTGCTGCCAATCAGGTAAGCGTCAAGCTTTACTCTGTAGTTAGAAGTTAATTAAGAGTCACATACAGTGGTGCCTCGCAAGACGAAATTAATCCGTTCCGCGAGTCTCTTCATCTTGCGGTTTCTTCGTCTTGCGAAGCACGGCTATTAGCGGCTTAGCGGCTATTAACGGCTTAGCGGCTATTAACCACTTAGCGGCTTTAAGAAAAAGGAAACAAACTCGCAAGAACTCGCAAGACGTTTCGTCTTGCAAAGCAAGCCCATAGGGAAATTCGTCTTGCGGAACGACTCAAAAAACGGAAAACTCTTTCATCTAGCGAGTTTTTCGTCTTGCGAGGCATTCGTCTTGCGGGGCACCACTGTAAGCGGAAAGGAGATGTAAATGCTATGGATCATGCGTGATAAGTCCAGTTTTGTTCAAAGTGAAATGAAACTGCCCAAGTTGTTCTCCCTGCTATCTGGGGGGGAAAGAGGAAAGCAGAAGGCCAAGGCTCACCAGTTCGTTCCTGCTTGTACATACAGTCATGGTCTAGTGAACACAACCACAGTATGTGTAATTCAAGGCTGATGGCCACATGAGAGAACTGAAAGTGTACCAAACCTTTTATTCTTCTAGGGCCAGATATTTGAAACGTATAACATGGCAGCCTTGTGGAAGTTGCCATGTATTTTTGTCTGCGAGAACAACAGATATGGAATGGGTACTTCCGTAGAGAGAGCTGCAGCCAGTACAGACTACTATAAGAGAGGAGACTATATTCCCGGGATTAGGGTAAGAACATTTTTAATAGGAATGTGAAAGTTATACTATGTCCATTCAAGGAATTCAACTTTATTCTTAAATGTAATTGGCTTTTTTATTTTATTTTTAATCAACAGGTTGATGGCATGGATGTTCTTGCTGTAAGGGAAGCAACAAAATTTGCTGCTGACCACTGCAGATCAGGAAAAGTAAGTTATACTTTGTGTGTGTGGCAGGCCGCTCCTGCTTTACAAATTATTTAAGTATAGCTGAGGTTTCCAAGTTGGAAATATTGCTATTTGAATTCACAAAATGTATACCCAAAACACAAGGTTTAGAAGCTTCTCCATAATTACCTTGGAACCTCAAAGCAACCTTCCAAAAAAGCCCAGTGTTTATTGGGTTGATAATGGAATAGGAAACAGATAGTGTTTCAGTCTGTGGCCCTCTGAAGCAAGCTGATCTTAAACAGCAGCCCTAAAATGTATGCACACAGTTGATTCAGATTAGTTGTCATGACGTCTTATCAGCAATTTTTTGTCACTATTTTAAAGTTATTAACACCTCTGAATTTTAATTTTGTCAGGGTCCTGTTGTGATGGAGCTACAGACATATCGTTATCATGGACATAGCATGAGTGATCCTGGAGTCAGGTATTTCTCTCTGCATTACAAACGGTTCCTCTCTAGATAGTATGGGGGAAATAGCTGTATGTTCAAATGTCCCCTCGTTTTCTGTCTATGTCATCTACATTTTCAATTAGTAGATCAGTAGTCTCCTCTTATCTCCCTATTATTGGCTTTTTAACAAATATCAAGGGCATGTTGGCCCTTTGTGGCTAGTTTTATTATTTATTCAAAGCAATATCTGAAGAATGGCTGACTGTACAGGTAACAACAAATCTTTATCTCCTGTTGAGAGGAAGTGTAAACTTTGGACTTATACCCTTGCTTTCTTGGATAGCTATAGCCTGCAAACCATGTATTTTGGTGTGTGTCTTTCACAATGGCAAGCTTTGCTTCTGGTTTAGGATTCTAGTTTGTGTGTGAACTGGTTTGTTGCTATGCAAGAGGTTGCACAAAGGGAAAAAGAAGATGGAGCATATAAGCCCTCAGCTTGTGCCTGGTTATACTAATAATAGCAAACTATGATTTGCTATTACATCTGAATACAACCAAAAAAAAATGATAGTATCCAAATTTTATGAGGCAAATGTGAAAAATACCCAAGAAACTTGATTGTTTCCATTATCTTGCTTTTATTTTTGTGTGCTTCATTATGGTTAACAGCTACCTACAGGAACATAGATACCTGGCTAACACTGAGGCAGGGCATTGGTTCCATCTAGCTCCATAGTGGCTGCACTGGCTGGCAGCACCTCCCCAGATTTTCAGGTGCGTCTCTCCCAGCTCTACAAGGCTATGCTGGGTAGTGAACCTGTGACCTTGTGCATGTAAAGTAGATGTGCTACCATTCAGTTACAGCGCTTTCCTAAAGGGGGCCTAAAAAACTAAAACTGCAAGCTGGTATGATATGCAATTTAATGTAGGCAAATAACTGGCTAATAGGTTTTAATTAAGCATATGCTTAATTTTGTTCTATTCCTAATTACATCTGCTATGCCCATTTCCCTTTTTTTGTATTGCTTTTAAGACTTCACAGTATGTTTGAATGAAGGTGAAAACTCTTAAACTCAACTTTATAAATATAAATGCATGTTATAAAATAGTACATAGAAAATATATTTAAGAGTAGCAGTACATAAGGACTGTTTGTTTAATTGATATACTGTGTTTCCAAAATAGTTTGCCATGAAATGAAATTTGCCTAAAGTCTCTCATGAGTAGCAAGTACTCACTGAAAGAGGAGCTGCTTCCTCTCCCTCCCTCCCCCACAATCAGGAGGGAGAGCTGGTGGTCCTACCCCACATCTGTGTATCATGTGTGATAGCAGTAAATGCACTTGGTCCTAAGGAGAACTATCTGCTGTTAGTAGAGCCCTGCCCAGAGCTGTGATGCAGAGGTACAAGGAGTATGTTCTTTGAAGGTTGAGAGTTCTTACTCAGTATTTGATTTTTAGAGTGAAATGTGCATTTAATTTTTGGTTCTGGAAAAAGTATACTGAAACAGTAATATATTTTTGAAATGCTTAGGCCACTACACGCTACCAGCTCATATGCCTATTTTACCTTGTGGCTTCCTCCCCTCATTGAAAAAATATAGCCAAGAGGACCAGTCTGCTTTGGTGATTAGCAGATGTAAAAACTGCTCCTGAAAGCTCTCCTCTATTACTTGTCATGCTTGTTAGAGAGTACATGACTTGCCTCTGTATACTGTTGCAATAAGAGTACCAGTGCTTCGCAGAAACAGTTATTGCAAACAGTTCAGCAGTCTGTTACATTGTCTCGTCTTTTTTTACAGTTACCGAACGAGAGAAGAAATTCAAGAAGTGAGAAGCAAAAGTGATCCCATTACACTTCTGAAGGACAGAATGGTGAACAACAACTTGGCTAGTGTGGAAGAGCTAAAGGTAATAAACCTAAATTTCAAATTTGATGAAAATCATTTTACAAAAGTAGATCAATAGGAAGTCTTCACCTCAAATCAGTTACAGCAAGCCAGAATTGGTATAGGATATATCCTGTGGGGCAGTGTTTACCAAAGGGTACATGGCAGAATTTTTAATTTTACCTAATCATTATTCTTTTAGCTATAGAAAACAATTTAAAGATTAAATAGTTTTATTTAAACTACCAAATTATCTTCAACTGAGAAGGGGGTCTATGATTATTGTAAATTTGGGAAACACTAATATTTTGGTATAGGGGCCTATATTGCCTAGTTACGGTAAACATGGCAGTTTCCTCAGGGAATGACATTTGCACAGCCATTGCCTTCTCATATTTATAACCCGACTTTCTGAGGAGTCCTGGTATCTGGTAAATGGGATTTGTCACAGTTGGCCCTTCCATTGACCCTGCCGGTTTAGGTTGAGGAAAATTTTGAATTGGAATTCTGCTCGTCACTACAGCTGAAATCATTTCCTGCAGGAACAGGGTTAGTGGATTTGCTAGGAGAGTCCCAGGTCTGTTGCCAAAGTGGAAATAGTGAGGATCATTGATGAGCATGATTGGTCATACATCTCTGTCAGCATGGGAGACGTGTTCTGCTCTGGAGTGAAGCAGCTGTTAACACACCTTCATCTAATCTATAGCTTATGAAAACATGCCATGTCCTGCCACAGTTGGTAACTTGTAAGTTATTCTAGTAGTTTGCTGGCTAGTTGTTCAAGTATAAAAAGGTAAAATGTTCCATGTGCAGCATACATGTGAGAACTGCTTATCAGGATTTCATCTTAGGGAGGGCAGAAACTCTTAACAGCAACTGTGGCTTAAATGTTTCCGGATTTACTTTGAACCCCAGCATGTACTACAGAGGTAAATAGTTTTATAATGTTTGACCTATTTGGAATCTGTGGAGTCTTTTGTTTCCATTGACAATTTTTTCCCTTCTCATACAGGAAATAGATGTGGAAGTAAGGAAAGAGATTGAAGACGCAGCGCAGTTTGCCACCACTGATCCTGAACCACCTCTGGATGAACTAGGCAATTATATCTACTATAAGGAGCCACCCTTTGAGGTGCGTGGCCCAAATCAGTGGATTAGATATAAATCTGTGGGCTAAGTGAATGTCACTCCAGCAACCAGTTAAATTAATGCATTTTATACTGGGCTTTAATTCTTTTATCTGCTCTAAGAAATGAGGGCAAAACAATTTCTCATGTATATGGGGAAAATTCATTTGGCAGCAAAATAGCCATTGTATGAGACACAGCATTATATAGTGTGGAATTCTAAAAAACAGCTGCTCAGAAAAGGTCAATAAGCATTGTTTATTAATTTATATATAAGCTTCATTGTGTTCTGGATTGCTGTATTTATGAAAGTTATTTAGCTGAAACCTCTTAACGTACAGTAAAAAAAAGGCATATTAAAAACTTCCTGAGCAGATATTTCCCATGAGCTTTTTGTATGTTTTTGTATTTGCATCCCCCCATCCCAAATGATTTTGCAACGAAAAGAAGCCTTTTTCAGCATGTTTTATTTTACCTTTTTAATATGCACCTAGAGTGAGTCTGTAACCCACTCTTTGCATAGGATCTTTGTACCAACTGGTTTTTTTATCTTATAAAATTATACATAGTAATAATTTATATTAAATCAGAAGGCAGCAATTATTGTTTTTAAAAAGCAGCTGACATGTCTAGAACACTGTGTATTTGATATTTGTGGTTAAAGTGCACAGGCTACATTTTAGTCTATAAGGCAAGCAGTTTCTAAGCTACTGTATTATTTACACATCTGAAAAAATACATGATTAAGTATACTAGTAGAAAAGGCTATCATCACATGACTTTAATATAACTTCATATATATATTAGTGCAAAACCTGTAGGACCAGTATAAACAGTATGTACAGTAATTAATAACTTAGGTGGAATGTGTGCTCTCTTCCCATTTCAATTTCTCAGAACTTGGCATAAGAGTTAGGCTTCCAATTCCAAGAGTTTATTCAGTTTTCTGTGCTTTAATATTTCATTCCATATTCGGCAAAGAATACCACCACTGTATGAGAAAAATAAGAACAGTAAGTGTCTCAAACTCTTGTTTGGAAGTCAAACACTTCTAGAATCATGCAATTTTCTTACCGGAGTCTAAGGAATCGCAGGTCATCTTTAGTGATGTGGTTTAGAACATCACTGAGTGTATAATCCTCTTGAACAAACTGAAAGACAAAATTATTTCATTGTTTCTAAATATTATTCAGAAAATGAATTTTGAGGGTCTTTCCCACTCTTAATCCTTACCCTATCAATTGTATCTGAATCAGCTTTCTGTTGTTTCAACCACTTGATCAGTTCTTGGTCTATGCAGTGCTGAAGAGCAGATGGAGGTGGTTGAATTTCTGCAACAATTCAAAGTAGGTTAATCAGATTCATTCCATTGTTACAAATTCAAAAGCTCTACTCAAAAGTGTTGTGTGTCCCTAAAGCTCAAGCCATTCCTATCAACTGACCACACACATTTAATGTACATTCTCATATCTACCAGCAGTTTTCAACTGCAGCTGAAGGAGATGCAAGTCTTGAATTCTTTGCTCCAGTGTTTGCCTTAGCAGTGTCTGGTATTCTCTCTCCCTCTGTACCAGGCTCTCCAGTAACCTATTAAATAAAATGGGGGTCAGACTTGGGTATGACATAACATTTTCCCCTTAAAATGTTTCATGATAGTTCAGTGGTACCTTGGGTTACATACGCTTCAGGTTACAGACTCCGTTAACCCAGAAATAGTACCTTGGGTTAAGAACTTTGCTTCAGTATGAGAAAATCATGTGGTGGCAGCGCAGCAGCAGCAGGAGGCCCCATTAGCTTAAAGTGGTGCTTCAGGTTAAGAACAGTTTCAGGTTAAGAAGAGACCTCCGGAACCAATTAAGTACTTAACCTGAGGTACCACTGTAGTACACTTTTAATGACAACAAAACCTAGTTCTGCAACACGAGTATTTTGGTGAATCTGATACTTACATTTTAGTTGAAGTGCAGCTTGGTATGTCTAAAGCACATGTAAAAGTGTCTCTCATTGTATGGCTTACCTCAAAACAAATCCTACATATCTTTGAATTACTGGCTACCTGGTAGCCTTGATTTTCAAATGCTATCCAATTTAGATTTCTGTGCTGAAATGGTTCCTAGAATTTCTACTTAACCCCAGGCTTCATAATTAAATATTCCAGCACTATCAGCGTGTTACTTGCTGCTGCTATAGTGATAGAAAACCACAATACAGACGGTCAGGCTATGAAAGGAATTTTATACACACTTTCCGTCAGTGTTGGCTAAAGTAAGTGCTGCTCTCAAAACATACATGTTATAGTTCTCCCTGTAAAGGCACCCTGGAACATTTAGGACACATTTTACATTTACATTTGTAACATGGAAAGGTAACATTTAGTCTGAAATAGAGACGCTGCACATGGAGTGCTGCTCTAGGGGGTGGGGGGGAGGAAAAGACATGATGCAGCCCTCAGCACTATACAATTGGGTTTTCTAGAAGTCTAGAAGAAATAACGTGAGTGCCAAGTTAACCCTGTATAAACCAAGAGTAGCTAGACTGGCTACATTTTAAAATCTAGCCAATAACCAATGTATGCTCGTCTGATTGCCTGAAGGCGTTTTATAAACACCAGCAATGATCAGTAAAATGGCTGAATAAGCCTGAGCACACTTTAAAGCTGTTAACCTGTTTGTTTCTTGCTTAAGCTTGCCCAACTGCAAGCTGAGCTGCTGCTGAGTATCAGGGGTCACAGAAGACGTGAGCATGCACACTCCAGGTGTGAGAACTGTTTCTTCGTGTCTTTTTTGCTGTGCTTGCTGGTAATCCTCATCTACTTCATCTGCATCTTTGTCAACTCCTTCAGTCTCTGATGCTGGTTCAAAGTGAGCTCGAAGTTCTGCACAGAGCAAAAGAGAATTGCAGAGGTCAAGCATTTCTTACATCTGCCACTTAAATATCATCTAGTCAGCAAGCTTTTCCTGAGTATATATATCTTTTTAAATAAAATGCAGCTGTCCTTCCTAGTCCCATTTCAGAAAATACAGGTGCCTAGGGCATTCCTTGATTTTAAGAAATGACAAACTAATAATGGGCTAATGTGTGGCAACCTTTCAAAATAACAATTAGTGAGGATTTGTAGTGAATGTTTCTGTCCAGACTAATATTCACAAATACGTTGGTCTGTAAAGCACATTTAACAAAAAAATTCAGTGTTCAAAAAAATCAGAACTTGCTTTATGAAAGAACTAGCAGCCATTTACAAGTTTTCGCCAAGTAGAGACCGAAGTACTACTGCAGTTCCAGCACACCAGCAGTACTCACCCTGGGGCACTCATTCCACAGGTTAGACATTTATTATTGCTTTGCTCACATCATACCTGGAATGAGAATAGTGACAGCAGCTTGAACAGCACGTCGTATTATATTATCCATAGCAAACATCCAATGAGGTCTGATTAAGTGATTCCTTAGTACTTTGTTAACCTATAAGAAAAGTGTCAAATAAAACAGGGTAGTAGTTTGCCTTAAGCTATAAGCTTGTCATTTAGAACAAGAAGTTTGGGTAAATGTAGGATGACAAGTCCACTTGGATTAAGAGCTAGAACACATATTGGAACATAAAAGCAGCCCTGCTGGATCAGACCAAAGGCCCATCTAAGCCAGTTTCCTGTTTCTCATAGTGGCCAACCAGATGCCTAGGGGAAGCCCCCAAGCAGGGCATGAGGGAAGCTGTAGCCCAGTGACTGGTATTCAGAGCCATGCTGCCTCTGATCCTGAAGGGATACAGCCTTTGTTTCCACTGTGATGTAGGCACAAAGAAAGCTGTTGCAAAGCAACACCTAAGATACTGTGTTGTACATGAACAATGCACAGATATTCGACTATCAGAGCAGACCCCTTGAGGTATCACACTGTGCTTCAAGTTCTTTGCACAGAATTGTGCATTGTATGCTATCTTCCAAAGGCTTCCTAGAAAGCAAAAGCGGAGCTCATTTCTACAATTTAGCAGAAGTGAATAAATGCATCTTCTCTGGTCAGCTGCTCCATATGATATTCTACAACTCCTTTGTCCTCTTCTGCCCTCCTCCCAATAGTATAATTTAGGGTTTTAAGTTTAAATAGCAGCAAAAGGTATTATTGGTAGTGGGTCCCTCCCCCCATCCCCAGATATTACACTCGGATGAACATACTGCATCCTGAAATCCAAACAACACTAGATGAATCTGATTGATGGATGTACTGTCAAAGTCCAGTTCAATTTTCAACTTGGATATAGTTGATGCCATAACTCTGTGTTCAGGAGAACGTATGAAATCTCTTAAAATCCCAATTATCTGCTTGATATGAGCAACTGAAAGATGCAGTTCTTCAGAACTCTGAAAAAAAGATGAAAATGCAAAATGTTTAAAAAGGCACATCAGCAAATTCCACCAATGTATGTATGTATGCATGTTTTCAACCTTGCTGTCACTATTCTGGAAGACTCATTTTTACCAATTCACAGCAAGAGCAGCAGAGGGCAGCTTTCAGTCAGGCACATCACAAGTAGTTTGATTCATGGATTACATTAGCTCACGAGAGAGGAAACAGCCTGAGCTAAATTCAACACTGATGTAATCAAACTGCAGGACTGAATTTGTCCTATCAGAGAGCAGCTTTCTGCCATTCATCCTTAAGCAAAAATTCATATTACAATCTCTAATACCATGAGAAAGGGTGGGGGGGCTAAAACAAACATTGGCTGCAGAGGTCAAGGCAGCAAACAAGGTGGTCAACAAACTTTAGATGACCAGTTAAATAATAAGAAGCTCCATTTTACTACTTAAAGGTTGTGATGGACCCCTCTTTGCTTCTCCATGTTTGTAATCTCCACACAATTTTGTGGAAGAGGAAGTTAGGATGAACAGACTTGCCCCTGTCTCATCCAGGGTTGTGCTTGTAATCCAAGCCAGAGGCTGACCATCCACAGCAGGGATCCTGCTTTCCTCATGTAGGTTCCCCTAGTGATTTAGAACCGTACATGATGAGCACAGCAGGCTCTTCACCCCAGACACCCTCCAGATCATGGAGTAGGAAAGGTGGCAGAGCAATAATTTTTACCTCTCCCAAACAAGTGAATAGTCGTATTACCTGTGCTACGCATTCTTTTAAATTGGAAGCTACTTTGTTTTGCTCTTCCTTGAGGATTTTATACAGAATTGCACGTCGTTCGCTGTCCTTTCGTAGCAAGAAAAGACCAGAATCCCTTTCCTCAAGTGAAGGGGAAGCACTTCGCTCATCTGAAATGGAGCTGTCGTCGGGAACACTGGGCCAGAATGAGACAGCATTCACAAGAAACTATAAATGACAAAGTTGGAGTCCAGAAGAAAACAGCCCAGTTTTTAAAGCAACTTTCCGATTACTTAAAATGAATGGCTTTTATCTTGTGTGCTACAAAGATGCCCACCAAATCCCAAGTTTTATAGTAGCTGAGAACACAGCTTTCTATGAAACAAGACACTAATTCAACATCTACAGTAAGAAGACAGATTGATCATAATGTGGACTGCATTCATTTGAAGATGCTGCAATTGCTGCACTTTTTTGTCAGGGTCTCTTTTTCTGATTAGACTCTTATAATGAGTTTTACTTGCAGGGGCCTAAACAAACCCCATTCAATACTTTACATTTTACTATAGATCTTGTAACAGAATTAGCTTTGAGCACATCATCCCACCTAAACTGTAAGGACAGCTGGCACCCTCTGTGAATCTAACATGCCATTTTGCATAGGTCAGGTTTTACCTTAGTAAATGGGAGATAGGGCTCTTTGTCTGAACCTCTGACACGGAGCGCTTTGCCTTATCAAATAGCATGTCATGTGGCATATCAGAGTCCGGTGAGACTGAGCCGTGTTCACTGCTGCTGCTGCCAGCCTGCTCCCCCTGGACTGGCAACGGGAGTGAGGTGCTGCGGTTATAATCTGGAGCACAAGAAGAAAAGGGGAATGAATAAACAGGTCCACCTATCTTTTAAGCAAATGAAACAAATGCAGTATAATTGAAATGCAGTTTTTAAAATTGACAAGGTGTGAAATGATACTACCGGATGTGAAAAAAGGTGGGTGTCTGCAAGCTGCAGAAATAAATTGTGATGATTGATGGAAAACCCTTCTCAAACAAACACTAGCAGTGGTTTTTTTACCTTTCTAGTGTAGTTCATCTAGGAATTGGGGTGGAAGGGACCTTGTTCTGAGTGATCTCCAAGCACTGAAAGAATTACTTGAGATCCAAGAGGCTACTAGCTGATCAGGTGACAGAATCTTGCTTTTACAGCTCATCCACAACTGAAATTTGTGTAACATTACTCTCTTTGTGAAGCCAAATCAGCCCTTGTTAAGGGTTACTAGTTGTATAATTTATTTGCCCTCCTTTTCGGTTTACAACTTGAGATGCCTTACACACCTTAAACTGCTGGGTGCATGTCTACTGAAAATAGGCTTCATTAAAATTTCTCCAAAAAGGATTTTCCAGTTTTAAAAAATGTCATTTTGGAGAGAGAAGAAACCCAGCCCTGAATTTCTTCATCCTTTATTAAAATATAGTGCTCTAATTTCACCAAGTTTGTTATTTATTTCACCAAGTTTGTTATATTAACACTAGGATGAACCTGCCCCATAAATATTCTTTTCATAGCTTGTTGATTGCTTGGCACATCCAACTGATTTCCAGGTATGTTCAGAACCCAAGATTAAAAGAGATGGATGATGGTTAATATCTCTTTACATACAAATATTTTGACTGATAATTCCTTACCTGAAGGCTTGAATGCAATTCTGTTTTTCTTGCCCTTGTTCAACTGTTTCAAGAATGGGTCCTTAAGTAAGTCCGATGCTGTTACTCGTTTATTTGGATCAGGTTCAAAGCAGAGCAAAATAAAAGCTCTTGCCTCAGCAGATAGTGATTCAGGAATTTCAGGGTGAATTTTGAACATTCCAACCTGCAAGTAGAAAGGACCCTCTGCATCACTTCAGCAAGGTGAATTACTTTAAAGCTGATTCATGCTAGGGCTCATCCACACGTACCTTTTGCCTCATCTTTGCAGGCAGAGGTGCACACACGTTAATGCTCTGTGCCTGAGTGTGTATTTTTTGCCCCGAACTTCCCCCACAGAAACCTGCTCTTTACAGCTGAATCGGAGCAAATGTCACTTTGGCCTTTCGCGACGAAAGCTCCAAACAAAAAAAAAGGGGGCACTCAGACACAAACCTTTGTTTGTGGGACATGGTAGGAGCCTGTGGAATGATTTCCTTGCTGAGGCATACAACTATCTCTCCTTGAGGGACTTTTAGAAGAGCAACAAAACACACATATTCCCTCTAGTTCTAACTTGGCTGGTTGTGAAGCAGCTGTAGCTCCCAGCATCCTTTGCATGCAAGTTGTCTCAGATCTGCTCTTCCACATAAATTAATAGATGCTGCTAAATAATCCATGTCAGGAAGTATTCTAGCAGTATGGTGATATGTGGAGGGGCGGGAGGTGGGTTAGTACATACAACACTTACTTTGAACATAGCTGCCTGTGGTTCACCCAGTTCATGAAAGGGAGGCTTCCCTGTCGCCATTTCAATGGTAGTGCAGCCCAAAGACCAGATATCAGCTGGTGCACCATATCCTCGAGGTCCCTTATCAATAATCTCTGGTGCCATGTACTGCAAAGTGCCTAAAGTCATAAAAAAGAATAGGTACAAGTATTATTATTATTATTTTAAAAATCCCTGAACAGATCACACTTAATATTAATAATCAACCTTTATTGTCACTACACTACCTGTGTGCAGTGAGATTAAACGAGCCCCCCCATACACTCAGTCTTGTTTGCGCTCTGTGTGCTTGTCGGAAGTCAATTACACCACTATTTCTTTTCCCATTCAGCAGCCCAATGGATAAAAACTGTTCTTTAACCTGTTTGTGCGGCTGACTATACTTCTTTAACCTGTTGGTGCGGCTGACTATACTTCTTTGCAAAGTACCACACTTCCTTAGGTACTTTGCAAAAATGACATTTCCCATACAGATGGACTTAACAGATGGATTAAGTACCAGTGCCAACAACTCTCAGCTGTTACACTGCATTCCGTCACAAATTTTCTACATGACTGCCTTGGCTTATGCAATATATTTTAAATGGAAGACAATCCATTGAGTCCAGTATGAAAATAATGTCTTAAGATCACATTTTCCAAATTTTTGCACAAGCAAAGGTTTGATTACATAAACAGTAGAAAGGTTACAACCGTTTGCTGGATGGTTCACAGGATAACGTAGAGTACATGCAACTCCCTGTTTGTGTGCATTTGAGTTGAACGAAACTGCACACGCACACATCGTTTTTGGAGCCACAAGGGAGATCCAGCTGTCATGCGCGGCAATCTGGAATGGAACCCCCACATAAGCTGGGATTCCCCTGTACTAGTTTTTGCAGTATCACTAACAAAGTTATGTAAATTGTTCCCCTTAAATTAATGAATAACTTTTTACAACACAACCATATGCAGCATCTACTCAGAAGACCCTCTGGGCTCAACTGGGCTTAGATACAAACTGCAGCCTTAGAATATTTATTATATGCATATCCTGTATTATATCATGTGTAATATGGAGCTGTCAAAGATAACCCACAGACATTCCTGACCAGAAGCACACCTTCAGTAAAGCTACTTCAGCATTTTGTATTCTCAGAAAAGCAGAAAGGAGAACTCTTGAATGCAAAGGTGAAACTGAAGATTAAGAACAAGCTAAAATCCTTCTTGTATGTTGTGGTAATTTTAATCTGTTTTAGTATTTTAACTTTTGTATGTTTTTAAGTATAGTTGTGAATTTTTCTTAATTTTACTTTTTATCTTTTGTAAACTGCTTTGAGCTTTTTCGCAGTCAAGCAGTGTGTGTGTGTGTGTGTGTGTGTGTGTGTAATAAATAATGGAAAGTTTGAGAAATGTTATTGGGATGGATAATTGTAGGCAGAAATTACATTTTGGAAAGTTATTCATTATTAAAGAATAAGTTGCTTATACTATTTACAGCTGTTCTTTGCTAGATTATCACTTTTGGGGATGAATGAAGCATTCTCTCTGCCTCTCCAAAAACATATTTGATTTGATTTCCCCATCTACACATTAAAATTCAGGCACTAAATGCATTGGTTTGGACCAAGTTGCTCTCTTCAAGGGCTTTCTTGGTAATCACAGCTTTGCTGATTTATTTTTGTATATAAGCAACAGACAAAGAAAACATTGATCTGAAATCTGTAACCAAGAAAGACTTATTACTGAACTTTCCAAGTACAATACATTCTACTTACATAAGGAAGATTCTGTACATATATACTCACTATGCAAACAATACCCATCACCCAAAAGACTTGAATACAGAATAATCTTAATTAATGTAACAAGTAATAGTCATATATAATTACAAGTAAAGCAAAAGCAATAGGCATTGCCATCTTATCTTGCTCAAATAAACTGCATCTTTGCAACTGCATGTTTGGACATGAGGGTTGTTCGATCATGCTCCTCATCAGTGATAAAGATTCATGGAAATGATAAGTAATATCTAAAAGGGGTGGGGAACCTTTTTTAGACTGAGGGCGACACTCACATGCTGGTAGTTGGTAGAGCAAAGAACGTAATTTTTATCCTCTTATAGTGCATATAAGAAAGCAGCCTTATTAAAGAAGAAAAAGGGAAGGAAAAAATTGATAACGTAATGTTTTAGTGTTGTGCATTCATTTTTCTTTATTGTAAGATGAAAACAATTCAGTGGAAAACAAAGCGAGAAGTGTTCTTGTTTTGTACTGGATAAATGATGCAATCCTAAGCACACTTGCTTGAAAACAAGTCCAAAATATGGTTAGGGTAAAACTGAGAGACTGAAGGCCCCTTTAGACTGGTGGTGTTTTGCTGCTGCAACATGTCACTGACACAGTAATAGCACATTAGTGAGGAATTTATGCTAGCCTATCCACACATCATTTACGGGCACAAATGGTGCTGAAAAGTGCTGATTGTATATAATCACCCTGATAACTTCACCAGTGTAAATCATGACAAATCTCCTGGAGGAACTCTGAGTACTTACAGCAGGAGATGCCACAAAATCAGAAAATCTAATGTGGTTTTACAAAAACCAGAAAGGCTTCGAACCTACAGGAAGACCAAAGCGAGCTGATGTGCAATCCCATTTGAACTCCCCCAAAGCAATCTGTCTCTGCAATCTTGTTTGCAGCACTGGCAGACTGCACAGACAACATGATAATCTGGGCAAGCATTACCTCAGATAGTTCCTGTGGGCTATGCACTTTGTACTATCTATATCAGCTAATTAAGGTTTTATAACATTTAACTATTGTATTTACTGTTACTGTGCAGGCAAATCTTCACAACAGAACTGGGTGGAGGCAGGGAAGCAGCTTCTAACTATGAGCACAAAAGCTGCATTCAGACGTGGATTTCATACTGTTAGTTTTACCAGTTATAGTGCTAGTGCTTCTGTTCCGATTTCTAACTTTCCTTTTACACCAACACCTTTTTATGTTATGTACCTGTGGCTTTTTGAGCAAGACATATTTTTGTCATGCAAAATTTTAAATGGCGGAAAAGAAATACATGCCAGGATACGGCCCCCCAATTTTGCCAATAACTCAATTTTCCGAGTTAGTGGGGTTGCAAATGGATTATTTTTTTCTGGAAATAACTGACATGGTAAGCAGCACGGAAGTTCCATTAGATTTCCAGAAGTGACTTTTACATTGTGTGAGAGCTCACATAAAAAGCGAAATGAACACACGTATAAGGTCGTGAAGGTAGAATAAAATGCCATCTGAGTATAGCCTAATTCTAACCACAGTTGTTTCTGTTCTTACCTGTAAATGTCTCTGTACATGGATTCACTCCTGCAAGGCGCTTGGAGGTCCCAAAATCAGAAATCTTTACTACTCCACTGTATGTGTTCACTAAAACATTGTCTCCCTTAAATAAACAAAGAGTAAACAAATTACCAGAAACTTTGGTTATCGGGGATTTTATGAAGCCTTTCTAAAAGATCAACTAGTGGGATCTTAAACCCTGCATTTCTGTAACATACAATTAAAAATATAAGGAAGCATGCATATGCTCACTTTTATGTCTCTGTGGACAATCTGGTTCTCATGGAGATACTTCAGGCCCTCTAGGATTTGCTTGGTGTAAAACTTAATTGTGGGTTCTTTCATTGGTCCCCATTTTGATCTTAGTAATGCAGAAAGACTTCCTGGGTTTAGGCAGAAAATACAGGATAAAAAATGATTCTGTCCAGGGTATCAAGGCCTGTAATCATTGAATCATCAGTACAGTACATAAGTAAAATCCCATGCAGAGTTACCTGGGATTGAACACGCACACTTCCTGTATTGGACAATATGTGACTAGCTGCAGAGTAAACATGCAGAGAATTGAGTCACACACTTTGTTAACTCTGAGCCAAACTCATATGCCCCATTATACACAGACCTAAAAGAGCAAATACTGTGCACTTACACAGCGTATGGCATATATCTAATGAGATAATTCTAGAAACTAGAGACCGAGTAATCTCAAATCTGTCAGCATTCTGAGGCTAGGTTTGAAGTCACAGTAAACCACAGTTAATGATTTACCATGAATGAACAGGTGGGGTCCTGTTTCCCTCTTCCGCTAGCAAAGAGTGGAATCAACAAGCCACAACCCCTGGCTTAGCTGAACTGGAGGTCATGGTTTGCTTCACTTGACACAAACCATGAAGTCAAAGCTTGTTCTTGGCTTCCCAATTGTGGTTTGTTTGAGTGAAAATGCTAAGCCAGAGATTGTTATTCACACCAGGGGAGCAGTGAATCACAAGTGATCGCAAGGTTCATGGGTAAACTAACTATGGCTTACCATCGCATATGAAGTGGGCCTGAATGTTTTAGCATCAGCTCTGTCAGTCTGTTAAGGGATCCATTCTAGCAGGCCCTCTAAGACTGCAGGAAATTTACTGAAACCTTTGCTTGGGAACAAAGGAACCTGCCTTATACAGGGTTAGACCACTGTTCCCTCTAGCTCAGAATTCTCAACACTGACTAGTAGCAGCTCTCTAGGCAAAGCCTTTCCCTACCCTGTATTGAGATGACAGGGCTCAAACCTATGCATGCAAAGTATAAGCTATGAGCTTTCCCCTGGGTCCATGTTCCAAAAAAAAGACACCTCGTAAACACTGTAAAACTCATTCATTCTTACATCAGGAATATGAATATGGGAAGCAACCACAAGGATTTGCAGAAGCCAAGTTCAGGTAAACAGGGCAAAAAACAGAATCCTTGATAAAACCCCTCAAAAATGTTTTTCAGTATATGTTCCGTTTGAGCTGAGACTCAAAGCCTTCCAGTCAAAATTCTTAACACATCATCTTTTTCCATTTGTGCATATCTCTACCAAAGGAACTCCCAAAGGATCATCTTGCACTGAGGGGAGTGAGAAGCAGCAGTAAAACAAACAAGCAGTTTCTTCCCTCCCTTTATAGCTTTTTAAAAATAAAAATAAGCGCTTATTGTTATAATAATCTCATGTAAACCACTTCCAGCTTTTCCTGAAAAGCTGTACTGTAAATAAGTAAAATAAATAACCTCTCCCCACTGCAGTGAGAAACTATCCAATTAGGTGGGCCTTATTAGAATGCTGTATGTTCCCAAGCATCTGATGTGACCTTATCTTTTTTTCTTTCTCTGTATGCTGGTTAAGAATACAATCCTCTCTCATTTCACCTGTATCTTTCCCCCTCCCACTGGAATGCCCTCCCACCTGAGACAGCCAGGTCTCTTCTGTTACATTCAGGAGTGTCCTTAAAGATGAATCTGTTCACTTCAGCGTCTCCTTTATTCTTCCTTTCTCTCTCCCTTAAGTGCTATTTTTTAAAAAATTGGTAGAATGCTGAATGGTTTTTGGTGCTTTATAAATAATTATGATAGAAAGAAAAGAGAGAAGAGTTTCTGAAACTAACAGTTCTCTCCAGGAATCAGTGTGACGCCTCTGTTTGTAACTAATTACAGTCAACGTAAAAATGCTATTTATGTGAGACTAAATTGCACCAGAATTTGAATATACAGCCTTGATTCAGGAAGCAATATGTGTATGGATTGGGTTCATGCTGATTTAATTATAGACAGTCTAAAATATTCTACAGAGGTTTGAGATATGAATCATTCTATTCTGTATGTTATGTTTTACTCTGATTTATGGGTTCGCATATTACAGGGATGGCTCAGTCAATAGAGCATGAGTCTCTTCATGTCAGGGTTGTGGGTTTGAGCCCACATTGGGCAAAATATTCATGCATTGCAGGGGGTTAGACTAGTTTTCCATTGTGGTCCTTTCTAACTCTACAGTTCTTTTATTCTAAACCTTGGGTTCATGTGAATGTGTGAGCTGCTGGAGAAGAGCTCACAGCCATTTTACTCCTCCTTGATCCTTTCTGCTGCCACTCCAAGCTTAGCTAAGGTTTGGTTTGGTGTATTCTAAAGCCAAGGTCTGGCTTAGCATGGCGTGTGAACCAGATCATAGGAAGGTGTCATATGAGGCGAAAACGGTAAGATACAAACCTCCAGGCACCTGTTCCATGAAGATTTTAATATATCCATCTTCAGAAACAGAACCAAGATACTGGACAATATTTCGGTGCTTCAAATACTTGTGGAGGGCTATTTCTTCATGCAGTGGCTGAGAATATCTGTCAATGAAGAACAACTAAAAATCAGAAGAAAACATACTAACCTAAAATTTCCATGCCACCCACATAAAGATTGAACTTATAAATTGGTAGGTCGGAGGTCCACAGAAAGGATGGAATAACAATGTAAGATAATTAAAAAGCCCCAATATGGTCAAAATCACCTCAACAAACATATACCATGCAGTGAAAATATATCCTCAGCCAGAGCTGGTAGGCAGAAAGCTACAGCCGCATTGTTGCATCTACTGTCTTGAGAGACAATAAGGTGTACCTCCGGGGGTGAAGTCAAACCTCTGCATTTGCAGCACTGAAGTGACCTCCCCAGGGCACAAGTCTGAGCAGTGTGTAATGGAGGTCCTGGGATGCCTAGACAATTAGACACGTGCCCCTCAGCCTTGCTGATGTGATCCAAAGGAAGGCAGAGCAATACATCTGGCACCAGCTGGGCTGCAGGAATTGCTGCAAGGAGGAGTACAAGGCACCATCCAACAGTCCTGGGGACTCCACTCCGGAATTGGGTAGGGTTTACTCCTTGGCCTTTTCTTTGCCCCAAAATATCCCACAAGGCAGCGGAGATTTAGGATCAGAGATATCCTTCTCCTAAATGGGCTACCTTCCCAGGTTGACAAGCCCCATTGGCCCCTCACTTCCCTCTACAGCACACGCAGAAACTGCCTTCTTGACCGCTATTGGTCTTGTCGGCTCAATCAACCACAGCCTGTCTTCACATGCAGGGGAAATCCCTAACTCACCAAGGGTTTGAGACCCATTGGCTACTGTTCACCTGGTTTAGCCGGCCATTCCTGGGGTGTGGCCACTGTCGCATACAGACCGCTTCTAGGAGCCTCCGGTGAGAGCTGAGAGCAGGGTGGGGCCAAAGGTGGATAAACAACTGCAGAAGCAGCACGTGTCCCCCAGCAGAACTACTACGCCTCCCCTAACACCCCCAACATATACCATAGCGTAAAGCAGTAGTAACAACAGTGGGTTGGGACAGTTGCAGTTGCTTCTTTGCTTCTCTGTCTGTGAATGACTTATATATTGAATAATGAATGATGTAAGACCAAATTAGGCAAAGCACACTTCATACTTATGTCTGAACTTTAAAAGGTTACTCCTCCTCAGGACTGAAATGAATTACCCCTCCCCCCTCATATTTAGTCTGTAAGAATAAAATATCAAGACTCACCTGCTGTCTCTCTCTGGTATTTCCTTGATGGCTATTCGAACCTGATTGCTAAGATCTCTTCCAGCATAAACTATCCCGTAGGTTCCTTTGCCTAACACTACTCTGTCTCCATTCTCATCATAGTCATATTCATACTGAAAGCAGAAAGAAACAGAATTCAGCTCTCAGACACACAAAAAACACAACATCAAAACCACCAAACAGATTTTAACGTATGACTTAAGATCAACAGCTCTAGTAGAAATTAAAGAGCAAGTGTTTCTTATAATGTTTGCAGGCGACTGTGGTGCGAGATGAACCTACAAAAACTACTTTTGTCTTATAGAAGAACTGCAATGTTCTAATTAACAGGCACTGTTTTTTTTTAAAAAAACCAATTCTTTAAACATTATATAAGCAGCTGCCCATAATAAGAATGTGTGACATAAGAGGAATACCTCACAAGTAAAAGATTATTTAATAAAGGGATGTGTCTTTTTAAATCTGAGTGCAGAATACATAATGGGAACAAACAGTGTAAAATGGAAGATAATGTAAATGGGGGCAGGTGGGCAAGTACTGTAAACCAGACTCCTGCAAGTATGTACAAATCTTCTGTCAGTTAAGTCCTTGAAATTCTTCCACGGTTCATTTTGAAAGTGATTGCCAAGCTCCCTGTTTCCACACAGAGTCCTCCAGGGAGGTATTTGTACACCCTAACATGACCTGCCCACTAACTTAGTTCAACCTTTCAAACCGTTTCATTTTTCATGCCTCAGCAGTTCACAGTTCATCGTCCTGTGCTGTTATGTGATATGTGCTATTACCCAAAATGACACAACCAGAACCTGTTAATGTTTTTTTTAGCACACCCATATTTCACAGCTATGAAACAGTATTCAACTGATAGCGGTAGCTTGAGGACAGCAACCAGATTTACAAAACGTTAGCCTGAATATCACTGATAGCACATTTCTGGCAGAGCAGTTGTTTACCCAGAATAAGTCCTACTGTGTTCACTGTGGCTTACTCTTAGATAAGCATGAATAGGAACACAGGCTTTGCATCCACAAAATATCTGAAGATAAACATTTCAGTGCAATGGGCAATTCCACAATCTATTCTAATGACTTCATTTTAAAGCAAATTCAAATTGAGGAGCGGGAGGGAGGCAGAAGGAAATAAGAATTGCATGCCCTTGAATACAAATGTTAGTTTTGAACAAAGAAGGAGAATTTTCTAAATGATGTGCACAATGATGTCAAAGAGCTGTTCAAATCAGCGGATTTTCATTGACATCTGCCTCTAAAGTACAGACATGCAGATATACCAGCTAAGTCTCACTTGGTCCAGAGAAACCCAAAACATAGCCTTGTCTTCGCTGATATTTGCTAACTAATGTCTCCTTTTAGGCTGCAGATATATTGGAATGCTACCTAGAAGCATCCTATATTACTCAACTCTCAAGTAATACTTGATCCAAAGCACTGAAGCATTTCAAACTTTATGCTTTTGTTGTTGTTTTTTGAACCTTTCAAATAAATGTATGTTATCCCCTTGAGCATGCAAGTTGCGGGTTAATAAACATTAAAAACAAACAAACCCAACCCACTCATAATGTGGGAATAATGGGAACAAAGTTTCATGGCATGTCTGGTTGAACTTATGTATCTCTGTGACAATCTTCTTCTTCCTTACTTTATCCACTAGACTTACATGGAAAACAATTAACTACTGTAGAGTTGCGAAATATGCCTCACTTGTAATGCAACTTTTGATCCCTTTGTAACTAGAATTTACAAGGACTGGATTTGGGACATTATACATGGAAAGCTGACAACGCTACCACTAACGTGTCCCCTCTCGTTGCTATTTATGAATTTAGTGCCCTACACTGTTTTCAAATTAATCTGTCATATCATTCATGACAAAGCTCCCACATAAGGGTGTTTCTGTCTTTTCTCAGGTACCAATGCATTGTCAAATGGACTGTGGGGATAGAATAATTAAATGCTATTAGTTCAGTACACAATTATCCATTGTCATGTATGAAAATCGTAATTGTACAAACAAGCAGTGGGGAAAAGTACTTTTCTAATCCTTAATTCCAGTAAGCAATTGCGAAAATCAGAGATTCCTATAACTGCCATACTTTTTGGATGAAAAGTTTTAAGTGTGTAACTCTCAAACTATGTTAATAATGTGATTTTCAATACATTTCAAGCTCCATTCCACAAAACTCCAACATGTTTCTTTCAAAATATTTTACCCTGCTCAGACAAACAAGAGATCTGAGTAGCAATAATAAACACATAATATGTAAAAATATCAAGTATATCAAACATTATTATAGAGGAAAGATATTTCCTCCTTTATCTGATGCTTAGATATTGGATTCTTAATACTACATACTTGGAAAAGGGGATTATTATTCAGATAATAGGCTTAATAGCATCCAAAAAGGTCGCATTATGCAGGTGTTTTTTAAACAAAAGGTGGATGAATAGGCTTGGGCCACGCAAACAAGAAAACATTCTCTACAAAAACCTACAGTTTATTTCCTGAGTTTCACTTATCCATAAATAAAAATGTTTTCACATGATGCTCTCTTCCTGAATTTTCCACATTTGCTTAATTTATACAATTGTAGTATACACTTCCGTGCCATATTTACATCATTTAAAAAACATTTGCAGGGGCATGCTAAAACTCTGTGAGCACAGAATTCTGATAAACTCTCACCTATCACATGACTGCTTCTGCCTGCTACAGTTGTGGCAGACTGCCATCAGCTTAAGTGGCTGCCATGCTCAAAAGGGTCATGCAAAGAGCTCCTGAGATGTGACCCTCAGCTGTCACCACTTCCTTGATAGTTGACAGGACATTTTCAGAGTCAGAAAAGGACAGTTGGCCACAGAGCCGTCTTTCCCATAGGGGTTAGTGGTCCATTGCGCCAGGGCGCCGGCCTCTTAGGGGCGCCCCAGCAAGTGGGGGAGCTGCATGGCTTTGCCAGCGGCCTCCCCTTTCCCTGCACCCGCCAACTGCGCCTCACCAACCATATGGCTGGCGGGTGTGCAGCTTGCCTCCCAAGTCTCCGCAGGAGGAGAGCAATCCCTGGAGCGGCTTAGGATGGAAGTTGCGCCCGCCAACTATATGGCTGGCTGGCGTGCAGCTCTCTCGCTCTCTCTCGCCCGCCTGCCCTGTGGGAAGAGGGAGGTGGGCGATGGAGAGGGGGAAGCAGAGTGCAAGGAGGAGGAGGAGGAGGAGGAAGGAAGGAAGGAAGGAAGAAGAGAGGTGCCCCCCGACTTGCCCCTTTTTTTCCTCCTCTAGCTGGCCGGGGAGCCTCCACGCTGGGTTTGCAGCCCTGCTTGCAGGGTCCCCCTGCCCATCCTGTTCAGCTACATCTAGCCTGAGCCATGAGTAGCAGCAGCTGCTGCCCTGGTTTCTCTCTCCCCCCCAGAATCATGCCCTGTGTTTAATGTTACAGGCAACTCTATCCTGGGAAAGGGAAGCCTCCTGCCTTCGCTTTTCTTCTTCTTCTTCTTCTTGGGGGGTGGGCTCCTTCTCTGCCCCCCCCCCACCAACAAGGTCCCTAGGGGTTGTAAAGCAAGCCAGACCATTTAGCACCGACCCCATTCATTCCAGCAGCTGGCCATCACCCACTCACGCTAAGCCCTGCGAAAAATATCACTATTATTATTACTAGCATTACTACTACTACTACTACTACTACTGCCCTCCACCCGTAGATATCAGGGCAGCTCACAGCCTGAAACTACGGTCCTAAGCACATGCTAAAAACTAGAACAAAGGCAAACCAAACCAAGCCAGCAACACTCCTTCTCCCTTATTTGTGAAACAAGCCTGTTAATTGCCTATCCAACTAAGATCAATGCAAGCTAAAAAGCCTTGCAGGGGGTTGGGCTAGATGACCCGCAGGGTCCCTTCCAATTCTACGTTTTTCTGAAAAACACACACACACAACTGGTCCCTCTCCAGTCTTCACCCCAAGCAACTGTGTGTCAGCCTTGCTCCCCAGAAAGCCTTGTCTTGCTACCTGTGGTTTTCGGTCTCTCATCAGCGGCCTTCCCCCAATCTATTCATATTCCTTTCTCCCTAATCTCCAATATTACATTTTCCTCTGGTTGAGACTTAAATGAGAAAGCGCTAATTCCCAACTGTGTTTCTTGCTGCAGTCCTACTGTCTACTCAGAAGTAAGGTCCTATTAGATTCAGCAGGGCTTACTCTCAGGTAAGTGCAGTTAGGGCTGCAGCCTTTGTGACCCACGTTTTGGGTCCTTTTTAGGTTCAGGATGTCACTGCTTTACACCCACCCCCACCCTCACCCCACCCCCCACAATATTTAAAAACGTCAGCTTTGTACTTAAACACAAATTGGCTGGGAACTTAATTGTGTGTGTCTTTATTAATTTATTTAAAGAACAACAAACTGGTGATTGCTTTAACTTTTTGATATGTGGTGATTTGAATCATGAGGATGAATTAGAAGAACTGCTGAGTCTTGAATGAGTCTTGCTTTGGAATTGAGGACTTCATTAGTTTTTCTTCTGCCTTTTCGTTTTATTTTGTTCTATGGGCTTGTTAGAGATAATGTGTAAGCGTGGTGTCAGCTCCCTAAAAAAAAGGTCAATAACTCTGGGGAACTAAAAGGTCAACAACTTTGGGGTCCTTCCCCCCCTTAAAAAAAGGTGAACAACTCGGGGGGCACCAGAGGGATCTTTGCACCACAGCGCCGGATATGCTTAAGAGGGCCCTTGCTGGCCAGGCTTTCTCCTAGGGCCTCATGCATGATAAAACATCGAGAAAGTCAGTGTCTTATGACCTTTCCATACTTACCATTCATACTGGCACAGTTGCTGTGCATCCGACATTTTTAGGAGTGAATTTGTAGCTGACTGTCCACATCTTTGGTCACACGTTGCTGTTATTAGACAGTGTGTGAGCGCAGGGTTTACACTAATGGTAGATTGTGCCCAGATTGATAAAAGTTCTGTAATGTTAGGCAGATCCTTTATGTGCCCTTGTGTTCTTCCAACCAATAAATGTTGGCAGTTATGAGCATGTGCATGCAGTCAGCACTTCAGCATGTTATTGTTTCTATTTAATGCCTAGTATTCCAGAATTCTAACCTTGTGGGAGTACAGTAGATTAGAAAACCGACTACTTGCCTGCCTGAGCGAGGGCAAACCTGGTTATTTTGTCTGCAGCTAACGATTGCTGTCACAGGCAGTACTTCAACTCAGGACCATTGTCTCTACCTGCCATATCTCTTGCCTGAACTGAGCTCGCAAACTGACAGCTTGCGCTGATGGGAGGGAAGCGGTGCAAAATAGAACCAACCAATCTTCATCCCTTCCATGCAGAAACTAGGACGATGCTTCCACACATGCCACACAAATGAAAGTATTGAGTACCCATCTGGCTCTTTCCCAAAACTCGGGGGGTGGGGGTTTGCAGTAGAAGAAGAAGAAGCAGGTTTCTGAGTATGTTACTCTGGAATACTAGCTGAATAATGATGACATTGTGCGGTGGCATGCCAAAAAATCCGAAAGAGCCAGCAACTATACCACTATAAATGGTAAATGTGGAAAGCTTCTTACTGCCCTATTGAACAATGTTTTAGCTGCAAAGTTTTAGTTGTGCTGTTCCTACTTTATAAAAAGGTAGGTATTATTTCTTAAGGTATTAATAAATTAAATTAATTAGAATAGGAATATGGAAAGCAAGTTCGTCTCCCATCCAAACAAAGATTTCTGTTTCTCCCCGGTCAACATTACTTACTTCCAATGTGTCTCCATCACTTTCTCCTTCCAGTTCCAGAGTACTTCCTACAACATCTGTTAAGATCTCTTTAACCAGACTACAAAATCTGTAAGCAATGTACACCGCACAATTAAAGGCATAAGAGTATCTTGCTTTTCTGCTCAAATGTATGATACTTATGATTCATGTGCAATGCAAAGCAATACATCTGCCAACATTCCTTTTCCTTTTCCTCTTCAAAATCACTATTGCCTCATGCTGTTGTGCTACAGCTTTTTTTTAATGGATACTGAAACCCCTTATAAATTTATCCCTTATAAATCTGTAATTCAAATGTAACTTTTGGACTGTTTAAATTACTTTAAATCAGCATTAGCCCAAGACATTTTGCTGCCTGAGATGGATTCCAAATGATGCCCTCCATCCCAGTTCAAAGACCAACGCTTTCACCATGCTGTTAATTCCTACCTTCACATATCCTGATCATACTAAACAAATTAAGATCAATTTAACCTGTGATATGGTAGGGCCTTTATAAATGAACACAGGAAAGAAAGGAATGTAGAAAACAAATATGAGGAGCGATATCCAATTGCATAAGCAAATGCAACAGGCACTTCCCACTTCCACAGAATTCCACAGCAAAGTGTCTTTTATGTACAGTATTTGCACTGAATATGATGCAGTAGTTTGTGTGGCCACAAACAGGTGGCGCTGCAAACTACAACGTGACGACAGACTTCTGAGAACTGTTCACTTGCTGCTGGGCTATCACAGCAGCATTGCAGGGTGAAGAGGAGGGAGTTGGGTGGCCCGGCAAACGAAATCTTTGCGAAAATACTTCTGGGTTTACAAGGTATCCCCCAACTATTGTATGTCTCATTTTGATCGTTCGGGAAAGCAATGCAAAGCTTCTCACCTGCTACACTGGCCCTCTGTAGAGAAGTAGATCTGAAAGTCATCAGAGTTGTCGTGGACATACAGAAAACAACACCGTTCGTCAAATTTAGATATGCTGTGGAAAAAGAATTACAATCAAGTTATGCTAAGCACAAGTGGCGTGGATGTGGGGGCAGAGGTATGAAGATGAAGGAACAAATGGAGGAGCTCAGCTCACACAGCAGTTCAGTTTTCCTTCTACCACTACAGAGTTTACAGAATCAAAGAGAGACAACAGCACAGTCATGGTTTTTTAAAAGCCTGCTTCGAACTGGAGATGACAAGCAATACAATTTGGGTGCCATTTATGAATAAAATGAGGAAATGATGATAAAAATGTGCAGAACAGATCACTAGGACAATGGAAACAACAGTCAGTCTGCATAGCAGGAAAAGTTAAGATCTGTGACCTTCAAAAAACCAGATATATGTATTGCCAGGGTGTTAATCATTCATTCATTCACTTATTTAGTTAGTGCCATTCCACTTATGAGTCGCTTCCAATGAAGCATCTCAAAATAAATTATCACCAGTATAAACAGATATAAAACAATTTCTTTTATAATAACAATTTAAACAATTTCATATATAAAAACCATTTCAAATCCAATATAAATACAGGGCAAGATAAAAATCTCCCCTTTAAAAAGCCTGTTGAAAAAGGAAAGTCTTCAATAAGTGCCAAAAAAATAATAAAGACTGCCCCATTAGGATTTACAACACTGCAAAACCATAAATTACTAGCTCAGAACAAATAATTCATTGTTCTGCTTACTTTACTCTCTCAGGTTGATTACTAACACTCTTTTAAAGTCAGTTTCGAACAAAAAGTAAAGATATTTCCAGATTCTGTATAATAAAAGTGCATTTAGCAGTTATTGTAAGGGGAGTCATAACAGGAGAATAATAGCATTACTTTCTCCCATGTCTGGTTTCTTTTTTTTCAAATGACCTAAAATCCCTGCAATTCAAACTGCTGAAGTTTGCAGACAATGTTTGTCTAGTACTATATTCATGAGGCAGAAAAAATCCATACCAGCCTAGATGAGAGAAAGGAGAAAGCAATGACAATTTTCAAAAGCCATGGAAGAAACACTAATCAATATCCATCCAGTTTCCAATTTGCCAATCTAAATATAATATTCTGTAGAGAAATGTACGTGGAGAGAAAGATTAAACTCACTTTCTCACACTACATCTTTCAATGGTGTAACTTCAGCAATATAAGGAACATGTTATTTGAAAGTGGTGCCATTAAAAGACCATGAAAATATCAATTCAACAGAGGAGGGAGAAGGAAGACAAGAAGCAAAATATCCAAGCTACTATGCTGAGCAATGACTAAACTATATTATAGAGCCTGCACATTATGAAGAAATATTTAAGATGCCTCCTGCTTAGTACTACAAAAGAGGGGTAAAGTCCTTCATGTAAATTGAAAGCATTGGAAAATCACAAGAAAAAAAGCTATCTTCTTTACTCTCCCCAAGAACTAGCATTAGAATATACATATGACTTAAGGACACGGGTGGCGCTGTGCGTTAAACCACAGAGCCTAGGACTTGCTGATTAGAAGGTGAGTGGTTCGAATCCCTGTGACGGGGTGAGCTCCCATTTCTCGGTCCCTGCTCCTGCCAACCTAGCAGTTCAAAAGTACATCAAAGTGCAAGTAGATAAATAGGTACTACTCCGGTAGGAAGGTAAACGGCGTTTCCGTGCACTGCTCTGGTTCGCCAGAAGCGGGTTAGTCATGCTGGCCACATGACTTGGATGCTGTACGCCTGCTCCCTCAGCCAATAAAGCGAGATGAGTGCTGTACCCCAGAGTTGGTCACGACTGGACCTAATGGTCAGGGGTCCCTTTATCTTTACCTTTTTATGACTTAAGGAAGACAACCTATTTTATTTTCTATAAAAATGTATTAACCTAATTTTCAGTCGCAAAACAGGGCCCTAATGGAATTAATCAAATAAAACAACCAACAATAAAATAATGAAGCTCACTTAAAGAAACAGGGTTCATTGATCATTGAACTGTAGAGTTAGAAGGGGTCCTGGAGGGTCATTTAGTCGAACCCCCCATCAATGCAGGAATCTCAACTAAAGTACCCCAGACAGGTGTGCCAACTTGAATAAAATAGAGGGGTTCAGGTAAGCCCCACCCCAAATAATGGATCACATGACACAGCACACAAAAGTGTCCTTTTTTTTTGCTCTTCAAAATGTGGCAACCCTAGGGGAAAGTCTACCTGCGGCATCACACCTTACACTATAGGGACAACCCTGCCAAAAAAATGGGCATTCTATTGCTCTTTTATTGTGGAATGCCCTTCCCTTGGCCATACATGAAGCAGCAACCATTTGTTGCTTCAGATGTCTGGTAAAGGATTCTTTAGGGATAAAGAACTAAGGAATATTTATACTATATTTCAAGGAAACAGCTTTCACATCTAGGGAGTTGGGTGGGATATAAAGGATACCCAAACTACATCGTTTGCTAGCATTGGTGGGAAAACACATATACATTCTTCACATATCCCTAAGGCAAAATGAGGCATGTAAGTAAAACAAAAATAAAACCATTTCAAGGACACCAACCTTATTCCTCTAATAGAAGAAGCTGTAAAATTCCACTCATGAATCTGTTTCTGCAAATGGGTAAGAACACAGATGGTTTCAAAGCAAGATTACAAACCATTATCATCATATCACAAGGATGATCTCAGTCTTTGGGCACCAATATTTTGCTTTCAGGCAGCATACAGCAATATTAGCAAGGTTGCTTCTACCCCCCCCCCCAAAAAGTAGCAAGATAAAGAAGGGACACAACACTAGGCCCCAACAGCAACACATTACTCCTTGCCATTGCAGAACGAAAATGGTCTTCCTAAATTTCATGACACTATGAATTTCCTTTCAATTGAAAGTCTGATGTCCATCCTAATGGCATTATGCCTTAATTTGTGGAAATGGCTAGGCTCAGTGAATCCAAACATCCCCCTGAAAGGGAGGGCGGTGTGTGTGTGTGTGTGTGGCTCCTTCAATTCATGTCAGAAAGAATAATCACAAAGTCATGAAGTATGCTGCGGCAAGCCTGCAGAAATGCTTACCTAAACTGTCTACAGGGCTACCTATTGGCTTCTCGTGTATGACCACGTATCTGAGAAGAATGCTCAGATGATCTGATCCACAGTCCTTGGTTCACTGATAAGCAAATATGTACATTAGCTAGAGCAAAAATAAGGACAATTTGATTGCTGGATTTTGTGGCTTAGCAGCTGTGACTCCTGGACAGAGTGGGTTGAGAAGCAGTGTTACATTAGTGCTGAAGAATATTCATGTCATGTACTGCGTCATACTGAGTGTATCATTTGTACAAAACCTAACATTTTCATAACTCGAAAGCGAAGGGCTAAATCATTGAAACCAATTCACAGTCCTCCTATTTTCCTGCTGTAGATCTAAGAATGAAACGCATTCTTCCCCCCCCACCACCAAGGATGGTTTATCCTAATGAGAATTCTGGTATCAGAATTTTTATGAGCATCCCAAATTTCATAAGTTCTCAGTGGAATGTGTGATACAGTGGTGCCCCGCAAGACGAATGCCTCGCAAGACGGAAAACCCGCTAGACGAAAGGGTTTTCCGTTTTTGAGTTGCTTCACAGGACGAATTTCCCTATGGGCTTGCTTCGCAAGACGAAAATGTCTTGCGAGTCTTGAGATTTTTTTTCACTCCCCCCCCCTTTTTCTAAGCCACTAAGCCGCTAATAGCCTTTAGCAGCTAAGCCGCTAAGCCGATAAGCCTTTAATAGCCGCTAAACCGCTAATAGCGCTAATCCGCTAAGCCGCTAATAGGGTTGCTTCGCAAGACGAAAAAACCGCTAGACGAAGACACTCGCGGAACGGATTAATTTCGTCTTGCGAGGCACCACTGTACTGTAATAAAATAAAACAAGGAGTAGAAGGTTAAGAGATCATATATCTAATTCTGTATAGCCCTGTATAGCCCTTTCAACCCAAAAGCATGGTAGTATGAAGTGTACTGAGACCAGGTGTGCAAACGCCCCGCAATCCCACTATACCCCTAACCTGCCCAATCACAGGGAGGCTTTCAAGCACATTCAGCTGAATTGGCTTACAGTACAAGCCTCCTTCTGGAGGAGACTCTTGAGAGTCCCATGGACTGCAAGGAGATCAAACCTTTCCATTCTTAAGGAAATCAGCCCTGAGCGCTCACTGGAAGGACAGATCCTGAAGCTGAGACTCCAGTACTTTGGCCACCTCATGAGAAGAGAAGACTCCCTGGAAAAGACCCTGATGTTGGGAAAGATTGAGGGCACAAAGAGAAGGGGACGACAGAGGACAAGATGGTTGGATAGTGTTCTCAAATCTACCAGCATGAGTTTGACCAAACTGCGGGAGGCAGTGGAAGACAGGAGTGCCTGGCGTGCTCTGGTCCATGGGGTCACAAAGAGTCGGACACGACTAAACGACCAAACAACAACAACACAAGCCTCCTTCAGATCTTCCCATTTGACACAGGAAGGTTAGAGGTGGAGTGTTCGTGCCTGCATGTGCTCACACGGGATCTCTGTCATGCTTTGTGCCCATGTGCTTTCATGCTGAACAGACGAAAAAGTTTGTATGATAATTCATTTCCCTGGGGCTTAAGGCTGGCTCCCTGTTATTAGTACCTCAGTTTTTCCATCTACGGGACAAAGAAGATACTTATGTGCATTGTGTGACATTTTTGTGAAGCCTCTTTTTTAAAAAAAGAGTTGTATACAAAGAAGCCAAGATGTGATGATCAGAATTTCTAGAGGGAAAGAAGAAATTCACCATTGGTCTTACCACTTCTGTTGGAGACACGTGCCAAAGGGAAACAGTTCTTTCTTCCGCTTCATTGTTGATTGAAACATACGCAGGCTGGTATACCTTAGTTGGCTCTATCACCAATACCTAAACGAAGCACACACATGTTCAGTGAAACCTAACTAGATCAGTGACACATCCTTACAGCATCGGAATGCTAATTATAAGGCTGTTGTCCTAAAAGGCAGGAGTAGCCAACATGGCAGCCTTCAGACATTGTGCATTACAAGTCGCATCCATCCCAGCCGGCATGGCCAACAGCCAGAGATGGTGGAAGTTGTAGTCCAACAACAACTGGAGGACACAATGTTAGTTACACCTGAACTAGGGAGTAAATCCCATTGAACGTGTGCTGAAAATTTGTTCACAATTAACACTGCATTTTCTTCTTGGCTGTGGATCAAACTATTTATTTAATCAGGTCTCATACAATTTCTTGTACTCTTTCCTTCTTGTATATTATATTCTTTTATTCATTTGCATTAGACTGCCTCTTGTATCAAACATCCATTTATGCTCAAGCCACTTGTGTACTGCTGTTGTTTTATTTTTTTTAAAGACAATGAATTACATAGTGATACGATTACAGAACACATTTTTCTCTTAGAAAGTTTCCCACTTCCAACTGGCAACCCCTACAGATCAGTAGCAAAAACAGCAAGCAATAACTGCCACCGAGGTCCACTCCCTACCAAACAGGACATGCCAGCTCTGTTCTACTTGGCAGAAAACACTACATGCAGCTTGGGCAGATTTACTTGTCACTTGATTCTAGTTTACATGGTAGCTCCTAACACTAGGCCACAATTTTCTGTTACTAATAGTGCAATTCTAAGCCTGTCTACTCAAAAGTAAACCCTGATTAGTTTAACTGGGATTGCTCCTAGGCAAGTATATACAGGATTTTAGTCCAAATTAACCAGATATATAAGCTCTGCGCATTACAGAGACTTACTGGGAATCTCAAGCCATTAGTTGTTTCTTTAGTTGCCTCAAAAATGATATCTAACCAGAAGTTCAGTCTCTCTTGTCTAGGAGAATGTTCTATGGTGAGTTTCTTGAACCGCTGTATTAACATCAGGTTCTGAACCAATGACTTCAAATACCTGAAACACATGCATAGAATCAATAATTAAACAACCAAGAACAACAGTATTTACTCTAAGTTAATGACACAACAAGCCTTTGCTAGAATATTAGAAGTCTACTTGAAAATCAGAAGTCCTGAAAATGAAAACATAGTTATTTAACCATCATGCAAAGAGTGGTGATGGTGCATGGAGCATTGGAGAACTTAATGAAGTCCAATGGGGTGTGGGGGTGAGGGCAGAGAGCAGGAGATGTAACTACGCAAATTGTAATATGTGATGATACATACCAAATGGGTGGTTTCAGTTTAAACAGCCTCTCTGCTGCTTGCACTGCTTTACCAATGTCATTGGCCAACATGCTTACACTGAAGAACTGCCCGACATCCCAGTAATTGTTCATTTTTTCCAAACTCCCTTTTCTTCCCAACAAACTGTTCAATCGCACACCTTGACAAATTCACATAAAAACAGTATGTTACAAGGGAACACAATGAACCTCAAAGACTGTAAAGATGATAATGTGTGTTGGTAATCATGGGAAGTATAACCTCTAAGAGTATTAGGTAGACAAAAACTACACAAAGGCACATTAAAGGACACATTCATGCCATACATTTAAAACACTATGATATACTTTAAACAGTCATGGCTTCCTCCAAAGAATTCTGGAAATGGTGGTTTGTTAAGGGTGCTGAGAGTTGTTAGGAGACCCTCTATTCCCCTCTCATAGCTACAGTTTTCAGAGTTCCCTCTGAAGAGGGACTGTTAAACCATTCTGGGAATTGTAACTCTGGAAAGGGAATGAGCATCTCCTAAAAATTCTCATCATGCTTAACAGACTACAACTCCCAGAATTCTTTGGGAGAAGCAATGGCTGTTTAAAGGTGGTATGATAATGCTTTAAATGTATGGAGTGAATATGGCCTAAATGTCATTGGTGGGAAATAAATTGCATTCTTCATATGGTCAAAGATACTAGTCATGGACCATTGCCCTTGAGGAGTTCATTCTAGGAACAGGTGCTTACAACTGATGGCAAAACACTTGTGACATGCTTCACAGTGGGCTAAAACTACTATTCTTAAATACAGAATTCACTGCAACTTCAATTCAGAACAATGGATCCAAAGGTCCAGCTCCACAACTGGAAATTTCCTTCATTCAATTGGACCTTTGGATCCAACCCTTTATGTATCTGACAATAATTAATAACCCTACTACTGCTGCAACAAGTTTTTGTTTTTGTGTTGTTCACCTATTTTCCTTAGTTCCATGGAGGTTTCAAACTGCTGCCCTGCAACAATCAGCAGGACTGCAAGGTTAATCCCAGAATACAGAGTTGACTGGAGCTCAAACCCTTTACGATACCTGCAGAGACAAGATTTAACAAACTGGAGAAGATAGTTCCAAAGAAAAACATTTGAAGTTTCTCAGATCACAATAAAGAAGGCATGCCAGCCATGGTTGCAAACTATGGAAATGTGAATGGATTTATTTTTGTTGTTGTTGTTGTTGTTGTTCCAATTAATCTTATCTAGAAAGACAGGAGCTCATGATTTAATTGGGATTTAATTTTCTTCCCTCTCCCACAACATGAGAACTCGGGGTTAGCTGGTGAACCTGATTAGCAGCAGATTCAGGATGACAGATGTCCTTTTTTCATGTAACAGATGATTAATTTATAGAATTCACTGCCATCAAAAGTCGTGATGACCAGTAGTCTAAACAGCTTTAAAGTCAGACAGGTCAGTTAAATTTATTTGCTAAAACTTAGTCATCACAAAAACACAGAAAATCAAATTGAAAAATACATTCAGCACACTGGATCTCATTTTGTGTGATAAATCCATTGGGCAGCTAGAGCAAACACAGAAATGTTATATGTCACGGGCAACATCTAAAAATATCCACCTGCTTGCACAACAGAATCCCCTTTTGCAATGGGACTTCCTGTTTCTCTTCTTCCCCACTCCAGATCAGACTTTGAGAGCACATGGTAGAAGAGAGGAAGATGAAGCCCTGTTGCACGAGTGAATACCCACAAGTGCTCCATTGGATCTCACCCAGTATCTTGATTCCTATCGTCCAATAAATAATAGATTTTCTCTTTCCTGTTCAAAAAAGAATCTCTTTCAAAAAACTTTCTTTATGAGAATTATGTTTATGATCTTCTCTCCAACCACAAATGAATCAACAAGAATTTATAGTTTTATCTCCCCTCTAAATATGCTCTGACCATAGTCTGAAATTTCAAAACAGTAGCTTCCTCCTCATTGCGACTCTACTTCTGGAAGACTGTAATAAGATGTAACAGAATACTAAAATGGTAAGAATCGCATAGTTTTAAGATAATATCTAGATAATGAAAGGTCCTATTCTTAACTCCCGTCAAACAAGAGGCTGGCTGGTAAGGAACTTGTGAAGTACTTTGCTTTCCATTTCATAATTGCACAGATACGGTAAACACATTGCCACTCCTCTTACCATTCAATGGCTGTGTCTCGGCTGCTGGTGTCTTTACAGTCCGAATCAAGGAAAATGTCCTTGTAGATTCTCCCACACAAGCAGAACATGTCAGGTGCTGGGCGATCACATGTCTGCAAGACCTGCAGCATCACTTGCAGTGCCTTCCCCCGGTCACCTGTGTTGTTTCTTCTGAAATTCAGACAGAAAATCACATGAATAAGCTTGTACAAAGAACCATGTATTTGTATTTAACACAATTTATAACTCTGTCAATATGCACTAAATGTGGGATTTGCCAATGGTGTGCCCATGAGCACAATGGTCTCCCTTGGTGCCCACAAAGCCTCTGAACTCTCACCACTCATGCACTGCCTCCTTTGTAATGAGAGTAGTTATTTTTCTCTCTCTCTCATAAAGCATATAAAAGATGGAAAAGGAAGCTGGAAGAATGATGCTCTTTCCCACTTCCTCTTCCAGCTCTATGTGCATTTCAAGGCTCATATTAATTCTCCTGGATCTGACTTTTATCAAAATCCCTTATAAAGATGAAGTGTGTACACATACTCTTTCTGTCCTAGGGGTTGAGGGAAAACAGATCAAGGAAGAGGGAAGAGAAGTGGCCAGAGTAGGTAGAAACAAAAATCCAAATGTCCCCTCAGGTGAAAAAAGATTGGTGACTCCTACACTAAATACACACAATAATTTCACTAAGCAACCTTAGTATGAAACTGTGTATACAATTTCTGTTGGAGCTTTCCAGAGCTCTAGATGTGACATTCTGGATAGATTTTACACAAAAGATATGCAACTACATACAGTGTACGTTCTGTCTCTGCTCTTTTCCTCTATACACTGATAAGTCTTCTAAAATCATGTCCTCTGCCATCCTGAATTGCCAGAAGTCAGATGAGTAGCAGCTATATTCAAACTAACAGAATGATTAGTTTGAGGTTAGTTTGTCAGGTTGTACACTTAGACAGGAAGAACCAGCTGCACAAATATAAGATTGAGGACACATGGCTTGCTAATAGTACATGTGAAAAGGATCTAGGAGTCTCGGTGGACCACGAGCTTAACACAAGTCAATGGTGTGATGCAGCAGCAAAAAAGGCTGCATCAACAGAATAGTGTCCCACTCATGGGAAGTAATAATCTCTCTCTATTCTGCCTTGGTAAGACCGAACCTGGAGTACTATGTCTGGTTCTGGGCACCTCAATTTAAGAAGGATATTCACATGCTGGAACGTGGGAGGGAAATGAAGATGATCAAGGGTCTGGAAACTAAGACTCCCTGTTGAGGGAGCTAGGTGTGTTTAGCCTGTAAAAGAGGAGACTGGGAGGAGATATGATAGCCATCTTCAAATATCTCAAGGGTTGTCATATGGAAGATGGAGCAAGCTTGTTTTCTCCTGCTCTAGAGGCTAAGACCAGGACCACTATGCATTGCATCGGCGACAGCAGGTGGCACTGTCAATTATCTACCCAAAATGAAACAAAATTCAGTTCTGGCTGGAAAACATTACCAGCTGTAAACATTTATCATACAGTATTAGTACATGAAATGCAACCACACTATTTACAAATTACCTATGCTATGTTTTATTTGAAAATATTCAGAAGCAAACATTGCAGCACAAAGCTTGCTATGCTTAAGTAAGCAGAATAATTCCTTTCAATGATAAATTCAGACATGATGCAATTTTCAACCGACAAGGCAATTCTTGTTATGAGAGCTTTAATACTGGATACAGTATACTGCCCAAACACACAAATACTTTCCCCTACAGTGATGTACTTTGTTGTCATACGCTGTCAATATCAATGATTACACATTTAAAGCAGCTTGATTAACAGGAGAAACAAAATATTCTCTTAAACATTAAAAAAAATACGGGGGGGGGGGGAATCAAAAACCAAAAAATGAAGAGAACTATGCAAAACAGCAGCACTGGCAGCAGAACAAAATAATTGAAATAGAAGCTTCACACATGCTCCATGCCAGAGTAATCTCACCAGTACACACCACCATCTAAAGCAACACAGTGCCAAACACACAGCTACATAACCACGCCCTCCCTCTCTCCCACCCAGGTAGGCCTTTACTCTCTGCCATTTCAGTCTCTCATACTTATTGTTATTAAGCAAAATTATAAAACACAAAAAGTTAGAACATAGAATCCCACTCTCAGCAGCAAAAACACAGTTCCAGTTACCACCCAATACTGTAATACATCGCTCACTTTCTCCTACTGGGCAATAAATTCAACAATACAACATTAAAGAGGGAAGTGGTTAGTCGGGTGACCCTGAAGAGAAGACACCAAAAGGAAAATTAAAAGACACTTATCCCGTGTTAGCCACTTATCCACTGCAGCAGCTGTCTTATCTAGCCTCTGGGCTGGACACAAGTCAACTAGCTGCAGCTGTTAAGAGCTGCATGTGAGAAACAACAAAAGGTGAAAGCTGTGAGACTCATTTTGCATGGGAAGCTGCAACTCCCTCACTACTCTGTGATCCATTACTTGTGTGCTTCTCTCATACAAAATATTGCAACTCTTTAAAGAGGTTCGAGCTTATACGTGAACCTAAAAGCCCGAACTACATTATCATTATCTGAACTTAATGAACTAACTACCCATTTTTTGGAATGCTGCCTCAACTTTATCTGGATGGCTATGAAAGGGGTGCACAAAAGCAGTAACTGTACCTATTCCTTGCTTATTATGAATGATACAAAAATAAAACTCAAAGCCTGTGTTACCAGGAAAAGAAAGGTATGCACCAAGATTAGTTTTGGAACAGCATGGAATACAGCTGAAATTTAAAAAGAAGATAGCTATTTATCTACTCTCAAAAGGTGACTGAGTTCTTCCTGAACTCATGTTGTCAGAAGAGCTAAAAATATTATAAAAATTGCATACAAGTCACTGAGCATGCCCAAAGTAGGCTTTAGATCCCAGCCTATACCATATATTACGCATGTGCATATTGTTTAGAAGCTCTGAGAAGTTCCTCTGAAACAACATGATCACAGGAACCTTGTTTGTCTTCCTTTATAGGAAGTTGTTTGACTTCCCTTATGGGATTTTTAAAAAATCTTGATCTATTATGGTGCACCAAAAGGTGTTTCTTCTCTTTAACTACTCAACACCTTTTGTTATTGGAAAAGCTTTGAGGTGTTGGCTTAAAGGGCGCCTGTTGTCAGTCCTGGCAGTGACTCTGGCCATCCTTCATCATGTTCATGTACTGACAATATTTAGGCTATGACTTCAGCCTTGAAGCACCTGTCACCAGCAGTTTACTATCCAAGTTATCATTTATAAACATGACCTCTGTGCTATATTGCACAGTAATGAAAATGCAGGACAGCTGAGCCTATAATAAGTATGATGAAACCATTCACAAAGTAATTGGCGTTTAAAATAAGCACACACTGTATTTTCATATTGTGGAGTAAACAATCTTAGGTAATTTGCCTATTATAAATAACTTGGGTTAGGCTTAAACCGAAGCTGTACTGTGATAATATACCCTAGCATGTATTGAGTACTTTAAAAAAAGAAATGAAAAAATTCAGAGTAATTCTTGATTTTTTACAGGTTAGTTCACTGTATTTTTTTTTTTAAGTCAATGAATCCCAAAAGCAATTTAACAATAAAAAATATCAACATTAAAACATACGTAAATACATAAATACATTTTCTAAGCTAATCACGATAAAGACTGGAATGAGAATCTTGCTTAAAAGGCTTGTTGAAAGAAGATCATATTCAATAAGTACCCCAAAAGGCAGAAACAAGGGTACCTGTCTGATATACTGTATACTGGGAGAAAATTGCAAGAGTATGTGGGGGTAGCATGCACTAAAAACCCAGTTCTTACACTGTATGGAACATGCTTCCTAATGAGCTGGTTATCAGCTGGAGCCCCTCTCCTGCAGAGCACAGTGATCACTTAGAATATATGAGGGACAAGAGCACCATGGATTAAACTTACACTTTTAAATAAGAAGCTACATATACTTCAATTATCAGCCTACTAAGCAGAATGTAGTCCAACAGAGTCTGTAGGAGGATGTAAAATATTTTCTGGGGGGAATGGCAAAAGAGAGACATAAGCGGTGGCTGGAAAGTCATCTGTTTAAGTAGAATGGATTGAGTGTGGAAATACACTGGGAATGTTTGGGTCACCTTCATGTAACAAATATCAGAGTCTGTGGTTGCAATAACTGTTTTAAGTTGAAGATGCCTTTGCACTAATGGAATAGTTACCTCTCTCTGTAAATGTATTCACACAGGAGTTAATCTTACCGATTCAGTGCAAATGCATAATGAAATTTGATATTGTGCTGATCAGCCAGATCACAAGTAGGGAGCATTTCCAGTGTTTCCACCAGCTTCACCATGGCATCATAGTCCTAACAGCAGTTTAAAGAGGTAACAGAGGAAAGCATTACTAACCAAAATTCATCCATCAAATGGTTTTTACTTATTCTGACCATGAGCAACAACTACTTAAAAAGATGTATAGCCTATCTCCTTGATACTTCCCTCATCCTAGGACAAGATCTGCTAGAAATATATTCTCTGCCTACAAGGAACACACACAACTCTACATGAGCCAGAATTTATGAACTAACACAATCCTGAATGGAATGCATCCTTGCCTGTGTTAACAAGTCACTTGCACCATTCCACTAGATGGCTCACATTGCTCTTTAAGCATTATTGCATTTCTAGCTGAAGGCAAGCATGCACTGCAATGGAAAACATTTTTTAAAGCAGTCTTACTCATAATCTCCTAGTGGGGAATTATAACCTGAAGGGTACTAAGTAAAATGAACACATTAAACTCAGATTGCAGGGTCAGATAGCAAGAAGTTATGTGGCTCATTTCCTCAACTTCCATATCTTGTTGACAAATATTATAGAAAAGGGCAGAAATATTTGCAGCAAATTAATGTAAATAAAACACTGATATCTAGGGTTGCAATATTTCAAACAGTGAAAATCAGGACACACATGTTGTTGGGGCCAAAGTTGTTGAGCGTTTTTGTGCTGTTTTTAAGGAAACAGTCGTCATGAATCCAGATTCTGTAGAACCCAATGATTCTGAACTTGAGATCACCTTTAAAAAATATTTTTAAAAATGGGTAAAACCTTGATAAAATAACATTGGGGACATGTACTATGTATTTATGGTAAAAGTAACATACCTGGATATCTCGATATGACAGAAGTAAGTTGATTACAATGTCAGAAGTGAGGACTTCAGTATTATCCATACGAAGTTTAATCCTGGTCAGTTCCTTTGCCAGTTCTTCTCCTTGATACTTCTCCCTAGCTTTTCTAATGTCATTTAACAGAGTTTCCTTGTAATATGTACTAGAGGAATTAAGCATAGCAGGGAAAGCATTATTACTACATTAATTGTTATCTAGGGCTGATGAAATGTGACCACCAAAATATTAGACCTTGGTTTCTCTGAGAGATCCTTCCTCGGAGATATGGAGAGGGATGCCAAATCTCTTTATTGAAAATTAATAAACATTAGGAACAGAAAGGTCTAATTACCTTAAAGGCCATGTGAACATGACATATCAGGAAGAATAGAATCATGGAGGGAATGTGCCTGATCCTACCCTGACAGTGAGCTCTGCATAGCTTTTGTGGGGGGAAAATGGAGGATGATACAAGAAGCCTAAATTACTGCATAGGCCCCAGCCACAAAGCTGTACCCATGTGGCACAGATTGGTGTGAAATAAACCTGTTTTTAAAGTAAAAACATAGAGGTAGGAGGCCAGAAAAGCAGGAGTGAGCCCATGTCCCTCTGCATATTCAGAAGCTAATTACACATTATGTTGATTGCTTGGCTTGTTGCCACATCAAAGGATTTTAAATTTGATACAAAGCATGTGGGTGGCAGGAGATTTCAGTCCATGCACTGCACTCAGCAACAGAACACCCCCAATTTGTTTTTTAGAATCACTAATAGCAGAACACAGGATCCATTTTCATCAGAAAAAAGGCTGGGGAGGGAAAGGTTAAACCTGCCATCCCCACACACAGCAGCACCAGTGTAAATCCCCCTCTGCAATGTGCCTAGGATTATTATAATTTAACCGCCATGCAGTTAACATCAACATGCATAGTTTCACCGAATGCATGATTTAGGAGGTGTGAAAAAGGACTTAAATCACACTGAATTTGTGGAGGGTAGGGATACAACCAGCAAGTATGATTTTTCTAACCAACTCTCCATTCCCACACACACATTTTTTTAATCAAAACAGAATCACAACTATGGTTGCTATCAATGCTGTATTTTAAGGGGGGAAATATGAACAAAGCTTAATGAAAGTAAATAACAGTATGTAAGCTATCACACTCAATGGCTAGAACCCTAAGATTCTTCATAGTATAACCAAAGGCTTGCATGAACTAAGTGGCATTGCTGACTTTTTTAAATGGCAGAACTTCATATCGTGATGTATCAAAAACTGCTTTTTAAACTACCTTCAGTTTCAAAACTAGTTCTCCCTATAGCAAGGTAGGAGGTTTATGTTATCTTCTGGATCCTGGCCATGATTAAATGTACCTTACAAACCTAAGTTGAATCTACACTCTTGTTTTCTGAAAAATCAGTTTGGCTCTAGAATGTGAAATTGGAAATAAATTAGGTATGTCTAAACCACACTGAATAAAATGGGACGTAACCATTTAACTAGGATCCTAAAGAGGTTTGTAAAGTCTTGCAGATTCTTGAATTTTGTTCCGACTGTTTTTAATATTGAATTTTAAATTGTCATAACCAGCCCTGGGACCTGATGGTGAACAGTCACTAACAAACTTAATAAATAATAATAGATCATTTGGGGAGGAATTACATAACTGATATCATTGGCTACTTAAGAAGTGGATCCATTTCAAATGAAAAAGTAAACTTTTCAGAACCCCAGCAATTATCTCTAAATATAGAATATGAAATTGATATAAAATCAAACACACCTTAATCATATGCGAAGTAGCCTAACAGAACAACAAATGAGGTCTGATGCACACACAGTGTTAAGTGAATTTAACTTGATTTAATGTCGTGACCTACTGTAATATAGCAGCATAATTTAATGTACTTGTGCCTGCAAAGGAAGAATCAAGAGCACGCTTACAAGAGGGCTCTGATTCTTTCTTTTGAAGTTGAAACACCTAATGTAATGCTGATGTGATTGACAAGTGGACAGCTGTACCTACCTGTCAAAGTAGTCAGCATGGGTTCTGGATCTGGCCCCCTTAGCTGGAACCAGTTCCCCACCCTTGAACTCTACCACTATAGACACAATCACAACTTAGTTCATCTACCAAGAAATGTAACTTGTAATTCCCTTTCTCTTTCATCTGGTCTTCTGATGTCACTCTAATTAGCAAGCTAGCTTTTACCCATCAGCACATTGTTACTGTTACTAGCAATGAGTTTTGTAAATAACATTTACTACTCAAAGACAAAACGACTTCTGCTGATGACTGTTAAGATATGTTAAAGATTAGCTGCTATAGTAAGACTTTAGTTACAGTCCTGTGGGACTAACAAACATCAGACACTTTGAAGGATACTAGTCTAAAAGCATCTTATTTCAACCAGGGGCTTTGAAATCTATACTACATTTATTTTTACTCCCTTCTTCTCCCAGGGGCTAGCCTGACAGCTCTGCTTCTATGTACTGTTAGTATATTGGAAAATAACCACAAGTTACTATGCCTAGCTGCATGAGAGAGATGCAATTTAGCTCAAATTAAGACTCCGCCCTATGATCCGCCCCTCAGGCAGGGAAGATATATGTGTTGGTTATTTTGCAGATTAGTTGCGTTGCAGAAGGCATGCTGGGGAGACCACACATTCAAGAAATGCAAAAGAACTTTTGCTAGGTTTTAATAACAAAAACAAAAACTCCTTTTACACTAAATTACATTATATCAATAAGTATCAATAAGTATAAGGGACGCGGGTGGCGCTGTGGGTTAAACCACAGAGCCTAGGACTTGCCAATCAGAAGGTCGGCGGTTTGAATCCCCGTGACGGGGTGAGCTCCCATTGCTCGGTCCCTGCTCCTGCCAACCTAGCAGTTCAAAGCACATCAAAGTGCAAGTAGATAAATAGGTACCGCTCCAGCGGGAAGGTAAACGGCGTTTCTGTGTGCTGCTCTGGTTCGCCAGAAGCAGCTTAGTCATGCTGGCCACATGACCCGGAAGATGTACGCCGGCTCCCTCGGCCAATAAAGCGAGATGAGCGCCGCAACCCCAGAGTCGGCCACGACTGGACCTAATGGTCAGGGGTCCCTTTACCTTTATCAATAAGTATGACCCATCCACCAACCCATTCACCAGGGTATTGAGAGAGCTACTTGCTGCTCTTTATATACTATACCCAACAAGCCTGGAAGCTACTATAACTAAAAGAGGAAAGTGTGTAAAAATTACCATGATGTGACATGAATGTCCTTGAGAAGGCTGATAAACCTGTCCATCAATGGAGCGCACAGAGGCCCCAGGATGGTGTCCCAGTTGGGCTGCATGTACTCAGAGGCTCTCCGCTGGGCATCACTTTCACAGCAAAAATAATCCGCACATGGCGTTACAATGTACGGAATGAAGTAGTAATTGCCACTTGAAGCCTAAAAGACGACAAAGTGTCAAACTATTAGGACAAAGTAAAAATGATACTCTTAAGTGTTCTTTATGTTCATCCCTTTAGGAAACAAGGAGCATTCAACAGGCAACAACATAAGCAGAAACGCCTGCACCCCTTGCAAAGTTCAAATGCTCAGTTTGAAATTAAAGCACAATATTCACAGCCATCCATAGCAGATATCATGTAAGTTAGGAATCGGGAAGCTGTGACCCTTCAAATGCTGCTGGAACACAGTTCCCATCTTCCTTGACCATCGATTATGCTGGCTGAGACCGAGAAGAGTCTGGAGGGCCACAGGTTTTCTCCTACCCCAGACATGAGTAGAAAGTTTAGCATTTATCTTGAAATAAAAACACAAGACTTTTTCTGTAAAGCTAAACAATTTCAAATAGTTTTTAAAAATGAGGTAAGGAAATGTCTAATTACTTTTGAAGACACACCTACTTAGACAACCATTCCCCCGATCTCCTGACCTAAACCTGTTTGAATTGTTTTCTGCTATTTTAATGGCCTCATCACACATTCTAATTGCATACGTTTATTTTAATGTACTGATGGAATTGTTTTACTGTGTAGTTTAATTATTAGTGTTTTGCAGTTGGTTTTATTCTTACAAATGACTTAGAAGCCACTTTGGCAATTTAGCGATACACAAATAAATAATTAGTAATAAAGTTTCTGGATAATTAATACTATGGGTGTTATTCAACTAACTTTCACTCATAGTGGATCCTCTGAAATTAATGAATGTGACAAGGTTAGGTCCATTAATTGTAATGGGTTTACTCTAAGTAAAAATTAACTGAATACTACCCTATAACTAGAAACATGGTAGCTTATGGTAGTTGAGCAGAAGAGTGGACTGTCTGTGGGTGGGTTTTTTGTTTTTGTGCTACTATGGCAACCAAATGGAAGAGGGTTTCCATGTCTTTAATTGCAGGTACCATGGAGGAAAGGCGCATTGGGATCCATTCAGTGTGCTCAGCTGTGGCCAAGTACTAAATCAGTTGGATAGCTCAGTTGGTTAGAGCATGGTGCTGATAACACCAAGGTGGAAGGTTCAATCCCCGTAAGGAACAGCTGCATATTGCTGCATTGCTGGGGGTTGGATTAGATGATCCTCAGGGTCCCTTCCAAATGGAAACATGATCTGAGAAAGAAGAAACCAAATGCTAACCTAACCAAGAACCACATAATATTTAGAATAACCCAGACACCTCTGTTTCTGATGGTCAATAGCCATGTTCTGATTCCACGTGCATTTTGTGATGGAATGTCACATAGGACATCACATGACTGCTAGAACTGTCAGATGGGATGTTACATTATTTATGTGTGGGAGCGTTCAAAAGTAAGCTAGCAGAGCACAGTGAGAAGGGTTTTTCTCCTTGATGAGCAGGGAGGTGTGCTTGTGTTCAACACAGGGAACCTTTGAAACACTGACATTTAAGCACTAAATCCCCAACCTGCTGGCCAATGCATTACAGTCCCGTTAGAGCCATGCCTTAATGCACAGAATGGCTATCAAGATCATGGCTGTTCAGTTCTAACACACCTACCAACTACAACTTGCAGAGTTATATTATTGTGCAACTTCAGGGAGCATTAGGATGCCATCAAAACCGTGTGTGTGTGCGCGCGCGCGCATGTATGTGCGTGAGAGTGAGAGTGAGAGAGAGAGAGAGAGAGAGAGAGAAGAGATTGAGGGGAGACTGTGGGGAAGCTATTTTTCATTCTTATACAATATCTGAGTGAAGAAACTGGAAATGAATGACAGTTATAATGATGAGTATGCTAAAAATCTGTGAATAGAGCCCAAAGAGTGAAAAGTAGGACACATCTGCACATAAGCATTCCGTATTACCATCACAATTCAGTGCTAAATGTGAAGTACATGAAGGGGTGCTTTTATAAAAAAAAACAATTCCTATGTGGAAAAGTTTTCACCAGCTCATTGCTTCCAACAATTTTCAGGACACAAGCAGTTGTGATTTACATGGATTGAATAAGGGCATCATGTGGGCTTTGGGGGACCAGGTGTGCTCAAACACAACCATTATTTCAATGTTCAGATTCTTCTTTGGCGATCACTTGTAGCCGAGTAAGATTGTCTTCCATAAACACGGTTTTAACAATGAGTCCGTAAGTGACTGTGGAGGCCAATTCTGGATCCACACGTCATTCCACAGTGGGGACATTGGTTTCCGGGCGGGAGTTGATCACGGTGTGAATTTGCCAAGTGTGCCTTCCTCTTAGCACGTTTCTCCCTTGTGTCCTGAGTTCAAGTGTCTTAGTGGGTTCAGCAGGCAGAGGAGCTCTGAGTCCCTGTTTTCCTAAGGCTTTTAAAACGAGGGCCTGATCATGGTAACACTAGAGTGAGTCATGAATTTCATTAAGGGTTCCCTTACCTCTATAATATAAGGAGACTGGATAAATAATACACACACATCAATCACAGGGAGCAAACACTACACATTAGGTAATTTGGTAGTTTTGCTCAGAGGAAAATGGGTCATAGTGCTTTTTGCAAAAGAATTGGAAAACTCATTAGTTCTTCATGCTTCAATGTCCCTAGTTCATTGATTGGTTTATCTTTTGCTCAGTTTCTCTTGCTTCCGTTATAAAACATTAAGAACTAAAACTGGCACAAGGCTATCTCAAACAATTACAGTTGATCTACTTAGTTGTATACCCCTATTGATAAGTATATTAATACTGGCTATAGCTTTTTCCTGTTGAATAAACTCTTTTTTCACAAAGCACTCAACTTGTATCCTCTTCTGCCTCTGAGCTCTCTCTTGCCCCCTCAACTCCCTTCTCTGGATTGCCAGCTAACTTTGAGGCTGATTCTTCTTAGTTGGTGAACATGTGGCTACAAGCTGAGCAGGAATGTCCCTGCCCATGTCCCTCCACTAACCCAAGCTTCCTGGTAAGAGAAGCATCTCACAGTAATCACAACAAAAAAGCAGCACTACAACCAAAAGTCCATCAGAAGCTTAAAAACAGCACTAAGAGGTAATATTGAAAAGCACGGGAAAATGAAATTTTACCCAAGGCAGAAAAGAAAATAGATGGCACCAGGTGAGCCTCACTGAAAAGAGGGCTCCATCAACAGGGAGCTACAACTGAGAAGGTCCAATCTCTGGTCACCACCAGTCTTACTGAAGTTGGTGGGACAACAGGGAAGAAGGCCTTTGAGGTCCATCTTAATTGCTGGACAGGTTCATGCAAGAGAATGCAGTCATATAAATACCCCAGTCTTAAGCCTAACTTGTGCTAAGTAAAGGAAACAGAATGTAAAGCTTTCATGTATTTTTTCCATTGCAGTAAATATACAAGAATTTTCTTCAAGCACAAAGGGTCACTTTTCCACTGAAAAAAGTAGGATATGGATGCAAGAAAATATGTTCTCCCAAGAAGGAAAACTAAAGGTAGCTCGTTCAGCTACACTGTAATTCAAATGTTCTACCCAGTGTATTAACATAAAGTGTAATAAAGGAAAAACATAACTGCACAGCAAAGACAAGGCAGGAACCATTCATTAGAAATAACTGCAAAGCATGGGCAAACACCATTTGTTAAAATGACTTTAAAGTTATTAAATGCATTGCCTGTGGGAGCATGCTCAGGATTTCAATTTAAATCAGTAACATTAAGGAGTAGGACATACTTGATACTAGGTAAAAAAATATCACTTAAATAGCCGATCTGCAATGAAGTTATAGTTTAGAATTGTGCATGTTATTAGTATTTTCCATTTAAACAAGAATATGACAACACACTGATAGCGTGGGAGGCACTGCAGTTACCACTGGGTAACTTGGGTGGTAGCTCTCCCCCATGTCATGTGGGGAAGATGGGACAATATCAGAATGGGGAGGAAGTTTGGCCCTTGGCTTCTCACGCAGTGTGGGAAGGAGTCATGTAGCAGAGGCTCTCATGCTAGGAGCTTAATGTAAGAAAGCAGAGAGGAGCAGAGATGTAAACTAAATAATACTGACTAAACAACAAACTATTTTGAAATCAAAAAGATAACCAAGGGGCCCTCCAGATGGGTGTTTGATTGCGGATATATTCTGCAACATGCCCTTGACATAATAACACTGCATTAGTGGAGGACTTATTCTGCTTTAGTTTGTTCTGTATTGGTTTCCCAATGCTAACTACATTCTTGCTATCCGGAGGAACTAAAGTGCAACCAAAGCGGGACAAAAATAAACCACAACATTGTGGTATAAAAAGTTATGGGATTTCACCATAAAACTACCAGATACGCACTGACTGGAAGTGAAGCTGTTTGACCACCCGAAACCTTTTGCAGGCACAAACAATATTGAAAGCAGGATTGTACGTGACCATACTGACAGATTCACAAGCATAGGAAGTCATGCATGTGCAATAGAAAGTACATGTGGAAGGGCCCTCAACGTCATTTTGAAATATCAGGGAAGAATGCTTTCAAAAGCATAACAGAAAAAGCAGTATAGAGCACAGCCACACTTACAGAACATTCAGGGAAATAATAGAATGATACATACTTTGCCCATCATACCACCACTGTGGTATTCTGGAGGTAGTTGTACTTGAAGAAAAGCTTTGCGGTTGGCAACTGCAGCCTACTCCAAATTGTAATGGGACATTATGCAAAAATGGAGATCATAGGAGTATGCATATTTTAAAGAAAAGACACACAGAATAGAAAAAAATATATTAAAAAGAGGGGAACAGCAAAATATGACACACATGCATCAAGTACAGCATTGTTCTTTTAAGAGTTTATGCAACTTATAATGGAACCGCAGAGATGTAGATCAACTTGCTACAAACCCACAGATGAAACCATACCAATGTTGTATCAGCCACTTTCAAAACAAGCCACTTTCAAACCATGGGTTGTGAAGCTTCTTTCATTAATTAACCAGAGATCATTTTAAATGACCATTCTTTTTTTTCTTTTTTTTTGGTATGACATGACAACCCAAGGTTCTGTGGGAATATAGCTAACTGCTGGAGAAGTTGGAGAAGTCCTGTCTGCATGGCAGGAGGAAAACAGAGGGTACATATGAGAGTGAAAGGCTTTGTTCAGGCTCATTCAAGCATGTTCACATCACCCTTAAACCATGGTGCAAACATGGCATGTGTTTAAACATGTGAGTTACAGTACACTAATCTGCACACGTCACAATCAATAGTCAGCAGACGCCACCTCTCATAAATTTACCAAATAATCCAGACTCTTCCTTAACACAGACATTTAAAAAAATTAAAACATAGCATTATACAAAGCCTAGGAAAGTAGAATTGCAGTACAGTGGTACCCCAGGTTAAGAACTTAATTCGTTTTGGAGGTCCGTTCTTAACCTGAAACTGTTCTTAACCTGAAGCACCACTTTAGCTAATGGGGCCTCCCTCTGCTGCTGCGCTGCCGTTGCACGATTTCTGTTCTCATCCTGAAGCAAAGTTCTTAACCCGAGGTACTATTTCTGGGTTAGCGGAGTCTGTAACCTGAAGCGTATGTAACCCAAGGTATCACTGTATATAGGTGTGGTATATAGAAGTTTCTATATATGGGGCTTCTAAACAATACTGTTTCTATTTATTCCCATATGTGAAGTCTTCCATATTTCAGAGATCATGACACCTTAAACACATGTGTTTTACATGTTATGATTTATGGTCACATAATAAATGCAACTGCTGCTGCTACTATAAAGTTCATGCTCCAAAGATTATTTGAATCTTGAGTTTTACAAGGCCGCACGCTTTCTGAAGAAGTGCCATGTTTTCCAAAACTTATAAAGAGGACTTCTGTCTCTAAAGCAGGGGTGGGGGATCTCTGGCTATCCAGATGTTATCGGATTCCCATCAGTCCCAGCTGGAATGGCCATTGGTGAACAATAATGGGAGCTGTGGTCCCGTAGTACCTGGAAGGTCACATGTTCCCCACCCTAAATAATATTAGAAGGAGATTCATATAGTCACACGCACTACCAAACCAAGTTGCTGCCTCTCATTAATACTTCTGAAAACAGTAAAAAGTATTTTGATTAGGCCAAAAGGAAATTTGGATGTTGTTCTTCCTGCCATATTTTGCAGAAACTAGCACACATTTTTTACCACCCGATGAATGATCATAGAAAGAGCAGTGGAACTAAACTGAGTAACATAAGCACAATAATACTATCTCATAAACATATTACATATGTTAATTATGACCTGAAGAGAAAAGCAAAAAATATATTTGGTATACATTTATGTAAAGAGCCCCCTTCGGCAAGAAGGAGGAAGCATCTTGAATCTGTACATTCCTCAGAAAATTGACAGCTTGTGATTTATCTGGCATGGAAGAACGGACAGTTCCTAAAAAGGCTTATTAACTGGACAAAGATAGTCAGTACTGTACAATTTATCATTTATCATTTATGGTAAATTTATCATTTATGGTACCGTCTTCTTATAATTACTAATGAAACAGCATAATGAATAATGCATATGTTAGTATGTGCATAGGGGCCTCAGTCCTACGAATGAAGTATTCTGAAATTTCTAAGTAATTTTTTTTAACTGAGGCAAACATGCCATATCTTTCTTGGAAACCTACTTTTGCCTAGAGATAACTACGCTTCTCTTGATCCGTATGTACTCATCATCGCCACTGGGTGTGATATGAAAGCTAGAGGCATGTTAGCAACCTTGTCTTATAAATCAAAACATTTAATATTTTATGCACCTTATCCAAAAAGTAAACATTGGCAATAAAAGCCAACTGAAATGTACAAGCTTCCAGTGTTTCTTAACTCTTCTAAAAGGAGTATCAGAGTGAGTGCCATGTGTCATATTGAAACTGCACTATTAAAAATCAACTCTATGCCTTTTATGCTATCTCATGTTAGTAGAACCTCTAGGCCAATAAACTGACCATGTACCTGAACTCTGTATTATCTGTTATACAGTATTTGCTTCACAGATCATTGATTTGACTGTAGTTGTGCTGTTGGGTTAGCAGGACACTCAAAACATTTAGGGCAACAGACCTTAGAGAAAAGTGTTTTCCATTTATGTTGCTACAAGCAGACAACATAACAAAAACACCAACTTTCTATCCAGTTCAAATACAGAACTGACACAAAGTCAAAGAGTAATTTCCTCAATTCCTTATTAGTTTAGGAAAATTGCAACAACCTGTTGTCTCTTAGTTGGGGTTTCTGTTTCTTGTTACATTTGCTCTAACAAAACATGGCAGGCTTTTATTTTATTTTTGGATTCAAAGGTTTTGGGCAACTTATCCATATCTACTCCTAATAAGCACTAGTGAAAGCTTCTCTTTTCATACAGTAGTCTGGCCAATCTATGCAAAAGGAGGTCATGAGAAGTTAGGAAGTATAATGCAACCTGCCATAAAAAATAGACATACATTTTACATATTTCTACAACAATGCTGACCCCTCAGAAATCAAGGAGCACAATCTGTTTCCAAAACCATGACTACACCATGGTAACACTCTGAGAAAGAAGAAACTGTTCCACTAGGCTGAGTTATTTGCAATTTATTTCACAGATAAGTGCTTTGACAGGCTCTGCAGAGTTGTGTATACACCATCAGTGGTTGCAAATGGCAGTCAGAGGTCAACTCTCCCAGGAGCTTTGGGCACATACAGGGGCATAAAAAATGGTGACCTTTAGTTACATGCAAGGCCAGTTCTGTTTTGGGAACCCAGCTCCCGGATGTTAGAAGCAACTCATAAGTCATGATTTAAGACTCTCAGAGGGGCAGTAAATTAGCAAGACAAAATATTAATTGTTTGCTTTGTAAAGTCAAGGAGGATAACATCTCTTTTCATTTGTATCTCATAATATTTTACTGCTAGAACAACAGAAATTGACAAATCCCAGGGTGTTGTGTGTGTTTTAAAAAACCTAAGTCTTCCCACTTGTGTAAGGCTTAAACTGGTGCCAGAGCCTTATTACTCAGAGCACCTACAAAACTACTAAACTAAGCTCAAAGGCCATGTCCCAACAGATGTATTCTACTGCTGACACAAATGTTCCCAGCTTCATTTTCAAATCATTTCCTCCTTCACTGAAAATATTAGTCCTGATTTAAACATTCTGGTGGGGGGTGGGACTGGTCAAATTGTTATCAGATATAAGAAGAAGAAAACATTTCCCATTTTTAAAAGAAGACTAAGAGCAAGCACCCCACCCAACAATTGGGGGATACCTAGTAGCTTAAAATCATGCTCAACTGGATTAAAAAATAATAATTCACAGAAATCTCCTGTACAGTCGCATTTTGGCTGTTGAACACCCTGGAACTCGTACATTTTGGCTCCTGAACGCCGCAAAAGTGATTGTTCTGGTTTGTGAACGTTCTTTTAGAACGTTCTTTTGGAGCTTCCTGCAGCCTATCAGAAGCCGCGATTTGGTTTTTGAACGGACTTCCGGAACAGATTCCATTCGACTTCCAAGGTACGACTGTAGTAGGTTTAGAATGGTCCTGAACCAAACTCCTGTCTTGCTCGTTGCGGTAAGACATAGTTCTGTGTTGACTTTCTAACACAAAGTTAAGTCATAAGCTCACTCAACTCAATGCAATGCAAAGGTTGCACATGCTTGTAAGTTTCACACACTTGGGCAATTCTATGAATTTGCATTGTTGTTGCTGTTTATTAAAATTCTATACTGTACCACCCTTCATCCAAGCATTACAGGGTGGTTTACAATTCAAAACCACAAAAATATATACTGTTCCATGCCACCCTGACCTTTGAGTGCTGCCAGATTCCAGGGGTCCAGGCACTTACCCAGGGTTCGTGTTTCCTTTGGAAATGAGGCACAGTGGAGACTGTGGTGTCTTTATGGTGTTTGGTTTATTTACACATATATACAACCTGAGCCTGCGATGGAGGGGTTCAAAGCAATACACATCAAATGGGTCCTGTTTCTCCCAAGGCCGCCACCTAGGATTCAAACTTTCAGCCCACATTGTGCCCTGATCTCATCTCTCCAGCTCTCTCTGCTTGCACACGGACACCTCTTTTTCTCTGACTCACATCAGGTGAAACTATAATCTTAAATCTTCTACTACCACTGGCCTTTATCTCTGCAAACTAACACAGAGCACAGTTGGGGGGGGAGGGGCTCCACACATTTGCTGGCTGACAGTGTTTGCTCTGCTGATACCCCATCTCCCTGTCTTTGTTCCCTGCTAATGGTTTATCTTTAGCAGTGCATTACCAAGCTGGCTCCTGGCTTGCATTTTAACATGCCAAATCCAGTGTCTGGCACCCAGGAATTAGAAGGGGAGCCCAGGAAGCCCACAAACTCATAACACTACAAAAATACATACAGTGGTACCTCAGGTTAAGTACTTAATTCGTTCCGGAGGTCTGTACTTAACCTGAAACTGTTCTTAATCTGAAGCACTACTTTAGCTAATGGGGCCTCCCGCTACTGCCGCGCCGCTGCCACGCGATTTCTGTTCTCATCCTGAAGCAAAGTTCTTAACCCGAGGTACTATTTCTGGGTTAGCGGAGTCTGTAACCTGAAGAGTATGTAACCTGAAGTGTATGTAACCCGAGGTACCACTGTACCATAATAACAAACAATAACCACACCACCCCCCCAAAAAAACTTTTAAGCCATAGATTGTTTAATTAGCCAAAGACCTGGGAGAAGATGAAAGTTTTTGCCTGATGCTGAAATATATGTAATGCAGGTGCCAGGTGAGCCTCCCTTAGGAGGGCATTCCACAAGTGGGGAGCCGCTGCAGAAAAGGCCCGTTCTTGTGCTGCCATCCTAGACTTCTAATGGAAGGAGCACAAAAAAGGGCCTCAGAAGATGATTGCAGGGTCCATGTCATATGGGTGGGCATTGAGGTATTGCGGTCCTCAGCTGTTTAAGGCTTTATAGGTCAAAACCAGCACTTTGAATTAAGCCCCAAAACTAACTTGCAGTCAGTACAATCAGGTCAGATTGGCATGATAGGCTCAAGCTGTCTTATCCCAGTGAGCGACCCGGCAGCTGAATTCTTCACCAGCTAAAGTTTCCAAGCCATCTTCAGAAGCAGCCCAACAAATAACATAATGCAGTAATCTAACCTAGAGCATAGACAACAGTAGTTAAGACTATCCCTGTCCAGATAAGGGCAAACCTGGGCCACCAGCCAGAGCTGATGGAAGGCATTCCGTGCCACGGAGGCCACCTGAGCCTCAAGAGACAGCAATGGATCCAGGAGTACCTGTATTCCAGCTCCTTCAGAGGGAGCATTACCCCACCAAGAGCAAGCAACCTCCCATCCATCTGGCCAAAGGAACAACCCACTATCAGAGCCTCAGTCTTATCTGGGTTGAGTTTCAGTTTATTGGCTCTCATCAAGTCCATTGAGACAAGACAATGGTCCAGCCCATTCACACTGAAGGTTCCATGGGCCCAAAGAGCACTCCCCAAGCATCACCTTCTGGAAACAAGCATCCAAGTAGTACCTCGCAGAAACCTGATACATGCTGAGTTCTACCTGCATAACTGGAAATTACACGACTGCTTCCATTCATAGTACGTGAGTAAACAGGCTAAAGGTGGCTTTCTGACTTGCCCAGATAAAAATCACAAAGCAAGTGTTTTGACCACATCAATTGTCAGTGTTAAGTATCACAGCCATTGGGCAAAGTCACTTGATATTTGTTTCACACAAAAGAGGGGGAAACGATTTAAATCGAACCCCTTCTCCTGCCTGGCCAGTCCTCAGCACACATGCAGAACTGCGTAGAGTAATGACTGAGACTGTGTACACACCATAAATTTGAAGTACATTGCACAGAGACCCCCAAAAATATGAGAACTGCAGTTTGCTCACTGTAGCGCCGTGATGGGTAAACTACAGTTCTCAGAATTCATAGTACAGCCACAGACTGAAATTTTTGTATGCGCTTTCTTACACTCCTCTAAGCCAGCAGTTTCTTTCCAGTATTCCAGCCTATAAATCCCTCAAGCCTGGAGCAACTTGCAGGCTGGCAACACTGTGTGAAAAATTGCATCTAGAAGAGAGTGAACAAACATGCACAGACTTCTCACTATGTCAAATTGACAGTGTGATATGGTCACATGCAAATTGGATGAAGGGCAAGGATGGTCCATCAAGCCTTATGCCAATCTGTCCCTTTCTAGGGATCAGCTATGTCTATAATGTTCTTCTATTTTATCCAACCTTCTTACTAGCCTTCTTACTAGGACAATATACTTCAACTTTATTCTCACAATAACCCTGTGAGGTAGCTTAGACTGTCAACCCCAGTCAACTGATATACGTAACGGGGGTGCAGTTACTTTGTCTCTATGGTAGGTGTTTTTTGGGGTGGGGCTCTTCATTACTACTCCTGCCCATTTGCTTGCTCCCCACTCTAGTTCCAATCCACACTACCTCCCACCTCCCAGACAGAAAGGACAAAGCAAGGTTCTCCTTCTCTCACTGTATGCTTGTTTGAAGCAGGCAAGTGAAGTAGCAGAAACACTGAGGAGAATCAGCTGGCCCAGGAGGTTCCTGGGAATGACAGTGGGTCATCTTATTTAAGCATAAGCCTTGGTAAGTGCCCAGTGATGCCAGCCCTTGTCACTGGCCCCGTTAGAGCAGGAAGTGAGAAACCTGAGCCTCATTAGCTACTTCAAATAATATGTGCCCAGGCAACACTCATGGTTCCCCGAACCAGCCATCTGTTAACCCACAAAACTCTTGAGCAACAGTATGCTGCAAAACTGAAGAGGAGTGAACAAAATAAAAGCAAACAGTTACTGTATTTTTCGCCCTATAGGGCGCACCGGCCCATAGGGCGCACCTAGTTATTTGGGGGGGGGGGGAAATAAAGAAAATAAATTTTATTTTCCCCCCCAGGCACGGGGCTGGGGTGGGGGAAGCCCGTACATACAAAATATATGCAACTCAAACAAGACACAAACGCAAAGGCAGAAATATTTGGCTAGAGTTAGAAGAAAATTCCATCATGATTCTACAACAGAGCAGAAGGGTAGACCTCAATCATGAAGGGAAATTTATTCATTGACTCTTGTGGGAGGTACAGCTTGATTCTGCTCATATTGTTGTCTCCAGTTTTACTGTAGTTTTGGGGCAATACTGATATCTACATTTACTAACTATGAAACAGGAATTGATTGAGTCACAGGCACCTCATATTCCACATATGTGTGTGGCCTTCCTGTTCCCCACAAAAACTGTAAGCAGACCAACTTGTAAGATTTCAACTCTGTTTTTGAAATTAATGAAGTTTTCTGCTCCCTATCATTCCCAAATGTGATACTTCTAATAATTTGAAATTTAATTGTGGGAGCAGAATGCTTCATTCAAAACAGAGATGTGTTTCGAATAAATGATTTTTAAATCTTATAACTAGGTGTGATTGCAGGAACCATAATGACTCCCCACCCCACCCTCCTCTACACACATATATTGTGGGTGATGTGACTCATGGCTCAACTCATTATATAAAGACCTACAAGCTCAACATGTAACAATAACATTTTATATGTATTAGTTTGTATACCATCAGTCCCCTTCAACTGCCTCCAGTATGTTAACCACTGTGATATATTTGTTGAATATAATTATATGCACTCTCTGCAAAATGTACAGCCTCTATGTTATGAGTACTTGGTGGCTGAGGAATTTGCCAAAAGAATATGAGAAAGTAGCATTTTAATATTAACAAAGGGGTCTGCCTGTTGATAGATTTTTAAAAGGTTGCTCTGTTTCACTATCACACATGACTCATTTTCCTTACTCTGCCTTTATGATACTTACAGGCTCCGTTTATTTTTATAACCCAATCAATCTTCAAAAGTCAAAAAGGTAACATAATTTAAAGAGCAAAGGGAAAATATAATTTACATTATTCCTTTGCTGTTTGTTGTAGGTGATGAGTCATCACCTCCATCAAATTTTCAGTATTAAGCTTAAAGCTGTTGCAGTGTTTTATCAGTCAAATACTACGCAATGGTCTACATTTACAAAACACACAAATAGCTAACCAACATGCATTTGCATTTGTTTTGGGGTTCCATGGGGGAAAGAATCATATTTCCATGGTGTATCTAGTCTGAATCTGAAACCTCGAAGGCATGGCTGTTCCACAGTATATATCTAATCTGGATCTGAAGCCCTGAAGGCAGTTTGGGTGAGCACTAGGTTCATGAGGGGGTCAGGCCCATAGTTGAGTTTCAGGAGCTCAGCAAGGAACACTGCAGAAAGAAAGGCAAGATTTTGAAGCCACCGAATTCTTTTCCAGTTCTGATTAAAACTCAAGCAGAGGAGACTTCCCAATTGTAACCTTCAACTCATGCTCCCAGCCTCAAAACAGCTACAAAAAGCAGGGGACATTAACCAGCGGTTTAGGGCTAAACATCTAAAATATATTAGGGTTTCCAAAATAAAGTACCAATATGGGTGTCTGATAAAACATGCCAAGTTTGAAGAACACAATTAGCTCAGAGCAGCTTGTCCCATCCTAGTGCCCTACAGTAGCTTGATTAGGACTCCTAGCATCTCTGAGCATCATCCATGCAAGCTGCGGGTGATGTCAGATGTACTATAAAATGTATTCTTGGAGGAGAATAATCACACCCACAGATTATTTGGACTACTTAACATTCTCTCTCATTTCTTACAACTGATTTTCCACTAGATTTCCAGGCACTTTAAATCATGAAAAAAATGAAAGCCACTTTCTGAAATGCAACTAACTCGACAACATATTCTCAATGGGCTGTATCCAACAATGCAGTTGTGCTGGCAGAATGGACTTCCCTGAGTGCAATGGAACTTCTTTTTTTCTCTCCAGGCCACTCTCTGGGCAACTGTCCAGAGCATATTTGGGGTGGGAAGGGGTGTGTGGAGAGGAAATTGAAGTCTTGTTATGGCAGCAGACCCTCACTGGGACAGCATTAGGTGCAATCTGATGAGAATAAATTAGTCTTCTTTTCATTAAATAGACTTCCAATCCTATGGCAAAGTAGGCTTGTTTAAACCACTGGCCTAAAAAGCAGCAGGTATAAATAAACTGTGTGCAGAATAGAAGCCATGATTTGTAGGAGCAACTGCATACTTGGCACGCACGCGCACACGCGCACACACACACACACACACACACACACACACTCTTGAAGTTATGCAGCTCCTCCACACAGATTTCCTTTAAAATAAACACTTCTGTGGTACTCCCAATGTAAGTTTTAAAACACAGGATCTTAAATACTTACTGTGTTTTTCTGAGACACCATGTCCTGGAAAAGAATGGGAAAAATGCAACTTTATAAAGTGTAAAATATAAATGTTTGTGCCATGTTTGCAAAACTCATACCTTGAAATTTTATTTTTGGAGGTTGAAATGCTTTGGGGAAAGGAAGCATAAGGCTGTGCTGTGCTTTAGAAACACAATTTGGGACTATAACTCTATTGCCTAAGCAGATTTTTTTAAAAAAAAAATCTTCTAATATATCTGTAACTTGGGCATCTTGCATCTGCTTTCTCTGGTATTTTGGAATGCTTCTGTTCAATACCTAGTTCATTTCCTACGGAGAAAACAAACCATCCTGACTTTGTTAGGAATAAAAAATAGTAAACTATTCAGGCAGAAATGAAATAAGAGTAATATTTAGACAGACAGACATTCAACAAATTAAACTTTCCCAGTCACACACTCTTTATATCACTAATGAATTTTTGCCCAATACAGAATTGTTTTAAGTGACACAGTGCACCTATGTGCATTGTAAAATAACTAGCGCAGAGTGTAGTAGTAGTTGACCAGGCAGAATTTAACAGGTATAGCTTATCCAATCATGTGATGAAGCCAAGCACAAGGATCCTATTCCGGGTTAGTAATCAAATCAAGATTGGTCTATTTCCATGGAAAGTGTGAGTCATTTTCCCTTCCAAAAACATGGGAATACTAGGGTCAAAAATTCTTCCATAGAAGAGAAGAATTAAGGCTCTTTAAAATTCACTTGTAAACCCAAAAGTATGATAAATCTAAGTTAAGGCTCCCACCTTAAGCACTATGTAAGCAGTAAGTATGTTCCAAATGACAGAGTACAATCATTTTGTAATAAGTTGCAACTCAAATCTGTAAGCATCCATACTTTCCCTTGTTGTTTTAGTTCTAGTGATTGGCTGTTTGGGTATAACATTAAATCTGAAGGTACCATAGGAGCACCTCTCTGATTTTCCTATATGTTTTTGAGCTAGAGTGAACAGTATTACTTCCAAGCCATATATGAAGGAACTTATTTCTGTGGGTCTTATGTGATAATTAATTCATAAGAAACTTAAGTCTTCTAACCTGAACATTCTTTTTATCCAAGACTTTAGTTTATAAATGCACACATTTATAACTTTATTGTGATGCTTGGTAATAGTCCTGTTGAATTAAATAGGGCTTTTCAGTCAAATTGTTTATTCATACCATGACAGGAACAAACGTATCTTCAACATAATTAGGGATTTACAATAAAGGGCACTGTACCTTCAGTGATTGAGAAGTATCAGCATCAGTGTCATGATAGAGTATAACATTATTGGCCATATCAAAACTTTCACGAACTCCAAGGTGGTAGAATAGGGATGGTTGTCTGGAGACATCACTCATATCCACTACTGCAACATCTGTAATAAGAAAATTTGATAAGACTAGAAGGGGAGGTGGATGAATAAACTAACATATGTTGGAAATGCTAGATTTTTCCTTTCAAAATTGCATTCTTTCCCTAACTGATCCACCTCATAACTTACAAGCAGAAGTTGTAGGGTGGTATCTAATGTTAGTTCTACCCACACTAGACCCACTGAAATTAATGGACATGACTAACTTAAGTGCATTGTTTTCATGGGTCTACCCATAGATCACAATATTTTGAGGGCACCACTTGCCCTAGTCTGTTAGGGATCACTTTGCCAGCATCATAACACTATAATGTCACATAGCCAATCCCTCCAAACTGGCAAAGACTTATACTTACATCTCATCACATTTCATCAGAGCCACACCCAAAAATAAAAATTGTCAAAGGAAACTGAAATGATTGTCAGTGTGGTGTTTTATTCATTTATATTGGGGGGAGGGGACAGCTGTAAAAAAATAAGTCTACATAGGGTTTGTGCCTGTGTACGCTCTGGAGACTGAATGCCATGAAAGCAGATCACTTTCCTGATGAGAGCATTTACACAATGTGTTCATTGATTAGGCCACTGTACAATGCAGCACAGCTGATGACCCATACATAGTTTATTGAAACAGGGTTCATTTTTCACCTTGCAGTTCCTTATGAAACAAATACCATCCCTCTAGCCAAATAGTTGGTTCATATGAGGTGCTGTGGGAAGACCATTTACCTACATGGATCTCTAATAAATGGGAGGGACTGCAGTCCCATAACAGAGTCCATGCATTGCATGCCAACGTTCCCAGAATTAATAATTGAATCTCAAATGAAAAGATGAAGAAGCAGGTCTGGCTAAGCAGGGCTAAGAACCTGGATAGCTGGTGACAATTGGGACAACACTGGGCTAGGTGGACCTATGATCTGAATCTGTATCACATGGCTTCATATGTTCTATCATGAATATTATAACCGAGAATGTTCATATATGATCTTATTAACTAGTTACAGCCACCATTTAGAAAACAAAATTTAACAATGGACATAGCATCATGGGTATTGTGATCTGAAATTGTTATCTGTGTCACAAACTCACCCAGTAACCTAATTAATATAAGCCAGAATAGTGTTTCCAAGTGTGGCCAGCCACGTACCTTCAGGCAGTCCGTAAGTGCTTGACTCATTCAAGAGTACCTGTAGTTGGTCTATTATGAGCCACATAAGAACCTTGCCCAGGAAGGTGACATTTGCAACGGTAGATCTTCTGAGTCTAAGGAAGGTCTCTTAAGGACTGGTCTCCCTGATGCCTCTTTCAGGCAACCTGGCACCACTTCCTCTCAGAAAGGTAGTCATCATCTCCTTGGCCCAGCTGGCAGTCTCCTGGGCAAGAACACAAGTAGCAGCCTGCTACTGTCTACCACCTTGTCCATATACTTGAGCCTTATCAACTGAAACTCATCCATTAACACATGACCAGACAACACTATGAAAACCTCCAGAAACCAACCTGCTACAGTAGCAGTTTCTAAAACCTTATAGATGCAAGTTGCTTATATCCTTGCAAATAAAATCACAACAAGCTATAAGAAGGTACCAGTGTGCAAAATACCCCCTATAAAGCTCCACTGGATAAGACACCAAGCACACAATGAAAGTAGAGAAGCAATTCTTTTCTGAAGGAAAAAGTGGTGAGGAGTTATTTCTGCCAATTTGCCCCTGGTCACCATCTGCTCTACAGGCTTGGAGGATCCTGGGAGGTGGTGCAGGATGAAAGGGGGAATCAGAAGAAATCACCTCCTGTACAATTTTCATTTGTGGAAGCTTCTGCTGGATCAAAGAACCTTCTATCATCAGAGCAAAACAAGTGTGTGCAATCCATTACCTTAACACTCGTTGTTGCTTTAAGAAGGTTTCTCTGCAAAATATTATAATAAAAACCCAAGTTGCTTATTCCCACAATACATTTCATTTAAACAAATTATAACTTGGCTCACACTGTGAACCAAGCTTACATATGATTCTGTAAAGGCATATAAAGTGAATTGAGCCTGCATGAAGTAACAGGCATAATCAAACAGTGCTTTTCCTAAATATATCCCAAGACTATGGTGTAGAGTTACAATTGTACCCAAACACTCCATCTATCATCATTCTCCTGGAACACTCATCACTTACTAAAAATAGCAATGCTGCTTATTTTCTACATTCAGGTATCAAATGAATTGCATCTGCTCCTCAGACAATTTGTTTCAATTACTACATAATGGCAGCATATTTTAAAATCAGTCTTACTATTTACTCCAAACAATTGAAGTTAATTTCAGTGGGATGAAGAGTGAACCTGAAGTGATCAAGTGGCAGATCTTCTTATTTTAGTATTTTGACCTACTCAGGTCAAATGTGGTACAGCAAAAATATTTGTTTGGCAATAGACATATACACATTGTCAAATCAAATCAAGTACCTTCCTTTTCATTTTTCAAAGCTGTCGATAAATAAAAATTCCGACAGCCTCTTCCCGATCCCTACAAAACAAAAGATCAAGCAGCTACCATAATATGGCTTCTACCAGCAATTAACTCTTAAATTGGCCTTTGGCCTTGGGAGAATGTCCCACACTGCCCAAGATGTCTTGGGCCAATAAGCTATGCCTTTCCCCCCAAACCAATAAAAAGGTGTTGTAGCAAAGTAGGAAAGAGACTGAACTATGAATCACATAGTCCCTGGTTTGAATAGCAAGCATAATATTATGCATTAAAAAAATTATGCTTAATCAAACATGCAGTATGTATCAACTTGCATAACAGCATTACCCCAATATAATATATCAATTCTATTGCAACTTAATCAACTATTTACCCAAGATATACATAGCAACCTTGCTACTGCAAATATTCTTTGATCTATAATTCCTATTAATCATCCTAAACTTAATATGGCTCTATACATTATTTTTCTAGGAAGGCCAACCCCCACCACCCACAGGAAAGCATAAGATAAGAAAGTAATATCCTTATTCCTGGATTTGTTGTAACTACACAATGAAATCAGATACAACCAAAAGCTTATCCACACTGTCAAGATGAAAAGGTAACATGCCACTTTACAATCTTACCTTTAGACAGCTACCTTATATCACATTGAAACCCAAAATGAAATTTGCCGGAAGGAGCTTTCTCTTTCAATAATAAAAACAGCTACACCAAAACGTTGGCTCTATACAGGATGTCTTATCAACAAATACATATAATGTATCTCAAACTACTTCTGTGCTTTTCTAAGGGATAGAACAGGCTTCCTCAACCTCGGCCCTCCAGATGTTTTTGGCCAACAACTCCCAGGATCCCTAGCTAGCAGGACCAGTGGTCAGGGATGATGGGAATTGTAGTCTCAAAACATCTGGAGGGCTGAGGTTGAGGAAGCCTGGGGTAGAATGAAACAACAGCTTTCCTCTCATCACACAAGAACATTATGTAGTCTATCAGATAAGGCATTCAAGGTTGGGGAAACCTGTGTCAATATCCCTATGTCATTTCACAGTCTTCACTTTTACCCCTGCAACTCAAGCCTTCCTTATCTCAACTTCTACCATATGTAATTCTACCATCTTCATAATGGGTGAGGAGTAGCCAAGGCTCCACTGATGGAATCTGTCGCCATACCTGTTATCTGTAAAGACCCATAAATTAATATGGCCAATGAAAAACTTTTAAATAAATAAATAGTGTGTGAAGTGCTAGTAACACAATGCTCGAATATTTCCATGTATGAACCAGCACTTAATTAAAAGTTATGAGGAAGCAAAAGATAAGCTCATAGAAATTTGGATTTTTATAGCAATTTCGCATGACTATGATTTAAATGGCTTTAAGGCAGGGGTAGGGAAGTTGTGGCCCTCCAGCCCTGCTTTAAATGCTCTGCAAAACAAAGCATGAATATGTAAGCAGGGTTTTAACCACTGGAACTGGAACTATTGCAGGCTAGGCAATAGTATGTAAAAGCTAAATGAATAAATCATTTGCCTCTTACTCCTGTACTTGGATTCTAATGCAAATGATATTTTAACCACAAGAAAAGTATGTCCCTTCTATCTCTTTGAATCAGTGTCACCTTATTAAAAACAAAACAAAACAAAACCTTAAGCCATTGTCTGTTATTTCACTTTATATACTTTTTAAATATAGGAAAGTTAAGATGACCTGGAACTTGAGAACAATTAAACTCTCTGTAATACTTTTTTTGGCTTAATTTCTTTCATAGATGAAATGTCAGGGTCAAAGTGTTTTTTTGGTGTGTTTTTTGCAAGTGTGTAAAATAATAGAGATGCATCTTTCCACAGAATAAACTGAGCAAGTTTCTTTCCACCTGTAGATTTGATGAATGTTCTGAAACAACTATAGTAATTAATTTTGCATAGTGCTTTGCCAACTTCATTTCCCCCCTTCTCCTTTCAGGTTTCTAAACAAAGAGGCAGCACAAGCTTACACATGTTTACTCAAGAGCAAATCCTATTGTATCCAATGGGACTTACTTCCAGGTAAAAGTCCATAGGTCTGCAGCATTAGTTACCATATTTTTCCGTCTATAAGAAGCATCCATGTATAAGATGCCCCCTAATTTTTGACATTTTTTAAAGGGAGAAAAACTAATCTTATACATGGAAAAATACAGTACATAAGAACAGTAAATGAAATGCAGTTTGTTATGTGAAGCCCCATTAACAGGGCTGATTTTTCAGTTACATGTGTAGGCTTTAATAAAAGCTTATAGAAAGAGGCAGGTATAATAATTTGGAGTCCAATGTAGCTTTAAATATGAAAAACAAATCTGATTATCATATTCTAAACCAATCCATTTCCCACAAAATACTTTTCAACTGAACTAAGGTATGCTTTAAATAAACTATCTGTATCATCCAGTCATGCAGATACTGTTATCAAAAAGGCGTTTCTAAGTATTAAGCAGGGCAGAAAGTTGGCCCATAATACACATTTGCGCTTAACAACAAAACCTGGTGTTGGTTTGCATTAAGGAACAGAATGTATTTCACCTTTATTGTTAAAGAATAACATCACTATGCTGAGCAAATGCAAAGAACAAATGAGTTAGTAGGACAATAGGATCAGCCCTGTTGAGAGTGGCATAGGTAAAGGACTATGGAGCAGAGAAAATAGGGAGGGGGGCTCTTCCTTCTCAGTCCTAAACTGAAGATACTCACACCATCACTGCTAATACAATAGCAAGGAACACGGGTGGTCTGAACCACTGAGCCTCTTGGGCTTGCCAGTGATGGTGAGCTCCCATCGCTTTGTCCCAGCTTTTGCCAGCCTAGCAGTTTGAAAGCTCACCAGTGCAAGTAGATAAATAGGTACAGCTGCAGTGGGAAGGTAAACGGCATTTCCATGTGCTCTGGTTTCCATCACGGTGTCCCATTGCACCAGAAGCAGTTTAGTCATGCCCCGGAAAGCTGTTTGTGGACAAACACCGGCTCTGGCTCCCTTGACCTGAAGCGAGATGAGCACCGCACCCCATAGTAGCCTTTGAATGGATTTAACAGTCCAGGAGTCCTTTACCTTATTATAATACCATGGAGCTGGCAGCTGAGTAACAGGAAAGTTTCTCTTCTTTCCTTTCCCCCCAGTCCTTCATCCAAATGCTAACTGGGAAAAGCTGTTCTTCCACCTCTTTATCTGCCTAGTTATAAAGCCTTCTCGTTCAGTATGCTAACAGACAGAGCACAACCTCTCGCCTTATCCCAGAATGAAAAGATAATAAAGGAAGAAAATAAGGTCCGTAGAAGAGAGGTAAGCGAAGCCACATAATGGTTTATTAGAAGGTGGCAGGATCCGGCTCATAGTAACAAATGGATTCTACAGAATATTTAGGGATAATCTTCATACTGCCTTTACAAATGCATAATTCTTCTTATAAGATTCCAAGAACAAACTCTCTCTCCCTGTCCAAAGCATCCCTTCTTTAAACACACTCATGGAAGAGAGAGCTCTCAATGGCATTTATCCATAAAAGCCAAATGAAACCTCCATGCTTAGCCAGTATGTGTACCTCTGAACACAAGATGCTGGGGACAAACAACAGAGATGACTATGGCCTTCATGGGCTGCTTGCGAACTTCCAGGGCTATCTGGCTGATCCTGGTCTCTACAGGCATTACTGGAGAAAGAATGCTAGATTTGTGGATGATCACTAGTTCAGTCACTCCTATGTGTTCTTGCTTTGCAAGAGAGCCTCTGTTTATTCATTAAAGACATTCTAAGTTTTGCAAGAAGCCAAACTGAGGTCCCATTAAGGTGTACTACACAGGAAAGCAATGGTGGTCAACCTGTGGCTGTTTGGATGATGTTGGACTTCATTCCCCAGCCCCAGTCAGCATGGCCATTGGTCAGGGATTATCAAAGCCACAGTCCAGCAACATCTGAAGGGCCACAGGTTTCTCATCCCTGACGTTGTGAAAAACCATGTTTAAGACAGAAAGCTTACATATATTACCTGGCTATGAAAGTCCCATTGAACACAATGGGATTTACCAGACACAGATCTAGAGTTTGGGGGGCCCCTGGGCAGGCTGCCTTTGTGGGTGCCCCATGCCAATGCCTCCCAACACACATTTCCAGTTGGGTCCCCCAGCTGTAGCCATATGAGCATCTTCTGTGAGCAATGGGGGGGGGGCAAGCACATAAGCAGGAGGCTGCCAGCTGCCCTACCACCAAGGAGGACTAGTGGTGGTGCATGCTGGGGTGGGGGCAAGCAAGGTGCCCACCCTGGCAGACCCTACTGCCCCTGTATTGGACATGGCCCCCTACAATTGCCCCTGTATTGTGCTTTCACTACACATTTTGAAATATGATGGCTGATTATCCTGGTTTCCATTAAGCTTTGTTTATGGTGCTTCTTCAGCTGCACAAAGCTCTTTGCAGGGCTTCTTCCGTGCTGTATATCCTCACAACCCTGCTTACCATTCTATTTGCACAAACTGAGACTGAAATATCTATTGCTCAAGGACAGCAAATGAGCATCTCCATGTCACTTCCTTCCTATTCTGTACTACTTCCCTGCTAGTTTCAGGACGTGGCCGTGTAACTTGTTTGCAATATGCACGGTCTTGGAAGATGTGAACGAATACTAGGCTTATTGCCTCCATGCATGTACATAATGCATTTTCCCCACAACATGATGTTACACGTGAAAGTAAACCCCGACAACCTTCTTCACTGCTGCTAAACTGCGCGGGGAAAGGGGGAGGGTGTTATTTGGAACAGTGAGGAGATACAGTACTTAGATTCCCTCCCCACCCGTTTACCGCAACGATGCACTTTATCTTGCACCTAGACGGTTTACGAGGAGAAACAGCGCGTTAAGCATGCATGCCAACCTCCTCTTCATTGCAAACAGCCTTCTTGACAGCAGGAGGCTTCACAGGCTGGAAATATATTTAAATAGAAGCTTTAAAAACATTTGCATGCACACACAACCTGATACAGGAAGATGGGATCGTCAGTGCCCATAGGTGCCAACTCCTAGGGGCCGAGTTCGCTTCGCCCCCTCCTCCAATAAAATATTTGAAAGGGCTGCCCCCCCCCAAAAAAGTTGATGAGTATTGCCATTCAAAAAGTGTGCGTGCACCGTGTCACGTGATTGATTATGCAGAGCAGGGCTCGCCTGCCCCCCCACGCCCAATATTTTTTTCAAGTTGGCACCCCTGCCTGTGGCAGTCGCAAAGGAAGACCGGGCTCCTGCGCTTTCGACGCTAGCCGTGCAGCATCGGGAGTAGCGGGTCTTCTTGCAAAGTTGAGAAAAGCGGCGCCTGCAGGAATCAACCCCTCCCGCCTTTCGGCACAACTTCTAAAAGCACAAGAGCTCTCTCCTCATTCATTGCACAGGGGTCCTTAGAAATCCCACACGTATTGTCGGAGGAGGGGGGAAGCTGTGATCTCTTGGCGCTGAGACAACCTTCCTGGGATAAAGGGCCAGAGGGCGCAACCAGATCAGAGGGCGCGTCCGCACCTCGGGGGAAGGGCTTTTGTTTTGTTTTGATTCCAGTCTTCAAAGATCTGCCGAGCGTCCCCGCTGCCTCGCGTGCCCTCGGGGCAGCAGGGCAGGTGTTTGGCTTGGGCGCCCCTCGCCCTGCCAAGGAAACAGCTTCTCCTCAGCTGCTGAGCGAAAACACGCCTTCCCCCAGCCTGACGGGGAACCGGCTAGTGGCGCCTCGGGGGGCGCCTGTTGCTGAGGGAGCCTGGCGCCTGGCTCTCGCCCCCTCCCCTGCGCGGAGGAGCTGCCCCTCCGGCCTCCTTTCTCTCCGCCAGCTGCCCTCACTCACCCGCGTCGTAGAAGGCGTCCAGCACGGCCGTCTCGCCGAAGTCCAGCTCGCCAAAGTTGACGGTGCTGAGCTGCGCTCCCTCGGCCTCGCAAGCTCGCGCCAGGCACTGCAGCGCGCCGGCCTCGGGGCTCCGCGCCCCCGAGCCGCCCTTGGGGCCGTCGTTGAGCACGTACACCGCCCGCAGCGAGCGCTGCCGAAGCACCGGCCCGTTGCCCTCCGGCACCACCTCGGAGCCCGGCGGCAGCGCCTCGGCACCGCCGGGCTGTTCCGACGAGTCCCCCCCGCTCGCTCCCGCTGCAGGCGGCGGCTGGGGCTGTTGCTCCGCGGGCGCTGCAGCTGGGACGGTGGTGCCGCCGCCCGCCGGGTTCTCCATGGGGCGAAAGCGGGTGGCTGCGCCCGGAGAAGTCGGCGAAGGGGGCCCCCGCCCTTAGGGCGCGAAGGAGGGAGGCAGGCTCATCCCGCCGGGCCAAAACAAACTTCGCCGCCGCCGCCGCGCCGGAGGTGGGGGAAGAGAGATGAAAAGGCCGGCGACGCCTTTCTCCCGTCAGCGCGGCTCGCCTCGGGGGCAGGAAAGCTGCCCGGAAAGCTCCCCGCAGGGTTGCTGGCAGCGCCTGGCGCGCGGGCCGGGGCTCGTCCTGTCACTTGGCTCCTAAAGGTGCCGCTTGCCCGTCAGGGGGCGCTCTTGGGCGCGCCGCAGCCAATAGCACTGTCCGCACTGATACCGCCAGCGGCGGCACCGCGCCCCCCGGGAGAAAAGCCCAGCTTGTGTCCGTAGGCGCTCTTGAGCGGCATTTATAGGAGCGCGGCAAATCTTCGAGGTGCCTAAAGGGGGCGTGGCTGCTCCTGGGCGGAGCCTTCAAGGCCCCGCCCTCCTTTTTCTTAGGAGGTCTGGCCAGGGGGTCTCTGCGGGGCGCTCCGAGGTCTGGACGCTCCTACAGGCCTTGAAGTCATTTTAATTGTCATGCTGAAGTTTTGGCTGCTTGGTTTAAAAAAAATAAATAAATTGATACATGTTTTAAGGGGGAAAGGCAATGTCTGGTTTTCTTAGACTGCTGGGATTACCCAACACAGTGATTTCCTAACACAGGAAAATTGCAGTTGGCTTCTGTTACATGCAGAAACTGCAGGAGGACATAAGGGGAGCTTGATAAAGATAAAGGTACCCCTGACCATACTGGGACGCGGGTGGCGTTGTGGGTTAAACCACAGAGCCTAGGACTTGCCAATCAGAAGGTCGGCGGTTCGAATCCCCACGACGGGATGAGCTCCTGTTGCTCGGTCCCAGCTCCTGCCCACCTAGCAGTTCGAAAGCACGTCAAAGTGCAAGTAGATAAATAGGTACCGCTGTGGCGGGAAGGTAAATGGCGTTTCCATGCGCTGCTCTGGTTCGCCAGAAGCGGCCTAGTCATGCTGGCCACATGACCCAGAAGCTGTACACCGGCTCCCTCGGCCAATAAAGCGTGGTGAGCGCCGCAACCCCAGAGTCGGTCCCTTTACCCCTTTACCTTTACCCTTGCCCATTAGGTCCAGTTGTGGACGACTCTGGGGTTGCAGCGCTCATCTTACTCTATAGGCTGAGAGAGCCAGCATTTGTCCACAGACAGCTTCCGGGTCATGTGACCAGCAATGACTAAGCCGCTCTGGCCAACCAGAGCAGCGCATGGAAATGCCGTTTACCTTCCCACCAGACCTATTTATCTACTTGCACTTTGTGCTTTCGAACTGCTAGGTGGGCAGGAGCTGGGACTGAACAATGGGAGCTTGCCCCGTTGCGGGGATTCGAACCACCGACCTTCTGATCAGCAAGTCCTAGGCTCTGTGGTTTAGACCACAGCGCCACCCGCATCCCAGGGAGCCTGATGGATGAGGTGAATTTGCCCATCTGGTCTGGCATCGTGCTCTTACAGGGGCTGACCAGATGCCCGTGGGAAAGGGCATGAGCGCAACAGCACTCTGCCCACCCACAATTCACAGCAACTGGCATTCAGAAATATTACTGCCTCCCAACTGTGGAGACATGGCCAATAGTACCTTATGAATATGTGTTATCAGAACTTCTCAGTGGCCCACCTTGCAAGGCTGTTTCCAGTGGCCCAGAAAATCCAGAACTATACTAGAGAAGCATAAGAAGGGCTGAGAGAATAAGTAAGAGGGAAGTCCTATATATGTCTACTCCGGAGTAAATCTCATAATGTTCATAGGTGCTTACTCCCTGGTAAGTTCACATAGAATCACAGCATGCATATATATATAGTTGGAGACTTCTTCCAGCCCATCCTCTTCCTACTGTAAGACTATAACAAGTTATGGAAATGTACCTTTTTTTTTTTGTTCAGTATGTAAAATTATTGCTTTTACACATGGGTACTCTTTTTTAAAAAATGCATCTTTAAAAAGTATATTACTCTTAAATAGAAAAATAATAACAGAAGTCTTTTTTTACCACCACAATGGCATGTTTCAAGAACATTGCCTTTTTGCTAGTTTTACCAGCCCCTAGTCTTAGACATGAATGACAGTAGGGAAAGAAACGATAAGAAAAAAGACATTTTTACCCCAAGCTGAGAATGCCTCATTTGTTTTCTGCGCCTCTCTTCTGGGCACTCAGACTGGCCTGGTTTGCATGTTCTGGTAATCCAAACTATTGCTTACAAGGACTGAGCAAACATGTGGGGTCTTGGAGGAGAGTTTGCAGCCACTCTGCTCATCCCTAGTCTTTCTTACTGCTACACCACACTGAGGTATACCAAGGTTTGGCTTAGCATATCCTCTAAATTCAGGCACATAAGCTCTCTCCTCACTAACCACAAGCTGTAGCCAAGTCATTAATGGGAGCTGAATATAAGATATAAGAATGCAGCCTTAAAAAGTAATTTCTGATTTGCAAAAATATAGAGTACATACAAATACTATTTTAATTGACCCTCTCAGTGTGTGTTGGATTAACTTAACCTGTACTCAGTCAACACAGTGTGGTGTAATTGTTAGAATGTTGGGTTATCACCTGGGAGACTAGGGTTTGAATCCCTGCCCAGCCATGAAGTTTGAGCCAGTCACCATCTTTCAGCGTAACCTACCTCACAGGGGTGTTGTGAGGATAAAATGGGGAGAAGAACCATGTGTACCACCATGATCTGCTTGGGAGAAAAGGTGGTATATAAATGTAATTAATAATAATAATATTCGTTTGCTGCAGGTAAACTAGACTTTAAAAGCAACAATGTCTTTATGATACATTGATATTTGCTCAAAACAAAAGTGAAAAATTAAAAGTCAAGTGTCCTTGCAAAACTTCACAAATTTTAAAATCAGAATTTGAAGTGGAACTATTTAGCAAACTCTAAATCCCACCATGGGATTGCTGGGGAGGGGGTTGGCACTTAGGAAACTAGCTTGGTAAAGATGTAGAAAAACACCTGATTTCATCTTAACATATTTTAAGAAATGTATTTTTAAATAATCGGCTAACTTCTTGTATGCTGTAAAACATGAATGTCCAAGTGCTACAAAAGTATCTTTAAGAAATTCTAATTGTGTTCACATGTCGTTCAGTTGTTAAGTATTATTTTTTGCTTGACTAACACGTTAGGTAATTGACAATTATATACCAAAAAAGATATCCTCCTCTTGCACCTTTGAAAATCCAGTGCAATTTTAATGTGATTTATGTTTTCTTTCTCCTGTTCCTAGTTAACTGTAAACAGCATATTTTGTTTAACAAGAAGACAGAAATGGTGGTGTAATCATGTACCTACACAGAAAAAAAGTAAAAGGGAAATTAGCTGCACAGGTAAAATAATTGTTACCCTCATAACTAGGCAGGTGCTTTCATTTTGCATCTCACAAATAAGTACATCATTGTACAGAAAAATTACTTGTGTACAAACTATTTTCCTGTCCCACAACACAATTCTGACCAAATCTAAACACATCTACAAACATTAAATAGTACAGGTAGCTTAAAAAAGCAACCCCATTTCAGAATTATAGCTTTCTCCCAGAAGGCAGATTTCTGTGCATGGATCACTTTGGATTTATACACACAACAGGGTGTATATACATTTAACAGGGGTGCTATGCATGGGGATTCTGTCTAGCCAAACAACTGAACGTAGCGAGCGGACTCAGGTAAGCCCTGCCCTGCATAATCAATCGCAAGACCCAGCGCACACACACCATTCAAGAACAGCAATGTCCATCAACTTTGGGGCCCCCAGCTCACTCAAATATTTTATGGGGGGTGCCAAGGGATCTCAGCCCCTAAGAGTTGGCAGGGAAATGGGCTAGTTGTGGAGGTGATTCTAAACAACACTTTGAGTCAGATCTGCATTTGAAGGGGATGCCCCCCCCCATTCAAAGTATTTAAGGTCCATTAAAGCTCTGCAATTGCAGATTCACCCTTATCACTCGCTCCAAAAGCAAATAGGAAAATGTGGCCGCTTCTCCATGCTCCTTGTCTGACATTCTAACCATTATGCTGACACTATATCATTGGGGTGGCATGGGGCATGATTCTACTATTTCAATAACATAAACCCAAATCTCCTTTTTGTTTTTGAAAACAGTGGCCTGGCTCTTTGGTCCCTGGTTATTAATAGGCTATTATCTCATATGATAAATGTTTATCTAGATAAGGATGGCATGTGTGGAACTCAAAGGGGAACCAAGTTATCAGAAAGTGCAGCAGCAGCTAGCACAAAATGCCAACAAAGGAACCCAACAGCCTGAAGGATACAGCTGACTTAAATAGAAAATACATCCTTGTATTTTCTCACATTGTATTTCGGTGGTGATTTTCTGAATAAATGAACCACCCATTTTTATTTTGGAGTTCCTAGGTAACAATAAAAAGCCTTTAAAATAAAATACCGTGATCCTGATCCAACAAGGGATATCCACATATGGAAGCAACCTTTTGAATGGGAAGCCAACGCAGAAACTCACACTGCAGTGCCTACCTGGGTTCCTCTGAACAACCCAGAGTTGTCTTCAAATTGATGCACATCTATCGCACACCGAGGACCTACTAGCTGCTGCAAAAGCACTGCCATAACAGTTTCTCTACCATGCAGGCGGAAGGCATTATCTCCTGATCTCACCACTGAAATCCTTTCTAAAGAGCAGGCAGGCTAAGCACCACAGCACTGGGGTCAGAGATAAACCCCTCTGCCTGCTCTTTAAGAGTAAAAGGCAGCGTCGCACACACAAAAAACACTGCAGTGCTGGGGTGGGTGAAAATGCTCTCTTTGAACTTGATCATTAACGTGGCACAGTTAGTTCTGTGGCGAGTATAAGGCAACATTTCTACCCCTCCCAATCCCAGCACTAATAGTGGTAAAGGTAAAGGGACCCCTGACCATTAGGTCCAGTCGTGGCCGACTCGGGGGTTGCGGCGCTCATCTCACTTTATTGGCCGAGGGAGCTGGCGTACCGCTACCGGGTCATGTGGCCAGCATGACTAAGCCGCTTCTGGCGAACCAGAGCAGTGCACGGAAACGCCGTTTACCTTCCTGCCGTACCTATTCCAGTGGTACCTATTTATCTACTTGCAGTTGACGCGCTTTCGAACTGCTAGGTTGGCAGGAGCAGGGACCGAGCAACGGGAGCTCACCCCGTCGTGGGGATTCGAACCGCCGATCTTCTGATCGGCAAGTCCTAGGCTCTGTGGTTTAACCCACAGTGGAGGTGGGTGCAAACCCTGCCCAGAATTCTGAGCAGAGTAAAATAAAGCATTTCCAGCCCTCCACACTGAAGCGGACATGACTTGGAAATGCTGGTTGCATGGGCGTTTGTTTGTGAAAATTGTGGATGTATGTGGGACTGGGACTGTGTTTGGAGGTGTGAAAGTGAGAGAGGGAGGAGGAGGCAGCTATGTTGCCTGGGTTCCTGGGGTGTGTGCTATTTGTTGAATGGCTGTGGCAAGTGTGTGAACTGCATTGGGTTGTATGTGTAGTTGTGTGCATGAACAATACACACACACACTGGCTATTGCCCACCACAGGTATGCAGCCCTCGGAGGGTGACTGATCATCAACGTGGCCCTTGGCCCAAAAAGAATTAGCCATCCTTGCTGGGGAGAATGCTGCTTTGTAAACAGTGAGACTTCTAAGTAGACATGTGTAGGAATGCAAGGT